TGTCTCTTCACGTAACGCTCCTCCCCAACAACCGGCTGCTCACATTCGAACCACATTCCTTTCCAAATGACCAATCATTTATCAGTAAACTGAAATTAACGTCAATTTTCTTGCAAAGAATGAGCCCCTGTGTTTCCGCTTGCATCAGAGGTGTCAGCCACGGCGGGCCAGGTCCTGTTTCGCTTTCATAAAAACTGAATCGAAGATTGAGTTTTCCTCGGCAAAAACTGAAAAGCACATCTGGCCCTGAAATGCGTGACTTTAAACTGTATAATTCTTGATATAAAAGCTGGATCAGTAAATTTGCCATGAGGAAATTTCCTTTTTTTGGCAAAAAACAGCTAATTGTTATCAGATTATCAGCATTGTCCATCAGTCCTGTCACATGATGACGCAGACGAGATAAGGTCAGATAAAGCGTGATAAAGCATACGCGTTTCTAAAAAATCATTGGAACTGTAAAAAACACAAATACAGCTTTCAGTGGATGTCATTTTTAATGGGCTATTTGCATGATGGCGTCATTTTACTACTATGTCCAGGATCCTTCAGGTTTTGATTTCTTGTGCAAATTAGGGCTTTTGTTATTTAAGCCTCACTGGGGCTACTAAATTTAAATATGAAAAGAAAACCCAAAAGAATTCTGGCCATCCTGCAAATGGCCTATTCTCACACTATTCTCGCCCTATTCTCACCCTAGATAACTAGTCAAATCCGGTAGCAATTTCAAGTCTGTATGTTTTATTCCTAATGCACGTGACGAGACAAAAATAAAAACGGCATTCTACCCCAGTCTGCACGCAGCAAAGCCAAGTTTGAGCGGCTAGCCATTGAATAGCGCAACAGCCAGAATGATGTCAGAACTTGAGGAAAGGTTTCTGAACAAGGCTACAAGATAAAAGTACTTTTCATTAAACAGGCTGATTCTTTAATTAAGAGACAACAGTACTACAACGGTAGAGAAAAGTAACTATATGTTTTGTACGCTTTGATGGCATTTGAACGCGACCATTAATATCTAGTATAATAGAGCACCCGAAGAGTGCTCTCCAAGATCTAAGGTTCAGTTTACCTTCTTTTATGTTAGTTTATTCTATTTACTATATAGTAGTGTCTTCACTGTTATTTAGTCCATCTATATATAAACCTTGTACTTGTAATATGTCTTCAGCTCCCCCCGCCTCGATTAGTTTATAAGCTATTTGCGGTTGGGAAAGTAATGTAATTAGTTATATTTCCAATTTTTTTTAATAAAATTTGTTTCGTTTTGTTTTTTTGTTTTGTATCCCGTACATTCAGCATCACTCAGCACAATTAAAATGTGCTTTGACCACGCAAATGTGTCAACAGTTTTCGTTTCAATTTCGAACTGTTTTTCTCTGTCTCGTTAACAGATGTACGCTACTAGAGCCAGGACCTGTAAAGACATCAGTATTGGTAAACATGGAAGCTTGGATGAAGAAATACGACATGCCAACCGCTGACCAGGAGAGTTTGGAATTGCAGAAAGCATTTAACGAAGGCCCTTTTCTTCAGGGGATGCTCGCTAATCGCCAAGATGTAAACGAATTCGCTGTAATGGTGAAAAATATCATACTCACTGACAAACCAAACCTACGGTATCAAACACATGAAAACTTTAACCCCGATGAAATTAAGGCCAAACTTGCTGATCCTACCGGGAATGTTATGGTTGATTTGATGGTCAAAAAGTACTTTGTTAAAGAATAGTTTCAAAACTTGCTGAACCTATACTGACAAAGTTTTGTTAGAAATAAAATTATACAAGAAGCTCTTACCATGATGATTAATTATAACTATGTGAAGCTCTCTCGACACGCTGTAAGTTTAAATGGCCATTCTAAATGAGCTGTTTGTTGACTTTTGAAATAAAGTTTGCTGTAATTTCGCGGCTGTCAACCCTCACGTCTTCCCTCTCCCACTTCAGTGATTAATCTGATAATATTGCAAATATACATGTTTTATGTGCTTAACATTTCAATGTGCTCTTGCTTTTTATATTATATATTCAGTTTTGCTTGTATTAGCTTCGCTTGTACTTTCTGGTTAATATTCATTCAAAGTCTGTTCATTTTGTTACTTGTGTTACGCGAGGTTTCGTCGTGTTATTTTAATTAACCAGGAAATTTCATACTCTAATCTGGAGACCGGTAGATGCGGTCGAAAATCTGGGCCGGGTTGTTCGAAGCTGGTTCACTTCGAACAGGCCTAATTTCTGTTATAGCCCCCGTTGAAGGTTTGTGTTGCAAACCAAAATATAATCGGGCAAATATTATTCACTACTTTATTTTTATTTTCTTTCTAAATTTTTCCATCACCCTTCCTGCCGTAAGGATCAGTTTACTGTTTTAATTTTAAAATTTGGTAGTCAAGATTTTACTGATCCAGGTCTACTAAAGATCCGGCTGACCCTCACCCAGGTTTGTCGTTGTGGTTTTGCCTTCACAAGTGTTTCTGGGTTAAGATAGCCCAGGGTTTATTGTGCGAAATTTGAATTCAGATATGAAAACTAAAAAAGCAAATTCAGTTTAATTCTTTTTGTCTACACTTTGGTGAGTTGATGCTCTAAAAAATTTGCGAAAATTTGAACAAAAGAGAAAGAAACCTCGGTCAAAATTTAACATGTTTAATCCCGGGTTATAGCTAATCGGTCTTCGAACAACTGGGCCCTTGAGTCTCCCGGATTATCTGGTAGCCGTTGAAAGCACTGTAATTTAGACTAGCTTTGTTAGCCACTTACATTTCTCGTGGTGATAACAGAAATGCAATTATCATTATCATCATCATCATCGTCGTCGCGGTCGTCATCATCATCAGCATCGTCGTTGTCGTCGTCGTCGTCGTTGTTGTCATCATCATCATCATCATCATCGTCGTCGTCGTCGTCGTCGTGGACGTCGTCATCGTCATGATCATCATCAATATGGTGGCGGTCATTATTACCATTTTTTTGACAAACTTCCTTCTTGATCCTTCAATGATATTTCATTACTTTTTTAAATCCCATATCTATGCAGCTAAAACGCGTCGAGGTTTCAAAACTTAATCCTAAGAAAACATACACTACCAAAGTAGCCATATTGCGAAGTTTTTTGGTCGCGGCATCAGTCTTGCTGACTTGGTTTTATCTGCAAAATTCTTCTTTCCTGGACAAAATCACGTTCTTTTCGAGCTTGGAATTGAGATCGGTCGAGTAGGAAAAAAACTTGTTTGGTTAGACGGCGGGGTTTAAAGAACTGTACTGTTAGGAACACTCCCTTTGGTTTGTGATAACACAAAAATATTTATAATCATTTGCCTTTATTAATTTTGAACGTTTCACAGTCATTTTTGGAATCGTAACCGCCCATGCGCCCTGAATCAGTGCAGCTGGAGAAAATTAACAAGAAAGTGCTTATCCAGAGACTGGGTAATTTGTTGGGTTTGATTTGGAGGGTTCGCAATAGGGTTTTTCAATCCCGTAATCCCGACCCAAAATTCCGAGCACTCCCATAATCCCGAAGGTTATTTTTGGCATCCCACCTCCTGCGCATACTTTCAATTCCGAATCTCTCCCTGATTTGGCTGTAAAATCCCGAATCCCGAGATTCAAATAAGGGAAATCCCGTATCCCGAAAAAGCTATCGGGGACCCTCGATTACCAGCCGCTGTTCTGGAAATGAGAATGTGTTCATCCTCCGAAAGGGAGTACGAGGAAACCAAGACCAGATCGGAGAGCGGCGGCCACTTGATCGAGCCTATTGATTTCTCCACTTAACTTTAGGTCCGATCCCCCTTAAATAAAACCGAACAGATTATCTCAAAATCTAGACTTGGCGCACTTACATTTCAAAATCACTGATTCATGCGATTAGTCTGTACAACAGTCATATTTAACCTTTGATGAGTAAGTAAGCATCCAAGTGCTACTCCATTCTGAACTACGTCACGTGCGGTAGTTCCATCTCATTGGCCACAATGCATATATGTTTGAGCGTGACTTGAGGTTGTGTGCATATAGTGCATATAAAAACAATCATATGCAATGGCTCCTCAAGTCGTGCTCATCTCTGGTTGTTCCAGCGGAATGGTCCCCAATTCACTGCTACAGAATTTGAACACTTTTGCACCAGCAATGGAATACTGCACCGTACTTCAGCGGTGTACAAGCCATCTACAAATGGTCAAGCAGAACGTGTCGTACAGACTTTGAAATCAGCTATTAAACAAGCCCACCTTACTAATGCAGACGTAGACACTGTTATTGCAAATCATTTATTGGTTTACCGGACCACGCCTCATTCCACCACAGGTGAACCACCCTCACTGCTTCTCATGGGCCGGAGACTGCGCAACAAGCTAGATTTGCTGACACCTTCACTTGAAACACATGTTGAGGCTCGCCAATACAGTACCATGGTGAGTCGTACAGCACATAGAGGTCTCCGCAAATTCAATACTGGCGATTCTGTTCTGGCTCGAAATTTTGGAAGGGGAGGAAAATGGGTGCGTGGAGTAGTTACTGAAGTCCTTGGGTCTCGTCATTATATTGTCAAGGTGGCAGGTAATCTGTGGAAACGACACATAGACCAGCTGCTGAGACGCCCTGCAGATGCGGCTTCGACGCGTGGGTTCTCGGCATCCAACTACCAGTCTATGCCGCTTGATGTATCCCCTGATATGGATCAGCCTTATGAGATTGTTCCTGACTCAACTATACCGTCTACTTATGTTCCTCCTACAGCAACACTGGATGAGTCCATTCTGGCCAGCACTGGAGATTCTCCTGTTCCAAACAAGCAACCAGCAGTGTCGATGCCTGTGACACTCTGGTAAAGATGCCGGAGAAAAAACGGACAACCCGTAGGCCTCTTAAAAGATTACGGTTTACGCCACCATTTTGAGAAATGACTTTGTTTTGTTATTGTTGGCATTGAAGAAAGGACAACTGGAGGAAGAGGGGACTGGATCAACTTGGAGACACTTTGATTATCAAACAGATGGACGTTTGCAGCGATGAATCAGTCACGAAGGCCGTGCAAGAAGTGATGGAGATTGAAGGCAAAATTGATGTGTTGTGTGAGTATAATATATAGTTCTGATACTTTGACACTGACTTCCGACTAGAACAAAGCGATTTTTAGATAATGAGCTGTTGATTTTTTGAGTAGCTCACTGATTCGTGTCATTTCATATGTTCATACCTTATTAAAGTTTTTAGAATACTCATTGGATAATAAATGAAAAAGTTATCCTCTCGTCGCAGCTTAATTACACCACGCTCATAATTCAAAGCGTTTCTAAAGGACTGCACAAGTCCTTGTCTTTTCATTATGCCGTGAAGTGTCTGTTGCACCAATTAACAAATTTAAATTACTTCTAAGTGAATAAAACAACAAAACTTGTTTATCACTTCACCAGTCCTTGACCAATAAATGAGTTCGGAAGATGTTGGCAGGGGTTCAGTTTCTATAGGTTATACCTATAGATCGAAGTGCAAAGCAACGGAATCTGAAGAAAACATTTCGTAGAAGTCAAATCCGCAGACGATTTATAAACAAAAACAGCGCCCCCATTTAACATAACAAAAAGAATCTACATCACGCGAATTTGACGCTTTCATTATGACGCTTTCATTAGTTTTTCTTAAACCTTAAACCCTTGACATCAACAAGCATATTTTCCATACTGCACTTTGACTTCATTTGTTTTTAATAAGCATAGTACAGTAACTGATAAGGAGAACTAGATTAAAGACTTTTTTCTCGTTGTAAGTAATAAAGGATTCCCATGATATTGATGTTCTGGAGACGAGCTTGAGTGATGTAAGTTATAAAAAGAGTTAGCCATATTCTCATCACTGTGCCAAAGCTGTACGTGAATACTGTGAGTAAAAAAATGTAATTTTTTCCCCTACCCCCAGGCCTTGATGTTGAGTTTCAATAACTGCTACATGTATTCTTTCTTGTAACAGTTAACAATGCTGGCATGGCTTTGACATCCGTACTGGAATGCACCCCTATGAAAATGGCGAAAGACCTGTATGAAGTCAACTTCTTTGGTGCTCTAAGGCTCATCCAAGCTGTGCTGCCAGGCATGAAATCGAAGCAGGCTGGACACATAATCAACAACAGCAGCCACTACGGTTTTGTTGGGCTGCCTTTCAATGAGCTATATTGTTCTTCAAAGTTTGCCATTGAGGGACTTACTGAAGCTCTAGCCCGACTGCTACTTCACTTTAATATCAGGTAGGGGACTAGCGAAACGTTAAAGCTTCCACGTATTAATCCATCTATCCCGCATCGATCGATCCATCCATCCATCCGTCAATCAATTATTCAAACAATCAGTGAATCAATCCATCCATCCATCAATCAATCATTGAATCTACTGATCAATATCACATTTTAGAGTATTTTGCCCTAAAAAGGAACCTCCCCTCCGCATGCGTACACATCCGATTAATAAGATATGCAAAAAGAAAGTCACATTAAACGTCAAAACTGTCATTTTCTAGTCAAAATATTTTTCTCCCTTGATACTGAAAGGGGTCATGAGGACCCCGAAACGTCGTGTTATAATTCTCAAACCTTTTTCTGGACAGGTTTTTATAACGAAAGTGTCGTTCTAGATTCCCGCCAAAATCGATCTAAAACTAGAATAAACTGGTAATTTATGCATAAAAACGCTCAGCTAGACACGCCCTAGGGTTATGGGCCCAAGTAGTCACCAAATTTATTTAATTCGTGCCTAACGAATAGGTGAGAAGTTAATACAGAGAAGTAACTCCAGCTCACAATTGACTTGAAATATTTAATCGTAGAAATGTGAAAATAGTTTGACCATTTAACATCATTATTGTCATCATTATTATTAAAGGTGTTCGTTGCTCGAACCAGGCCTCGTGGGGACTGCAGTGATGGACAGTATGGGGGCCTGGGTCAAGAACTACGACGTGAAACCCGCTGACCAGAAGAGCATGGAGCTACAGAAGACGCTCAGAGGCAGTATGGAGTAGCTTTTCGATAAATTTCAAAGTCCAAACGAGCTCGCAGGAATTGTAATGAAAATTATTTTAAGTGAAAAGCCTAACCTACGCTACCAATCAAATGCGAGCTTTAACCCCGATGAGGTGAGGGCCAAACTTCCTGATCCAACTGGAAATGATGTTGTTGAGTTACTGAAAAAGAAGTATCTTGATAAGGAATAAGTCGTTCCAAAGATCATTCAGCATTGAAATAGAGCATTTTATTTGTAATGACTGTCGACTCTTTCAGGTCTGAAGTTTACAATAAAAGATAGTGGGCGTTACACAAGTGTTTGTTAAATTGTTTGTGATATTTGCGGCCTGCGGGGAACAAGTAAGGGTGGGGTGCGGGAGGAACGAGGAAGCCCGCACGCAACCAGGGACCCGGGGAAGGGGGGGGGGGGGTACTTTAGGAATGTATTGGTGGGGATGTGCCGCTGGGACCCTGGAACCCTTAACCTATACCAGAGCTAGCTAGTTCAGCTGAATTTTGCTACCCTCCTTTGCTAGAGTTAACTCCCCAAATCCCCCATATCCTAGAGTACCTGTTTTCCAGAAACTAATGGGGTCACTGGCACAGTCTAGCCAAAACAAAACCTTATACCACAATCCCTAGTCTAGATAAAATCTTTAACCAACTGATCAATCATCCTGAAAAATGATACCCTATTCTAGACTCAAACGCTCTGATTTATATACCCTATCTTAGAGTTAACTACTTGAAAACCATACCCTTCATAGCGGCACATACCTATATAGCCCATATATGGCAGTACCCCCCCCTCCCCGCTCGGGGGGATTTACCATGTTGAAAGAGGTGATCCCTACGAGACTATCGCCCTATCAGGAATGGTCCTACACAAGGATATTACTTATCCTGTGACCTGTTCGATATGTTCTCCTCTGTTTTTCAAAGCACAGATGCGCTCTGATATTTTGCTACAGGAGCCCGTCAATTTGCTATAATTTTCGAGTCATTTGTTTCAATGGGACAAAACATTTTTTTGCAGAATTCAAAATTGTTTAAAAAATGTCTGCCGCTGGAAAATTGGAAATCTGCCATTGCAAAGAGGTAAATTGTCTTCTTTATGTTATTTCGAACAGTAATTTCAAGTTTTCGGAAAGGTGTAAGGCATTTTTGCGTGACCGTCACGCAACAAGGTGCTTCAATGCGAGGCTGAAAGTGTTGCGCAAACCAGCCGATTGCATCCATGTCGAGTTGACGATCGGTTCATTGGGGGGTTTTTAAAAGTGCTTCAGTGGCCTCAACATGTCTGCTAGAATCGTGCTTATCTCTGGTTGTTCCAGCGGCATAGGACTCGCTACCGCTGTGCTTCTCGCTAAAGATGCCGAGAAACGCTTCAAAGTTTACGCCACCATGAGAAATATGGCGAAGAAAGGACAACTGGAGGAAGAAGGGAAGGATCAACTTGGAGACACTTTGATTATTAAACAGATGGACGTGTGCAGTGATGAATCAGTCACGATGGCTGTTAAAGACGTGATGGATACTGAAGGAAGAATCGACATATTGTGTGAGTAGGATAAATTGAATTATTTATTCGGACCACTGATACATAAATTTGTGGTTATAAAATGCCGTGTGTTTCATACTGACCATCCACAATCATGCGAAAGTTGACTTTTCATCTGTGTAACTTTTAAAAACTAATTTTACTATACATACATACAGATAACCTTCATAGTAATTCAAACGTTAGGGTAGACGATGATACGGCCGAAATTAATTCCTAAGACAACATCTTTGTGGGTAAAATAATTAATTCAAATTTGCGAAGAGTCACGCAATACAACACAGGGACCACGTGGCGCATACAGCCCCATAGTCACGGAACGAGTCCGTATTAAAACGCACACCCGAAAACACGTTATGCGTTACAGCTCACATCCACACATGAACGATGTAACTGAATAGTTGAGTTTAAAAGGTATTTCAATCTGTTTACAGTTTTTAAGTGCGAGTAGCTACGCATCCGTTATTTGTGATGTTCCGTGGTTGAGGAGGATATGAGAACGAGCTTTGACGACACATAGAACGGTGGCCTGCTTCGTAGAAGATGTTGAGCGGTCTCCCTTGGAAGGAGGCCGGCCATGCACTGACCATTGAATAGATAACTTTCCATACTTATGTATCTTATTAATTTTCTGAGAATTTGTGTAAAGATTCACATCAGTTTAGAAATATATGTATATATTTTTTAATGAAGTTTTACTGTGGCTTCTTATGTAAGGTTTATGAGAAATAAATAAGATTAAGTAACGCTGATTTTGATATATGATGTAAAATATATAATAATTATAGTAATAATAATAATAATAATAATAATAATAATAATAATAGTCTTCTTCTTCTTCTTATTATTATTATTATCATAAATTCATTTTTAAGGAGGGTGAGGGGGCAGGGTGTGAGTAATAGACTTCTTTCGTAATGACGACCTATTTATATATTCTTTTATATGAATGACAACACGCTAACGAGATCAGAAAGGCTAATTATCATACAAATAAAAGAATGTAATAACAGGTCACCATTATGAAAGAGGTCTATAGATTTTGTTCACAGTCATAAGCAGTAGACAAGGGGTGGGTGCATTAAAGGTATCCTTTCCACCCTATGACCATCTGACTTACCTTCCTATTCTCTCTTTTTGCAGTTAACAATGCTGGCGTTCCTCTTATGTCAGTGTTTGATTGCATACCCATGGACCTTGCCAAGGAAACATTTGATATCAATTTCTTTGGTACCCTGCGTCTGATCCAGGCCGTGCTGCCAGGCATGAAAGCAAGACAGAGTGGGCACATCATCAACAACACCAGCACCTTTGCAATTATAGGTACTCCCTTCTTTGAAATCTACTGTGCATCTAAGTTTGCTGTTGAGGGGCTGACAGAATCATTGGTTCCTACACTGCGGCAGTTTAACATCAGGTAACAACAACTTCTACAAATCACCAACCACTGCTATTAACTGCCAAGAGTGACCAACATCAATTTTCACCTAACAATATTCATACGTCATGAAAAGAAAAAGTCATGAGAATTAATAACACGATTACCAAAGAGAAAATGCTTTGATCCTTTATGAATTTCTCTCAGCTAGCAGTCGATATGGTTGGGGCACTTTGCAGTCATTTTCCTTCCCAATGTTGTTCTGCAAGATTTGGTGAGTTAGCTGCAATAAATAACATTGGGAGAACGAAGAGAAGGGCCGGAAGTAAAAAAAAAAAACGACGTTGGGCGGAAGTGTCCCAACTATTTTTGTCTAAGACTGTAGTTCTATAAGGAAATATATGGAAATCAGTCTGGAGAATTTGTATCTAGATATTGGGCTTAAACCAGTTGCTATCAACATTCTTTACTTATTAGACCCAATGGGGATTAAATAAGGAAATGATAACCCCTGTATTCTTATTCTTCACTGCAAAAATCGTAGCCATTTTTACCAGTACCAACTTGCTATTCCTCCAAGCCAGCACTCACCTTATCATTTAAGTGAACCTATGGTGTTATTAGCTATATAGAGCTTTGAAGAAAACTCTCATGCAGTGTTTCTTTTAAATTAAAAGGTGCACCCTTCTGGAACCAGGCCCTGTCAGCTCAGCGGTTGGCGAATGCAACGCTGAAAGAACAAAGAACATTGATCTAACAACCGCTGACCAGAAGACCCGCGATATCTGGCAAGGATTGCTGGGAAGGATAGGTGGGATTTTTGAAGAAAAAGTAGTTCTGTCACCTTTAGAAGTTGCAGACTCCGTGCGAGAAATCATTCTTAGCGAAAATACCAATTTCCGTTTTCAGCCGAGTAAAGAGTTTTATTCTGAGGAAATTGCTGCTAGATTTGCAGATGCGACGGGGTATAAATCAGTGGATCTAATAAGCCAAAAATTCTGTCCAGAATAATAAATATGGTCTTTGCTGTTGTTGTTGTTCGCTGTTACTTTCCTCGCATGGAGAAAACATCAAATTTTCAAGTACACATGTAACACTCTATATTTCAAAGGAAAAAACAAATACAGTCAAACCTCGTTAATACGTAGACTCAGGGGACCCTAGAAAGTGTCCGTATTCAAGGCAGTGCTCTAAGGAAAAACGAAGGGTGCCCAGTCCTCTGAAACTGGAAACTCTAAGGTGCCCAGCATATGACTTGTATGAAAAAAGTAAGATTTCCTAGTCGCCTGAGAGCAAATGTTGGGAGCCAGAGGCCACTGGGCTCTCTTAAAGCGCAGCCCTGGTATTAACGGGGTGTCCGTATTAAGCAGTTTGAATTTAGAGAAAAAGTGAGGACTTTCTTTCCCCAGGGACAAAGCAAACTGTCGGTAATAATGAGAATGGTTAGTGTCCATATTAAGTGGGTGTCAGTAACGCGGGGTTTGACTTTCCACAAACAAAATAAAAGGACATGCTGGACATGGTTTTGACCCCTCGGCATTATTTGTTTACTTTCGTACCTATACAGACAGTAAGAAGAGGCTCCGCCGCCAAAAACAACAGCGCTCGCTCGATAAACCCGCTAGCTACATGTACGCAGGCTTCTCGACCTATGAGCGGCGTTTTGGGCAGTTTTGGGTTTTTATAGCCAGACAGTGAACAGAAAATCGCTCCACAAGTATCAGAAGGCGATTTTCTGAAGCAAACTACCATTTTTTCCAGGACAGTCGACTTTCGAGCATAAACAACAACCAAATTTATTTGGCCAGAAAATGCCAAAACGGTTGAAATACGCCCATTTTTAAAAGACGTAGCCTTTGATTAACTAGCCCTTTGATGTCAAGCGACTGAAAAGATTCGTCGATTGTGATGCCCTCATTTTTTATTAACGTCATCTTTAAATATGCAAAGACCCTTAATGTTCAAACAATTGAATATTATTGGTTAAATGTAGTACCCCTCATTTTTAAATGACGCATCGATTAATTAACTAGTCCTTTGATGCTAAAGCGATTGAACATGATTGGTTACATGTAATACCCCTCATTTTTAAATGACATATCCTTTAATTAACTAGTCCTTTGATGTTAAAGCGACTGAAAGTGATTGGTTAAATGTAATACCCCTAATTTGCAAATGACGTTTCCTTTAATTAACTAGCCCTTTAATGCTAAAGCGACTGAACATGATTGGTTAAATGTAATATCCGTCATTTTTAAATGACGTGCCTTTTAATTAACTTTTCCTTTGACGTCAATCTACTGAACATGATTGGTTGGTCGCAACTCTCGCTATTTTTCAACGTGACCCTTAATTAACCATGATAGCCCCTTGATAACTAGCCGACTGAGCACGATTGGCCCATTGAAATACCTTTAATTAACAAATGACGCACCCGGTAACACTTGTTATTTGTCAACGCGACCCTTAATTAGCCAAACGTCTTTTGATATCCAACCGTCTGAGCACGATTGGCCCATTGAAATACCCTTAATTAACAAATGACGCACGCAGCAACACTTGTTATTTGTCAACGCGACCCTTAATTAACCAAAGTCTTTTGATATCTAACTGTCTGAGCACGATTGGCTCATTAAAATACCCTTAATTAACAAATGACGCACCCAGCGACACTCGTTATTTGTCAAAGCGACCCTTGATTAACAAAAGCCCCTCGATATCCAACCGACTGGGCGCGATTGGCCAATTGAAATACCTTTAATTAACAAATGACACACCCAGCAACACTCGTTATTTTTCAAAGCGACCCCTGATTAACAAAAGTCCCTCAATACCCAACCGACTGAGCACGATTGGCCCACTGAAATACCTTTAATTAACAAGAGACACACCTAGCAACACTCGTTATTTGTCAACGCCACCCTTAATTAACCAGAGCCCTTTGATATCGAACCGAGTGAACACGATTGGTTCGTTGAAATACCTTTAATTAACACAGAATGACACAACCAGCAATACACGAAATTCTTGATGTTCAAAAAAACAGCTCTTGAAATCTTCCCCATTCGGATTACACACACGATCAGGAGAGCTGAAAGACAAAAATAAATGGAAAAAAACACACACACACAAAGGCAAACTTATTTTATCAAACTTTTCTCTTCCTACCTAGCAATCTGTGATCAAAGAAAAAAAAAATAGTTTGTTTTGGAGACCAGTATCCCTGTGCGTCATGAAAAGGGACCGCTGAGATGCAGAAAAACAAAAGTTCCACTTGTTTCCCCGTCACTGTTAGGCAAGCCAATGACGATAAGGCCGGTAAGGCCTTTGAAACGCAAATAAAATGCAAAGCGAATAGTTATTTCAACAACAGTTTAAGTTAACTGGAATTGAACACAGACATCAACATTGATCACTTGAAAAAATGGCACATAATTTTTTCACTCCTGGGAAAAGATCTCTCGCTGTCATTGATGAAATGGTGAACGATAATTATCCAGAGCCGCTCATTCATGAAGGTAAGAATGTTAAAAAAAAAAGAAGACATTGAACAAAAAACAAAAATGACAAAAATGATTCAACAGTCAAAATATTGCCTAGCCAACCATTTTAAGGCGCCTGGTATTAGGAAAACAATTTTTTTCTTGTTTTTTCTACTTTCTACAACACGCTGTTGCGACCTGAAACAACGAAATCTGTTGCCAGACAACTCTCAAGGCAAAAATTTGTCGGTGTACAATAACAGGCATCTTTCTTTTAGTGTGCTTTTTCGACCGTGCGATGTTTTAAGATCGGACAATTTTTCTCTCCATTTTTTGTTATATTTGTTTGTTCCGTTATCTGGAGACAAGTTGGTTTCACTGCATGACTTTAGTTCAATACATGCTTCGGGCAATCATCAACCAGAGATGGTATATCATTCAAAATTGCTTTATGCAAGCGAAGCTCTTCTAACGGCTTTTGTTTTTCGTTCTGTTATCGTTGTTGTTGTTGTTGTTGTTGTTTTATTCAGGTCACTTTTTTTGACCATACTGTTATTAATAACACTTTTTATTCTTGATCTGGTCAAGGAGAATATTTTCAAAACCCTTAAACATAGAATTGTTAAACCATTTAAACGGTGATATCAATTTTATTGAAATTTTAACACTGAAAGTCAAGTGATCCGAAAACGACAACCCACAAAAAGCGAAAACTTGATCAGGTAAAAACGTTAAAATCATGATTCTTCACCCTTTAGATACCGAAAATTTGATCTCAAACTCCGAACAGATCAGAAAATTGTCGTTTGCCCCGTAAACCCAGGATTCTTCACCGTTTGTTGAATTGACACAAACAAGACCCAGGATGTTTCATTGAACAAGCCGAAAGTCAGCCGCACTCAATTTTCAATCTACCAAAAGGTTGTCTTGGAGCAGTCGTTTAATGCCTCTCTGTACGTAACGGCCGAGGAGCGAGATGAACTTGCCTTCAAACTTGGACTTTCACCTATTACTGTGCAGGTAAACGTCAAAGTTTCCTTTCTATTTTCCATCCTTTATGTAAGATGACTGAGATCTTGGAAGATATGGACAAGGTTGAAGTGAATACTGTTGCAATAGTGGCATTCGTAAGGCTGGTGATCGTGGTGGCGGTAGTGGTAATGGTCATGATAGTGGAAATGCTGCTGGTAGTAGAGCTTGCAATGGTTACAGTAGGATCCGCCGGTGGTAGTAATGGAAGTCTCGTTCGAGCTAGTGGTAGTGGTTGTGGCAATGGTAGTTTAATGTGACTGGTGTGCTAGCGGTATTAAAACTGGTACTGGTGGTGGCAGTGGTTGTTTCAGTGGTAGTGGTATAGTGATAGAAGTGCAGGTGGTAGTAGAACTGGTAGTGGTGGTGGTGGTAGTGGGGAAGTGGTAGAAGTAGTGTTAATGGTGGTGGGAATGGTGGTGTTAGTGTTGGTGGTGGCAGTTGTAGTAGTAGTGGTGGTGGTGGTAGTGGTAACGGTTACGGTAGTGGTAGTAGTAAAACTGATAGAGGTTCTAGTTGTAGTAGAACTGGTAGAGGTGGCGGTTGTGGTAGTGATTTAGCAGTGTGGTGGAAGAGGCTGTTGCAGTGCGATAGTGAAAGCGTGAGTGATAGTGGTAGTGATAGTGGTAGCGGTAGTAGGAGAAGTAGTAGAAGTACTGGTAGCAAACTTGTTTTAGGTACCAGCGGACTACTAAGGGTTGCCTCAGCCGTTAGCTGGTGAGTGGTAGTAAGACTAATTGACAGCCTGGAAAAATCTCGCCTAAGATGAATGAACCAATTATTTTTCACACACATCAACCAAGAGATCTACGCGTTTTAGATTATACACTTTCACTTAGTTGGCATGTATAATCATGTCTACTGTAGCTGGCATGTCAAATGGATAGGTCGTAAAACCGTTAGTTACCAGTTGAATAGATGCGGGAAGATAGCACTGAAGTACACAGCTAGCTGTCCTTATTTATTATATTTACTAGTTTGTTATTATCATCATCATTATCATTATCATCATCACCATCATCACCAATAATCTTGTTTGCTTTCATTTCTCAGACCTGGTTTAAGAACAGGCGATTCAAATGGCGCAAGCAAATGAAAACGGCAGATGCGAGTCGAACTGGGCTTTTTATACCACCACCATCGCTACTTGTTCAGCCCAGTCCTCTCTCCTTTCCTGTGTGGCAGCCTTGCATAGGATCTGAGCACCAACAGTCAGACGGAAACCTTTATGGTTACAGCAATTGTTGTGGTGTCAGTTCACCGCGCATGCTCAACTTCAGCAAAACACAATGGTGAAATTGGACGCTCTATGATCGTGATGTTAATTTTATCTATCATTTTGCAAGAGTAATTTGCTACTGACCGTTTGACGTTTTTGTTGGGTGGGGGGGGGGAGGGGGTGACTGGTTGGTATAGCCAGAGATAATAGGTGAAAGCGTAATACATGAAAGCAGGGGATAGGGTGGGGAGAGAGTTACTGTTTCTTATGGTGAGAGAGAGAGTAGATGAAAGCGGAGTAGGGTGGGGAGGGTATTACAGATTCGTATAGTGAAAGAAAATGGATGAAAGCGGGGTAGGGTGGGGAGGGAGTGACTGTTTCGTATAGTGAAAGAAAGTATATGAAAACGGTGTAGGGTGGGAAGGGGGTAACTGTCTCGTATAATGAAAGAAAATGGATGAAAGCGGGGTAGGGTGGGAAGGGAGCGACTTCTTCACATAGTGAAAAAAAAAAGAAAAAAGAAAGAAAATGAAAAAGATATGAAAGTGGGGTGGGGTGGGGGAGGGGGTGTCTGCTTCCTTCTATGGTGAAGGCAAAGGGGATATACCTTTGAAAATACTGTACATATGAATTCATGGTTGTGCAAATAAAGATAATTCTTGCTGTTGTATTTATTTTTATTGTTATTGATGTTTCTACTTGTTTTGTTGTCATATTAAGGAGGTTTAAAAGGTTTCAGGCTGCAGCGCTTTTACACATGCAGAGTGCCCTCACCTGAAATCACTGCAACACGAATTTTCCATCAAAAATCAAAACGGGCATTTTATTGAATTTTTTATTTAGTTCTATCTGATGAAATGTAATGAAACGGCGGCCATGTTGGTGTTCCAAACAGATCCTGTAGGAGTTGAACTCTTTTGTTATGTAAAAGCTTTCTTCTGTTTCCAATAAATTTGAATAGATGCTGGAAACAAAAAAAGATACGTGCTGGAGTCGACCATTTATTCGGTTGAAGTGGGATCCATATACGGTGAAACCTCTATTAAGCGGACCCCCTCTATTAAGCGGACACAAAGCTGCGTCCCGAAATTAACGTTTTATATTTCCCTTTATAACAAACCCCTCTCAGCGGACGCGGACACTAAAATAAATCGTATTTGGCCAATTTCTACTGTTAAAAACCTCTATTAAGCGGACACCAGACTGAATTGACAATAGTAGTATTGGATTGTTTCCTTGAAATACGTACTGTAGTCGATTAATAAAGATAAATCAATACATTTAGCTGTCAATAAACGGTAGATTAGACCGATATCCGGCAGTATAATTGTCATCCGCGATCAATTAGTTCGCCTAAAAGTCTTGGGCAAAGTACAGGACGACTTCCTTAATAGTTTTCTTAACAACATGGAACTTAATCACAGTACAGAGTAACCGCTGAATGTTACATGTAATCTTTAACAAAAGTTGCGCAATTTTTACAAACCTCTATTAAGCGGACACTTGGGAAGATCCCGAAGGTTTTTTTGCTTAATAGAGGTTTCACGGTATAAGTAATAGTTCCCAATAAATATTCCTTTCGCATAATATGTTTATTAATCTACCAATCCCGGCCAACTTTCTTGTGAATTCTCCTCTGTTCTCATGAATTTAACTCAGTTGAGCTCTTTTGAACCGCTTCATTCTAATCTTGAATTAACGGACTTAACGGAGCCAAAAATCCATATCACAGCACAAAGCGAATATATTAAGCTGAATGGGTACCTTTTTCAGGCTTACGTATAAGAAAGGGTAGGGATTTGACTAGTTAAAGTATATGAAATGGTCGGTTTTGTGACCGATTCATTTTTGAAAGACAGTGCTTTTACAGCAGTTAAAAGGGATGCAAATTTCTTAACGGTCCTTAACTAGGTAAGTGAAAAGGGTACCATTTGTAAATAGAAGGTATACTAAACGGGCACCTTTTTATGCCAAAAGTGGTAATAAAATGGTACGGGGTTGGAACTCGGGCAGAGCCTTCCAGTATAAAACTTTGTTGAGTACCCCCGGGGGCCCCGTCCTCAAGGGGTGACGAATGGTCTTTGTGAGCATTCGCGAGCATGCCGAGAACTGCGATTTTTTTGCGAGCACGAGCAGAAATAAAATTGCTTTGCGAGCTTGCGAGCAACGCAAAAATTTGGGGAGCACGAGCAAGCGAGCACTCGTTTAAATTTTGCGAGCAAATCGAGAAAAGGTAAAGTTTTGCGAGCAGTTAAAAATTTTAATGGACCATTCATCACCCCTTCCTCACGTATCGTCATCACACGTATCCTGTGAAAACGGGCACTGAAAACGGATCTTTTCATAAACGCTCCCCAGACGGGAGTTTTTTTTTAAAACGCTGTGTTCTTGTTTACATGTAGACGGACAATTGCACAATTAATAAAGTTGATGATGGTTAAGGATGCTGTCGTAATTCCATCGTTTTATCGTATTCATGTGGACAGGCGAAATATATACGAATATGTTACGTGTGGCGCGTGTACTTTTTCGAAAGCGGAGGAAAAAATTCTCCGTTTTCAAGAATATCCGGTTACATATTGGCAGGGACTAAAGTGACCATCGCATTGCATCTCATCAAGTCTGAAAACGTTAGACATGCGATGAAGCAGGAAAAAAAAAAGGATGTTACGAAATTTGGTATTCAAATTTTTAGTTCATTGTTCTCTTTCTTTCAACAGTTCCTCAAAATACTGGAGATGACATCCTCGTTTCTATTGTACAAATGCCAATTGGTAAAAGCAAATACGTCATGTTGGTATTAGCTCGCTTAAAGTCAACAATAATTATGTTGAGCTTTCTTTTACGTAGACGTCTATTTATTTAGGCTCTTCTCCCTTGATGAACTAAAACATTTACTTCAGCTGTTAGAAATTAACTTACGGTTCACGGAGAAAGTAGCCCGACGAAAGATCGTATTTTAATATTCACATTTCTTGTACCCAGTCACAGTTTTTGACGGGAAAGATAAAGGAGGACTTTACCATTGTGAAAAGCTCGGCAACAATACGCGTATTACACAATAATATCGTCTTTGTGGATTGCTCGTTACAGCCAGAAATTCTTCAATTAGACATTATTTTGCCAAGCTACCGTCAACAAGAAAATCATGGATCCCCGAATTGTGCTGATCTCTGGCTGTTCTAGCGGGATAGGACTCGCTACCGCTGTGCTTCTCGCAAAAGATGCCGGGAAACGGTTCAAGGTTTACGCCACCATGAGAAATCTGGCGAAGAAAGGACAACTGGAGGAAGAAGGGAAGGAGTATCTGGGAGACACATTGATCGTCAAACAGATGGATGTGTGCAGTGATGAATCAGTCAACCAAACAGTACAAGAACTGGTGGAAATGGAGGGAAAAATTGATGTGTTGTGTAAGTACCGTGACTTTTCTTTTCCCGGGCCTCACTTTTCCGAGTGTATTAAAAGCGCATATGAATAAACTCCGTGTTATTTTGACATTTATTCATCAGTCGTCTATCGCCAAATGGATGTTTATCGTAAGAAAGAAAAATAAATTAAGTCAGGATTGGATTTTTATAACAGTTAGAATCCATCCTATGCCTGCTATCAAGGGTGAACTCATTACAAAACTGTATATGAACTGGCCGGAAAAAATAACTTATGACCTCAGAATATGTTATCCTTATAAGCACGATTGTTATTCGATGTGCGACCTTAAATCCACTCAGTGGAGTGCAGTAATGTCACTGAAGGCGAGTACTTCCAACGAACAACTACACCGCCTGATAAGACGTATACACGCTATGGCGTGAACAGTGACGGAAGTATTGATGCAGGGGTTGTGCTAGTACATTGACCGTGTATTGCACCTATTTATCTGGCATTGCGCCTGAGTTAAAACCCATTGTTAACATTAAATATTCACCTTGGCAAGATGAATAACACAGCTTAGACTTCCCATCTTTTAAATACAGGAAGTAGGCACTTGTAAGAGATATAATAGGACGGGAAAGACCCAAGTAGTTTCTTTTCTCTCATCATGCCACCCCTTACATATAATTTTTCTCTTAAAAGAGTACGTCCCTTCAATAACCAAGAGCTGTAACTCATCTACCATCCTTTAGTTGATCAACATCGTCATTATTAAAATTGTTATTATGATATAAGTGGTATGATTTTTACGACCTCTCCTTATGATCTCGGGTACACTTTTTACGAAATTGCTTGAACCGATAATTTATTTATTAAGGATTACGTGTGATTAATATAAGTTCCCCATACAGATTATTTTGTGGAACTTTAAAATCATTTTAGTTAGGAAAGCACTTCCCAAATGAATATTAACTGAAGCAGGCTTATCGAAGATTCTTTCATCATGATGAAATATTTTCAATCCACAGTCAATAACGCTGGTATTGGGATAACAGGAATCCCCTTCGAATGCATTCCAATTGACGCGGCAAAGGAGCTGTTCGAAGTGAACTATTTTGGTTACATGAGACTTATCCAAGCCGTCCTACCCAGCATGAAAGAGAGGCAGAGTGGGCTCATCATCAATAACAGCAGCCATTTTGGAATAGTTGGGGTTCCTTTTGTGGAGACTTACTGCTCGTCAAAGTTTGCAATTGAAGGACTGACGGAGAGTTTGGCTCCTACACTTCGTCACTTTAACATCAGGTAAAGACAAACAATCAATAATTATATATATTTACCCAAGGAGCTCCAAAGAAATGCAGAGACAAGTAACTGTTATACAGTCAATTCTCTCTAAGATGAACCCTACCTATAGGTAACTTCATTTCCAATTTTGGATTGTTCCCCTTTTTCATTTTCCCGTTCCCCATGCTCGTTATCCATTTCCCGTTTTGATAACATCCGGTGGATGAACGGTTGTACGAACAGTCACGTGAAAACCTAAATTGCTTGCGTAGATTGATAACCAGATTTTCCTCATCACGGTGCTAAGTATCGCGTGAAGCTCTACTATAAGTGAAATACCCTACACTTTACTTCACCCTGGTTTAATGTTATCATTTTTTCGTTACTCCTTATGAGGTCAACATTGTAAGAAGGTTTCAATATTTCATTTGAAACTGGAATAGGCAACTTTTAATAGAATTTATTACTGAATATGAGCGAATGCGCCGACTGTTTTGAATGAAATACTCCTGGAATACTAATGTAGTTTGGAATAATTAAGTTAAAAACACACAAACAAACGAAATGGACTCTGGGAAGTCAAGAGACGTTATCACTAAAATGCCAGTCTCCTAAAGCTCATTAAAAACAGGTAAGGAGCAACAAAAGAAGATTTAAATTTGGACTATGACTTCTTCCTGATTTTGTCAAGGAGTGAAATATGCATGTGAGCTTCCCGGCTCATGAAAATCGTCATCTTGAAGAGCCATCATAGTTACTAATGCATGCTTTCGCTTTTTTTCTTTTGTTGTGTAGATGTTGTTTGCTGGAACCAGGGCCTGTCCATACTGCGTGCGTACCAAAAGCGTTAGAATGGGGACAAGATCGTGGCAGCACGCCAAACGTGGACCCTAAGACCGTCGACCTCATGAATAAGACCATTGCAAACATAGAAAAGGAGTTTGGTAGTGCAATGCAGACCTGTGAAGAATGTGCCCAATTCGTAAAGGAAATAATTTTAGGTGAGAAGGACAACCTTCGTTGTCAAACTAATGAGGAATTCGGGTCAAAAGAAGTAGCTGCAAAGTTAGCTGAGCCAACAGGGAATGCTTCTGTAAACATCATTACCGCACGATACCTTGGCGAAACGAAGCAAGAATAAACGATGGGCCATCCTTTCCTTGATTGCAATTTGCAGAGTGGTTGTCGCCGTTTATGTTTTGGTTGTCACCAAAGGGTAGCCTCATACATGTAGCTCTCGTAGTTGTAAAACCTTCAGGGTAGAATAAAAATACAAGAATTAAAGTTATATCAACTGTTACTGGGTGCTTAGGGTTTTTTTGGCAGAAGGGGCGAGGAGACAGTGGAGCCGGGGGGGGGGGGGGTGGGTTGGTGGGAGGGAATTTTGCACTCGTAACTGGAATACAGTAAACACCAGCGAATAAGAACCTGTGGATTAAAAACCTCCTGGCAGAAATGTGCCACTTTAGTACACAAAAATACAAGGACCTGTTTAGACAATTAAGCAAGATCAAGCAGGTTCTTATATGTGGGTTTCAGTTAAATTACGATAAATAATCTAATAAAGGAGAGTAACTTTGACGTTATAGATTTAGGTGTAACAAGAACGTACTTTACGAAACTGTAAATACATTTGGTAATCAGTTTTTAGGGTTATAGAAATAAAATTGTCAATAGCTAAATGGTTTATTTTTCTGTTAATTACAATCTATTATCTCCTTCCTAAATATTAAGAACCTAATTAAGAACCTACTTAGCTTAAATTGCCAATAAGTACCCCAAAATACAAGAACCTATTTTGCCAGACGTGAAAAAAGTAGGTTATTATGAGCGGGTGTTTACTGTGCCTTTGGTATGGTAAAATGTAAATACCCTGAAAGGGCTCACCCATGCAATACGATTGTTCACAATCGTTTCGAACAGAGAGTTAAAAACTGGTAATTACACGAATAGTATAGAGTACAAACAATGTAGACCTAGCCTGGAAACTCTTGAAGCAACGTTACGACACTATGTAAGGATTCAACTTTCTCGCTTTCAGACTGAAATGTTTTTCGGGTTTGAAATCTTAATTTACTGTAATAAAGGGGTTATTCGCTCTTCATCTGAACGGTCAACGAGCGTTCTACGCTTTTTTGTGGTTGGGTATTTAGTTTAATATTTCTGACCTCGAGCTCTCGACATATATTTCAGTATTTTTTCGTTTTTTTATCTTTATTTTCTTTATTATTATATTTTTATCCCCCAAAGTATGTAAAAATCACACCTCACAATAATTAACAGGACAAAAATGGACCGTGTCCAGTCGAGCCGGCCTTTCGGACACGTCAATATCATCTCCTTCAAGTCAAGTGGAACAGACACTACTTCTTTTGGTCCCAAAGACGCTGAAAGTAATTAATCTGGTGTTTTCTATGTCTTTCTGTCCCATAATTCTCCCAACGGGAACTTTTGACCGCCATTTTCACCTCTTAGGATTTTACTTGTTTTCACATGTTCTTGACACGGTTTTTCACATGACAAAATGTTCAATGCTATTCACATTTCTGTGAAATACAGTGACAAATCATTTGAAAACCCTGCTTGAGCTCTCGTTTTGCCAAAAAATATCATATCGATAGCCAAATCTAATTTTTGTTCTTATTAACACTGTGGAACAATTATTATAGCTTGGTGGAGGTTTGATCAAATGTTTGTGGGTATCAAAATAATAAAGGATGTGAAATTTTAAAAAAAAATTAAACAAGGGTCAAAATAACGAGACAAAGATCGCCACAGATTACTGCACGTGTTTTAGCAACGGAGTCACCTTAAGTCAATATACAGCGATTAAACAGAAAAGTTTTTCAAGCTGCTTTTCACAAAAGAATCATGGTTCCCCAAATCGTGCTTATCTCTGGTTGTTCTAGCGGCATTGGACTCTCCACCGCTGTGCTTCTAGCTAAAGATGCCGAGAAACGTTTCAAGGTTTATGCCACTATGAGAAATCTGGCGAGGAAAGGACAATTGGAGGAAGAAGGAAAGGAACAACTTGGAGAAACTTTGATCATCAAGCAGATGGACGTGTGTAGCGACGAATCGGTCACTATGGCTGTTAAAGAAGTGCTCAACGCTGAAGGAAAAATTGATGTGTTGTGTAAGTACGATGACTATTCTTTGCCCAAATAAAAAATCTCCGCGTTGATTTCACATTAAATTTTCGTTTTGATTAATTTGAAGAACACAGATATAAAGCAGGCACCAATGAAGTGAGGAACAAAATTCGATTGCTTAAGTTTTGACTGAAATCGGGATTTATAGGAATTGCTGCCTGTTTCTTGTTGTTGTTGTTTAATCGATTCTTAGCTTTCACAGTTTTCATATGATGAATTATTGTATATTTTTAGTTTTTAATTTTAAAATTTTTGTAATATAATTTTTTGCTGTTGTTGTTGTTTTTTTTTGTTTTGGAATTTTAAATTTTAGTAATATAATTAGGGACGTGGATTACCTGTAAACTAGCTGATAGCTATGGTGTTCAATCCCCGCCAAAAATCAACTTGAGTCCTCAACATTCAACTTGACCCGATAACATTAAATTATAGCACTCAACTTTCAACTCCACGTTTCAACATTCAAAGTTAATAATTCAAGTTAAACTCCCAAAAATCAACTTGAACCTCAACATTCACCTTGAGCGGCTAACATTAAGTTATAGCACCCAACTTTGAACTTCATGTTTCAACATTTAAAGTTAATAATTCAACTTAAACTCCCAACATAACATGATTACTTGTTCTTGAAAATTGAGCGCGCAGCATTCTACCTATACTACAACATGCCAGTTTAACAACCAACATTCAACTTGAGAAACCAAAACCAACTTTGCAATTTCAGTATTCAGTGCTCAGCGTTATATACAAGTCTCATCATCGTATCAGACGCGATGGGTCGTGAATAATTGCCGTGCGATTAAAGTTCGTCGTTGCGAATTCTTGACCTACCTAGTATAGGTAGAATGCTGCGCGCTCAATTTTCAAGAACAAGTAATCATGTTAAATGTTGGGAGTTTAAGTTGAACTATTAACTTTAAATGTTGAAATGTGAAGTTGAAAGTTAGGTGCTATAACTTAATGTTAGCCGCTCAAGTTGAATGTTGAGGACTCAAGTTGATTTTTGGGAGTTTAATTTGAATTATTAACTTTGAATGTTGAAACGTGAAGTTGAAACTTGAGTGCTATAATTTAATGTTAGCGGGTCAAGTTGAACGTTGAGGACTCAAGTTGATTTTTGGCGGGGATTGAACACCATAGATAACTAAGCGTAATATCCACGTTAAATAAAGTATCGCATCGTATCGTATCGTTTAACACTGTATAAGGAAAGTGGTCACGTGCCAGAGGTATGACCACAACCGGTTGCTTCTTCCCACGGTGTTCTGGCCTTGTTAACGTCTGGAAACAGTAATTCCCTTGGTTCTAGGGTGCACACATTGCAACGCTGTGTATGAACCAGCCAGCTTAAGGGCCTGAGGTGGGGGATCCGAGACAGGTGAGATAACATGTGGCGGGTCAACCAACCTATTATGCAAACGTGATCAAATTAAAATGAGAGATTATGTGAAAAGGCGGGTTACCCCACCTAAGCGGGTTACCTCACGTACTTGGGGTCCCCCACCTCCATGTAAACACTGCCTTAAATAACCTATAAACACAACATATGTTTACTAAACAAATTGTTATAAATGTCTTTAAATTTATTCAGTTTGGGAGAGAGGTGTCACCGAATGACCAATATAAAAGGCGAGAAGTTCCTATTAACATTGTCTAATGTGTACGTGTTTTACGTCCGGGGAAGAGTGAGGGTGCGGAAGGGAGGAGGGGTTGCTTTGGGATGCCTCTTCGCTTCGCTTTGGGTAAAATTGCAGTTTTTTTACCTCACGTAGGAAGTTCAGGACAAAGAGCCTATTGAAAGAAATGTCGTTAAAGAGTGTTGAAGTTTGGTCTCCTTAAATTAATGGCGTTAAAAAAAAAGACTGAGCCAAGGGTTGAATTCCAGTCTTGGTATTTATGGTGTACTTTGGTCACTTTGGCTCATTCTTTTAATTTGAGATACGCAGAGTGCGATCACTAAAATACTTTCAATCCGCAGTCAATAATGCCGGTATTGCGATGGTGGGAATTCCTTTCGAATTTATCCCTATTGACATGGCAAAGGAGCTGTTCGAAGTAAACTATTTTGGTTACATGCGACTTATTCAAGCCGTTCTACCCAGCATGAAAGCCAGACAAAGTGGGCTCATTATCAATAACAGCAGTCATTTTGGAATAGTCGGAGTTCCTTTTGCGGAGACTTACTGTTCGTCTAAGTTTGCCGTTGAAGGACTGACGGAGAGTTTGGTTCCGACACTTCGTCACTTTAATATCAGGTAAATACCTACAATCACTAGATAAATTTATCCAAGCCTAAAAACGGAGCTCCTACACAATTCTCCAATGTAAATACTAATCTTTTACTTGAAACCATATACAATCGAATGTCTCATGGTACGGACACCTCTCTGTTACGGACAGTTTCCAATGTCCCGACAAATTCTTATATATTTTCTTAAAAAAAAACAAAACAAAACAAAACAAAACCTATGCCAGGGTAATACGGACACTAAATCTCGGCCCCAGAGAGTAAATTCATATAAACTTAACCTCTTTATTACGGACACTGCGGTGATCAGCTGATTTCCTGAATCCCGATCAGGTGAATCTGCACAGGGTAAATCCCGTCTAGTCTGGCTGGTGAGCTATGCAAGGTGATAAATATCCCAGTCCCTGTATACCAAACAACGATTTGCGAAAGGTGTACAGAGGAACCGACGTCTTGAAGGCTTAAATAACTACAGATAGCATAAAGATCTTTTCTATTACCATGATTACATTTTGTACTCTAGTTACTGTTTACTGGACTTGCAAAATAGCGAAAGACGCTTTCATAATTTAGCTTTACGTTACAACTTTTTACATGCAGCATTGCGCTGTAGCTTGTTTCGTTTTAAAACAGTAACTTGTCTGTACATGAGATATACAATGTTAGTATATACACACTCAGTGATCTTGGTGATTTAAGCAATCTGATTGGTTCGCTATCTCGGACTATTCAACAATATTCACCTCCTAGCGAGTGGATAATGTGTGAGCTCGGTGTTTTTCCCGTTTTTTTTAGAGAACGATCTTTTAAAAGTCGACAAACTCCTAGGGCTGACTTTTTTTAAGGCAAGAAAAGACTTGGAAGGATTCAATACGGCGTTTTTCAATTTACTGTAGCAGGAGTTTTGTGCTCGATGGATTGTTTACAACTCCCGTGTATTCGCGTAGAAGAAGCCGTTTCGTGAACTCAGCGTTTTCTAAGAAGAAAATTTTGGCTCAAAAATCGAAGTTTATTTATGACAAACAAATTTAAAAGGAAATGTTTGCAGAAATTCTACATTTCAAGTAAACAGGAAAAAGAATGATACAGGAAGACGACCTCTTACCTCGAGCAACCGAGCCGCCATTTTTGTCAGCACTTCATGCGAAGAACGACACAGCATGCCCTTTTGGCTATAAACTTGGCGAGTCAACAGAAAACAACACAGCTCTACTTTTTTTCTCAGGTAAGGAAACAGTTCAAACTTTTAGCAATTCCATTGAAGCCATTACGCTGTTGTTTGCGAAATGAGTAAACTTGTGAATTGCCAAGTTTGAAAATTCTGCAAAGATCTATTTTTAAACTTACGCGTGATTTGATCTGTCAATCAAATCCTACTTTTGAATGGTTTCCTTTCTGGTTTTGTTGAGATCACTTCGTGTGTATATACTAAAACAATTATTCTTCTCAATTTCGGTGAATAGTGGCTTTGGGAATATTTACCTCGCCGCTTTCGCGGCTCGGTAAATATTTTGCCACTATTCACCTCGATTTCAAAGAATAATTGTTAATTGTATGCTACTGAAAGACAGTGTCTTTGTACTGTGAATTAATAACTTTAGATGCAGTTTAAAGACAAGAGTGACCCAGGTTTTAGCTACTGGACACTTAAAACTGTAAGTGGAGTCCTTAAAGTGACGTCATCATAATGACCTCTTTTAAACGGACACCTCTCTAATACAGACACGTGGCACGGTCCCTTCGGCGTCCGTATTATAGAAAGGTGCGACTGTAATCTCCTAAACCTTGTTCAGACTGGGCTTTTAGTAGCTTCCTAAGACCGGGGACGGTTTTACAGACAGCCAAATGACAAACTTAAGTCTCACTTCGTACATAACGCTAATTTCAAAAAACCTCATCGTTCACAGCATGTGCATTGCTATCAGTGAAATTTCATGCACTTTACCTCATCCTAGTTTAATTAGTAATATCTATCACAAGAGACGAGACCAGGTAAAGTACGTCCGTATCATGGTATGGAGACACTTGACACGCGTTTGGCGCCTGGTTTTCAGGGATAGTAGAGCGAGTAAAATACGCGACCGTGCGTGAAAATCACTATTTTCAAGAATCGTTATCATTAATAATTCTTTACTAAGCTGTTTGCACGTGTTCTTCTGTTTAGATGCTGCCTATTGGAGCCAGGAACGGTTTTAACTCCGTTTTCAGCAAAAGCACAGGAATGGAGTCGAGTTAGCACGCCAAACGCCGACCCTAAGACCTTAAACCTCAAAAGTACGTTTTCTGCAAAGATACAAAAGGAGATTGAAGGCAAATCGCAGAGCTCTGAAGAATGTGCCCAATTCGTAAAGGAAATAATTTTAGACGAAAAGGGTAACCTTCGCTACCAAACCAACGAGAAATTTGGATCTAAAGAAGTAGCTGCAAAGTTAGCTGAGCCATCGGGGAATTCGTCCGTTGACATCATTACCACACGGTACTTTGGTGAAATTAAGCAGGAACGATAGACCATCCTTTTATAGTCTGCAAGTTCGAGCAGTAGTTCGCTAAGCTGTGGTAGCCTCATAGCCCTCATAACCTTAACGGGCGATATAACATTTCAAGGAATAAAGTGATACTAACCGTTTATACTCTATGCTTGTGGTTCTCTCCGATAAGGGGTGAGGCGAGAAAGGGGAAGGGGGGGGGGGGGACCTTTCACATAGTTTTACGCAACTGGAATACCTTTGCGAGATAAATGTTATTGGTAGTCCGAAAGGAATTACCGAAGTCTTCATTGTCGTTCCAAACAGAAGGAAAAAGAACTGGGAATTCTTGAAGCAGAGACTGCGCAATGATCATGCTACAATGCTATACTTGAGGGAACCTCTTTCTCCAGTTTGGATTGCAATGTTATGTGAATTAGGAATTCACCGTACCAAAATAGACCGTTCGTTTTTTCATTGCCAGCATATGCTTACATGATTTTTCTTCCAAATTCTGAAGTCCTATAGGATTTCGTACAGGGGGATTCGGTTTTTAAACGTTTCTCAGCATGAATTTATCAAAAACTGATTGATCATTGTTTTTCTTAATTTCCCCAAAAAGGGAAGCATCAGTGACCTTTCTGCAACTTCTTTTAAAGCTTTGTAAAGTGAAGTGTGTAAATAAAACCACACGTCGAAATAATATAACAAAAATAATCATTGTGCAGTAGAACCAGCCTTACGGTCATCTCAGGTAGAACATCTCCTTGACTAAGAGTAGATAGTCCCCTTGTCCCCAAAGATACATGTACAAAATTCAAAATTCAAAGTTCCCTAATACGGAACCCTCTGTACTGCGGACACTTGAAAGTTAAATCGTTGTTAAATCAAGTGATCCAGCCGGGGTGAAGGAAAGCCTGCTGTTAAAGCAATGTATGCAAGAAAGATCATGTTTGAAACTGAAGAATCACTTGGGACAAAAAGCATTTGCAACTCAGTGCAAATACAATTAACGACACAATGGACTTAAATTATCTCTGAATAAAAAATTTTGCCGTGCTGGGGTCTATTTAATAAAACTTTAACAAGTGTAGCCATTGTTTTAGACTCTGAAAACAATAGATACACTTGTAAAAGTTTTATTAAATTGACCCCTGGTCAATAGAGATGAATAATAAAATTAATAATAACAATAATAATAATAATAGCAACATAGAATCTGGCCAAGCCTCTTTTTTGGCGGTTTCTTTCCTGAATTTTAAATTTATTTATTATATTATTTTTATTATTATTCACAACAGTTTTCATAGTATTTAAGACTAGTTACAGTAAATTAAGTCTTCTCTCAACCATATGCAAGTGTCGTTCAATGACCTAAACGGCGGATACCTCGTCGTGGCTAAGTACCCCAACGAATCGGGTAAGATTACAACGATACGGTTAAATAATATCTCAGTTATCCAGATAGCTGTTATTTGAGTAGCTTTCTAAAAGGCATTACACAGCAGTATCCCCATCGCAATAAGGTGTACTAAAGCTAAGCCTTTCACTGGTGTGTCATGTCTGAAAAAAATTGAGCTCATCTTCAACCGCAACAGAATTTGGTTTTCTTCTGTTTGGGTGTGCGCGTGAAACAGAATCTTCTCAAAAATGAAGCTTAAAGGTTTGTCCGGTCTTATTTATTGTTAATAATACCTTACAATAGCCACTGAATTACTTTGGTGCTGAGGGATTACCGGTGAAAGTCAAACGACACGACGCTCGGAGGTAATCACGATGTACTTTCTTACGTGTAAAGATTAAGCGTTAACTGAGAACGCTGCCAGTTAGAATTTTTGTGTTGTAACCAGAAACAGAGAGGCTTTAAATAAGAAAGGTAAGAAAAACAATCTCTCATTTCTTTTAAAATCTGTGGCAAACAGTCATATACTGCAGTGACTCAGGACTCACAAAGCAAAAGATAGTTTTTTGACTTTGCGATTCCCAAAAAAGAGGCGGATATAACATCCACCTTACATAATAATTGCAAGGCCTCTTGTGCAAGAAATACGTTAATGGAAAATAATTTTGTTTTTTTGTTTTCTTGTTTCCGTCGAGGATCAATATCTTTCTAAGCATATTTCAGCTAAATATATCTAATGCAATGATCTGTTGACAGAGCCAGTCTAGACTTCACAGCTGAGGGCCATGAACTCCTTCAGTGAAACTATCACGAAAGACAACAAAACATTCGTCTAAAGATGTGAGCAAGTGCTTCACCCTTTAGTAGGAATTCGGTTATTTTCCTCGAGTATTCGTACAAAAAGAAACCCAGATTTTCCAATGTGCTGCATTCGTGGCAGGAAATTTAACTGACTTAACTCGCAAGAAGGCGAACATATTTCAACAATAATGTTTATTTGTTTACTGTATTTTCATAAAAGCTTACAGTTCTGACAAATGTTCTCGTCAAAAAAAGATAAAATGAAATTTTTAAATTTCAGTGCGAATTGTTTGAATTTCCAGGTGTTTTCTTCTCGTTTCTTGCCTTGGCGGCGTTACTGACGGTAACCGAGTCCCATCCAGCTTATGAAGGTAGACTTAAATAGTAAATTGTAATTATCTTAATATTATTAGCCACTTTTTCGGGGCTTTCCAGGGATAACTTTCAGCACTGGGTGGGGGACTTTTGCCATACTGCTTATATATGGTGCACTTTACAAGTCAGCTGACAAGTTATGAAGTAATGTGTAATGATGCCCCTAAAGCGAGTGTGAATTCAAGACAGACCGCAAAATCTTTACGAACAGTGTGTGGGTCAGTTCTTTAACGTCCCAAAGAATTTAGTAAATGTGCTAGGGTTGTGATACCGGACCAACCGTTTATCCTCCTTTCCCGATAACATTAGAAACTCTAACCGTTTACAGATGTCATTACAAAGGCACCACTATATCTCCTCAGAAAGTGCACAGTCTTGTTGTCAACTTGTTCGTTTGTTTGTTTATTTCATTTTGCCACACAAACAAACATATACGTATAACGTATAAAAGAAGATGAGGCAAGGGAGCCCAAGAAAGCCAATAAGACTTGTGAATAGGACCCCCTTTAAAATTATGTTATAAATTCCAGGGTTCTATCTAGGGTATTTGAGGGGTAGAAGCTTCCCCCTCAAAATGCCCAGCTTTCCCCCCCAAAAAATATTGTTATCATTACAGTATATAAGTAACTATATCGGAAAAATCATCCAGACGCGACGAGGTCAGTGCACATTTCTCAAAATTGGGTCTCAAAATGCACCAGATTGCATCTCAGTGCATATTCATTTCAAGAAATTTCCGGGGGAGCATGCCCCCGGGCCCCCCTAGGAAGCTCGTGGCCTTCGGCCACTCGGGACTTCTCCCCCAAACGATAAATCCTAGATAGAACCCTGTAATTAATAAGCAAAATACTGACTAATTGGTAAGGTATTAGGTAAAAAGTAAAGGAATCCAAGATGAAGGTCTCAATATGCATCGAGCTTAAAAAACCCATCCACAAGAAAAAATAAAAAAACAAAAACAAATAAATCGCACTTCGTTTCTAAGCCTTTTTCGGCTGGTTAATTTTTGTAACATCTCTTGTCTTACATGCTTACCGACCTAACTAATTGACTTTTAAATGCTCAACTGATAACGGGCGTGAACGGTGGAAATTTATAAACAGAGAGTACCCATCCATTGGTACCGCGGCTGACTATACTTCGGATGATCAAAACGTTACATCTCCTTACCTCCCACTCCTCGTTACGTAACCGAATATTCCGTCTTTTCCCAGCTTCTCCGGAAGATACCCATGGCAATTTTGACATAGTATTTCCCGAGAGATTAAACATTAAAGGACGAGCAAAGAGAGATTTGTTTACAAAATCAAAGGTACATAATCAAGAAGAACTTACGTTTATATCTAGGAATAGTCGCTTGAGCTCTCTTCTACCCTTGTCTATCGATTATGAGCAGGGCTGGGCTGGTGATTCAGAAGATAGGAAGTGTTACAAATCGACGAAGGCCATTTTCTTCAGCATCTGTGAGAAAGAAAGTAAAGACCGAAGAGGAGCAATTAAAAATGACAATTTGTCGCTCAAATCTTTGCCTGTCAATCTGCCTGCTAAAAAAGTTCTGCGGACACCACGAAAGGATTAATTTTACATTATAGTTTGATCCGGGGGGGGGTTACTGCCATATATGGGCTATACAGGTATGTGCCGCTGTGAAGGGTATGGTTTTCAAGCAGTTTACTCTAGGATAGGGTATAAATCAGAGCGTTTGGGTCTAGAATAGGGTATCATTTTTTTAGGAAACTGATCAGTTGGTTGAAGATTTTATCTAGACTAGGGGTTGTGGTATAAGGTTTTGTTTTGGCTAGACTGTGCTAGTGACCTCGGTAGTTTCTAGAAAACAATGAGCTACTCTAAGATAGGGGGGATTTGGGGAGTTTACTGTAGTGTAGGGTAGCAAAATTCAGCTGAACTAGCTCTGGTATAATGGCGCTTCAATCAAATTTGTTGCCGTTTTAACACCAGAAAGGACACGACGACCGGGCTTCCTTCAAACTGAAAGCCTTTGGCAAACAAGTGGCTGTGGACGTTCGTCTCAACAAGTAAGTGCTGTAGGTTTTATAACTGGGAGAAAATATTTCCTATGTTTTTGAGAGGTAGCAAAATCTCTAGGAAAAAAAACTTCCTCACCCACCTCCCCCTCCCGGGACAAGACGAGAGGCTCTCCACTGCGAGATTTAGGTACGGTGGAATCTCGATATAACGAACCACTATATAACGAAGTCATCAGTGTAACGAACGATTTTCTTTATAATTTAAAGTTAATTGGATAAAATTGGGCAATAAATCGTAAGTTCGCCTTCAAGGCTCCCCCGAAATACTTAGCAGACACCTTGCTAAATTTTTTGTTTTCTTTTAATATTCAGGCTAGTTTTGACACCACAATTCACTTTACGTTATTTCAAGGAAGATGGCCAACTAGTGGAGCAAAAGGTACATATAAGGTATAAGATGTATGAATATAAAGCAAAATATATATATATATATATATATTACTTGGATCAATTTTCAATAGACCTTTTGAATATCTTATTTCTCTAAGGAATAGACCTGCGTCCTCTTGTAATATGGTGCGGGACGAAGACTTCGTCTTTCGCTTCAACGATTCACGGCCTAAAAAGCTCGCTCCTCTCGCTTAGAAACTCGTGAGGTCGACTTGTGGCAAGTCTACCAAATGGATAAAAATAGACAACTAAGGGTGGAATTGAATTTTAGTAGGAGAAGTTGACAGATGAAAGAAATTAAGTTAAGTTAAGTTACCTTTTTGAAAGTTATTAGCTATTAGACCGCAGAGAAATTGCTGGGATAACAAGTGCTTAATTGTACATTACTTGCGGGATGAAATAGTCTGAAAATCCTTTTGCTAATCTAACTGAAAATACTTGCAGATACTTAAATGATAGCTTAACTAATAATTATTTATTTTGTAATTGTTTTCTTTTTCTTGATTTTTGTTTTGTATTGTTTTTGTTTTTGTTTTTTGTTTTTTTTTTTACGTCAAATAACAGGTAGCTCCAACCAACTGCCACTACCAAGGTTATGTGATAGGACAAGCGATGGGGTCGACAGTTATCCTTGATACCTGTTATGGATTGAGGTAATAAAATACCTAAACATATGCATTTACATGTGGTTCATTTCCTTCCTAACCTAAATTTTAAATATTTATATATATTTTTTTGTTCCATTTCTTTAGTGGCATGATCGAAGATGATGAAGGACAAATGTACATCGAACCATACCCCACTAAGGTTTACATTTGAAATCACGGCATTAAATTGGAACACCCCAACAAAACTCTTTGCAAAATTAATGTGTGATTAATTCATTGTATTATAGGGCAGGGGAGCACACAAGATTTATAAAACAAATAATTATGAAAAGGAGAAAGGATTTTCATGTGGTAGGCAAAATTAACAGAAACTGCTCTTTAAAAGCAAATCTTCCAAACGGTAATCTTTTAAAATACCAGAATATCAGAGAAGTCTCTACATAAACTTTTGCCTTATAAAAAATATATTTTTAACAAGGAATGATGAGTCCTGAAGAAATGCCAGCAGAAGAAGCAAGTGGCACCCAGGCATCTTCCTCCAGGGTAAGCCTAGAAACTTTTTATGAACAATATACCATAAAATTCTGCTTATAAGCCCCACCCCCTCTTACAGGCCCCCCTAGTTATAGGCCCATCTACTTGTAAACAACAAAAAAATACATCCAGTTATAAGCCCCTGCCCCCTCCCCCTTCCCCACGGATAAATGCTAATGAGAAGAACAATTGAGAATTCTTAATTGCAAAAGAGTTGGAATCTTGTCAGTTGCTAATTTTACAATGGACACCAGAGTCTTCCGAATAAAATGTGCATGTCGCGATACTGGGAAAAGTACATATCAACTGTTGGATTTTTCCTCACTAACTAAAAATTGTCAAACAACCAATGCCACAATTTTATCTAGCTGTGGTAACTCAAAAGATCACAAAAATCAGCAAACAGGCAAGTATATTTAAAAGTACTACTTTTGCCTCACAAAGATTATTCTTGGTTCAGAATTAGCTACCATTAATAAAGTGCAGTTCATTCCAGCATGAGTTGCCCATGACTACAACAATATTGTGCACCTCATTAGCATATAAGAAACAAGTTGTACAAATTCACTCTAATGATAACCAAAATTTGCATGGAAAAAGATATTGGGACATTAAAAACTTGCATACATAAATGACAAATAAAGGATCCATACTTTCAACAGCTACTGCAGTTGTAGGAGAGTTGATCATATATGAAGTTTTGAAGATGATGATGATGATGATGATGATAAAGATGATTAGCATGAGGATGATGATGATGATGATGAACATATCTGTTCAGAGTTCTTGAAACTAATTCTTAGCTTGTTCCTTGTATTTTTTTTTTTTTTACCTTTTTAAGAATAAAAGAGAGGCAGAAGAAACCATATACAAGAAATATCTAACAACCAAAAAAACCCGATATGTGGAATTAATGATTATTGTTGATAATGTGGTGGTAAGTGAAAAAAAATTAAACAATTAAACAAACATGCAGGCCTGTCTGCCTGTAAACAAAAAAATATATCCACTTATAAGCCACCCCTGTCCCCAGACAAATCTATTATTACGTTTTGTCTTTGTAACTTTCACAAGCACTGCTATATAGCGGCCTCGCATTCCAGTTATAAGTCCCTGCGATATAAGCCCCTCCATTTAGAAACCCTCCTAAAACCTCTTGCTAAGATACAAAAACCCAAGGCTTATAAGCGGCAGTTTAAGGAATTCTGGTTACCAAAAAAATCCAGTACTGATGCATCCAGGATTGCCAACAGCTTTGAAATTTATAAAAATCATCTACAATAATTCAACAAAAATTCACAAGGCCAACAATAATAAAATGGAGGGACAAAAGCAAATGAGTTGATGAAAGCTGTCAATGAAAACTGAATCAATCAGTTAACATATTCAATTGAGGAGTTTAATGGAGAGAAAGCAATTTTGTTCTTGTACACCAGCATGCACAGCCGCCACGACATCACCTGAAAACCAGCGATAATGGCAAAAATGCATGTACCTGGCCACCTGTTACTATATCATAACATTAAGCGAGAATGTGACTTTTGACAATTAATCAGCACTTTTCATAAAATGTCTTTTTCTGTCAGCATGTTATTTAGCCCAAATATAAAGGTAAATGGGGTAAATAAAGATACAAATTCAAAGATATAAGGCTATGTGTACGGTGTTGCTTCCCAAAAGCGTTACATAGGCCAAGTGCACCATTTCGGTGCACTGTGCACTGCACCGAATTCGGTGCACTGGTGCACCGAATTCAGTGCACTAGTGCACCGAATTTAGTGGAAAAGTGCACCGAACTCGGTGCACCAAGTGCACCGAATTCGGTGCACTAGTGCACCGAGTTCGGTGCACTAATTCTCAGTCTCTAGAACGCTAGTCACATCGTGTTTTGTTTTTAACTTTTGGACGATGTTGTTTAATCAGCTCTGATCAGCTTCCCAAAGACGTGATTTTACGCATTTTTAGTTTTATTTCGTTTCATCTCATTCGAAGAACCATCTCTCTTGTTTGCAAAAGTGGAGCAGGATTTCTGAAGATCCGTCGATTGTGAGAAAGGTTCCCATCGAAAATTTTGAGTCAATTCGATTGCATGAATCTCTTACCTTCACGCAGCTGAAGAATGTCGTCGAAAGTTATCTGGGTTCGCACAGCAGACATCAAACTAAAACAAACACGGTTTGCTCGCAGACGAGTTTATACCGTATCGGCTTTAAAGTTGGGCTTCCGTTGGGATTTCACTGTCCAAACACCAGTAATTCTTCTGAAAAATATCTTTGAATTCATGTTTAATACGGCTTGATCAACTTTATACAGGTAGCGCTGGCCGAAGTTGTAGGGGAAAGGCTTTAATAATATATTTTCGACATCTGCGTTTGTGTGTTCCACGTGGCCTAGTGGTAACGAAAGCAAGCTCGGCGCGCCAAAGGTACCAAGTTCGAATCCGCCGATGATAACTTTTTCTCTTCGCTTCTTTGCCTTTTCTTTTCTATTTCTTTTTGTTTAGTTTTCTTTTTAGTTATTGCAGTTTTGTAATGTTTCTTTATATAGCTTAAGATTTTTAGATTTATAAATTTTCTTCTCTATTATCTTATCTTGCCATTCCCCCGAAGTCCTTCGCGAGGTCCTACGATTTACATCTTTCTAGTAAACAAATCGAAAATGTGTTGTACGAAATGGTGAACCAAAGTGCACTGTTTCGGTGCACTAGTGCACTTGCTATTTAGTATTCGGTGCACTAGTGCACTGAAATACTAATAACAGTGCACTTTGGTGCACCAGTGCACCGAAAAAGTGCACTTTGGTGCACTAGTGCACCGAAAAAGTGCACCGTATTACTTCTCGGGACATGGCCGCCTTGGACATGCCATTCAGACGGCTGTGTATAAAAGTGGGACGGGGACAAGGGGACGGGGACATCGGGACGCGTGTGTGGGGACTTGGGACTTGGGGACGCGAGACGAGGGACTTGGGGACGTCAAGTATGGGACGCGGGGACGCGGGGACGTCAAAAACTAGGACGCAGGGAACCCGGGATGTTAATGATTATTGCAAAAGTCGGAGGTAAATGCGATATCTCTTTCTTCGTGAAAATGTGTTATTTATGGTCAACATTAGATTCCATCTTCCAAAACCACATTGGACACCTTATGATGTTTACACAAAATATTTCTTTATAATAGAAGTATTAAAAGCCCACTGACTATCGTGATCAGGTTTAGGGTTGATTTCCACTGTCGCGTAATTTTTCCATGCCTACGTGCGTAAAATTCACGTTCGCACATAAAATAGAGGCAATGTCTGAAAGGCCGCACGTAAGCGTAAAAGTAGAATCTCGCTCAACTTCACGTTTAATCTCGACAATTTATATCTTGCCTATCTTATTTACGTGATTAAAATTTACTTGCGTTCACGTGCATAGCCAAAAACGCGTCGGTGGAAATCAACCTTTAAGTACTGTTAGCAAGCAAGGGACTGTTAGGTTTGCCACTAAAAATGTCGAACAAAATAAATATTGCTGCAATAGTTGAATCCCTCGTGGTTTAGTGGTACAGGCGATGGATTTCGGAGTTAGAACTTTGGGATTCGAAGCTCGCTAATGCCCCTTAATTTTTATTTATTTGGAATCGAATGCTGTTATTCTACATAATTTTTGGCGATCGCAACCGCAACCCACCCTACCCCAATTGGCTCCAATATTCCATCAGCAAGAAGACTAGGACAACGGTTTCACTTTCTTCAATGCAGGGGGGTCTTCGCCGAGTCTTCTCTTCGCAAACAGGCATGGAGGAACCCTAAGGAGGGCAGGGTGGGTTTCCTTTCACCAAAACATATTCACGAGGAAAGTGACTGATATCGCATTTACCTGCGACTTTTGCAATAATCAATCACATCCCGCCTCCCCTGCGTCCCTGTATTTGACGTCCCCGCGTCCCCGTCCCACACGTCCCCGCGTCCCATAGTTGATGTCCTCAAGTCCCTCGTCTCGCGTCCCCACGTCCCAAGTCCCCACACACGCGTCCCGATGTCCCCGTCCCCTTGTCCCCGTCCCACTTTTATACACAGCCCATTCAGACAGAGTAAAATACACTCGTTTTGTACGGTGAGAAAAAAATTAGGTAAATGGCTTAAAGAAAAATATTCTTTGGTCATTGTGCATCTTGAAAAGACATTTTCTTGCGTGACAACGAGTAAACAATATCCTGCACGAAGGATTTTGTAGCAAACATTCGTTTCTGTGTTAGCCATGTTGGACAACGGTAAGTCATCATTTTTCATGCTAAGAACATGTCTAAAATTTTCGTAATCTGCTGGAAAAAATGGGAAACAAGTGTTTGTTTTATGTGCAAGTCGGACTGAGTAAAAAACCGGACAAAGTTTGGCTGTAAGTTGCTCGGTGCACAACATTTTACATTTCAGCGCCGTTAATGTAACGCTTGAGATGTCAACACACAAGTGAATTCATGTTATAATTTTGGAATTATGCCATTCCTACCTCTATAAATGCCACTAAAGTTTAGTAAACATTGCAATTATACTAGTGTTGTTATTTCATAAGAATTGGTTGGAGCGTTAATTCATAATCATGCAAAAAGTATCCTGATTCACTCGAACTTTGGTTTGTAAGCGAACACCGTACACATAGCCATAAATACAATTAAATATTTCTTTTTAACAACAGCGATATTGCTGCCGAAAATGTACATTATATGCACATACCAAAGTTACTTACGTTTATTGCGCTGAGCATCTTTCTCTCCTCTCGCTTTGAAAGAAGGCAGTAAAATGCACTGTATGCAGCAAAGGTCTCAGTGGGTTCCGTTTCGACCGATCACATGTTGAAATCAGACAGGCGTTTACCGGGGAGACTGGAACAAAGTCTGAGGAACTTGTACCCAGTTTCTCGCCGGGGTTCCGCAAAAGATTGGTTTCGTGATCCATTTTGATGCACAGAAGCCGTTATCAAAACTCTTTCAACTTGTACATTTTGCAATTTGCGATAAATATGTAGAATCGGCAGCACGGCTTTGCTCACCTTTTCAAGGGAAGAAAAGATTTTGCAAGATTCACAGAAGTCTTCATGAAATATCGTTAATTGGGTTAATGTTAGGCTTTTGTACATTATGCTAGCATTTTTTCGAGCATTTTAGTGAGGCAAAAGCATTGTGCATTATTCGAGCATTTTGGTGGCATTTTCCCCGGAAAATTAATTTTTCCGAGAAAATAAAATAGAAATTAACTTTTTTCAGGAGCCCATGCCCCGTGAGCTCCTGCTTTTTTAAACAAAATGAAGACTAGAATTCAAAATTCACAAAAAACCTAATACAGCTGGTTTTTTTGGCTGTATTTATGAACTTGCATACGTTGTCGTTGTTACTTGCAACACTTGCACGTTTTTGTAAGTGTAAACTTTGAAATTAATTTAAAAAAATCGTTTGTATAACGAGCATTATCCGAGCATTTTAGTGACTTTTTTGGGGAGACCGAGCATTTTAGTGGGAAAAATGGAGCATTAAGGTGGAGCATTTTAGTAGGGAAGCAAAAGCATAATGTACAAAAGCCCAGTTAATGTTGTCCCCTGCGTTCCAACCTGTACATAAGTTCTTTATCATTTGTAGTACAAGAAGTACAAGCGAAGTATTGCAGACGTAAAACGAAGAGTTTTTACCCTAGTAAACGCGGTAGATGCGGTAGGTTCACGAATGCATTTACATCTGACAGTATGGCTGAGAATCGCATGATTCTAAGCCATAGTATCAATGTGTCAGCCCCTACAATCTCTCGTAATGGATTGGAGATTATATATTAAAGCCTGAGATATGTAACTCAAGTTTGTAATTGATAGTTTATAATTGTAGCCTCATCAAAACGAGGCTGCGAATAACGGAAAACGTCATCACGGATGAGGGGATCCGGTTGGATTCCGAAAGCTCTGTTAAACTTTCAGCAAATTGTTGATGTTGAAGAAAATTTTTTAATAATTTATTTTTGTTGTTCTCTGTTTGTTTGTTTCTCTTTTTTTGTTTGTTTTTGTTTTTTGTTTTTACTGCTCGCTATTTTAGATATACCGCAAGATAAACATCCGAGTGGTTTTATCGGCTTTGGAGATATGGACTGACAAAGATCACGTCCCATTTGTGAAGCAAGCTGGCGAAGATTTGAGAAACTTCGAAAATCACCGTTCAAGCAATCTTGCTGGCATCAGATACGACAGTATCCATTTATTAAGGTAAGAAAACTAGTTTAAATACCTGACAAAAAGATATTTGCACCTAAATCAGTGACGCTTTTCTCAAAAAAAATAAAGGAAAATAAAAATAAAAAAACGTGAGTGCATCGGAATAGGCCACCTCCGAGTTCCAAAAACCCACACTTTCAAAATGAGGCTAGGTGCACAACCTTTCTCGTGAAAGAGAATGAAAAATGATTTCCATATCAAAGGCTGAGCTCCTACCCTCGCTTTGAAACAGAGGCCAGAGAGAACTCGGAAATGGCCTATTACGTGGTCAAGTTTGCCTCGCCATGCACGCTATGTTCTCCCCATATAAGGAATTCCGGATTCCAAAACCTGAAAGGACTAGGATCCAGAATCCAAGTTCGACTGACAAAGACTGGAATCAAGTACCTAGAATTGGGAATCCACGGAGTGGATTTCAGAATCCAAGACTATCTTAGATTCCTTTACATGGGGCGACTATGTTCACGACTATGTGCCGACACAATAAGCTATCCGGTGAAGTATGAAGGCCTATCCGATATAGTGTGACTCTCCACTTGAGAGATCTGCGCGCTGCAGCTTCGCTCCGTTACAGAAATAGCGCCGAAATAACCGTTCTTGTTTGTGAACAGCGTAAATCCGCGACCAACTCATGGAGTGCACAAGCCATTTGAGTAAAAAGGCGCATCTTTAATTTGAACTGCTATGACCAGTTTAACGAAATTGAAATGCAACAATAAAAAAAAAATTAAGCAAGTGCTCCGCTCATTTAATTTCTTTTGCTAGTTGACAACGCTTCCCAAAAAGTATGTAGCGCAGTCAGATCCGGGGTAGCCCAGATCAGTCAAATCATATTAAATATGTATAAAGGTATCATGAAAAAAAGTTGCACTCGAATAAATTCTTTGATACGTTAAGGGTCGGCCTTTAATTGGAGTGCAATTACTCACTTTCACACCTAGGGATTTACAATTGAGATTTACATCAAACCGTTTGATTACAGCCACCGATTCTTTTACGAGAGTAGTCGGAATTTGGCTGGCTTTCCGAAAACTTATTTATTCAAATATTACTCCGCGCATTAAGAAAATGAGCACTGTAAGTACTTGTCCCAAAAGACAATAGCATTTTGGGCGATAAGCCTTATATCCGGTATGGTCTTTGTTCCGGCACAAAAGCTATCCCGTTAAGTTTAAACATAGCTCGGATCTCAGATCTCTCGATATAACTTGGTGACTCTCATCTCAGGGGCAAAATGTGGGACGATTTTGGAGGGATGGCGTATAGAGGAGAAATATGCACCAGAAGATCCCTGGGTGTTGACGCGGTAAGTTGAAAACTGTTCCCAAATTTCCTTAATTTGTGTGAAGTAACACAACACAGGCTTTTTGCTGGGATTGCGCAAATATTGCTTTCATATACTGTACCTACACAACTCTGTCCCCTTGAGCAAGTCTTTTTGACGAAAATAGATAGGCTTGGGCTGTATTCATAGAGTTTAATATTCTAGCAAGCGGTATGGTTAAAACATATAAACTTACTCCCCGTAATAACGTTCTCGTATTTGTTCAAGTTTTAATTAACGTCTTTTCTGTTTTTGGTTGTCAGTGGAACTACTGGGGATCACTTGGTCCTTGGCTAGCACTCTCTCACGAACTTGGACATAACTTAAACTTCGACCACGACAGTAGTATGTAGTCATTTTAAAGCTGTTTCACCATTCATTTGTTCGGGACGATTTAGTTGAAAACATGTCTGATATGCGATGCGACAATCATTATCATAACTTCATCATTATCCATCGTCGTGGTCATCATCATCATTATCAAAATCAGTTATTTTTCCCTTACTTACAAGTCAAGAGAAATTGGAGAAAATCGAAGTTGGTCAGTGTCGGGACTTAAATTTATGGCTAGCACAAGCTAAGCTTAAACAAAACTAATGTATGTTCACAATACGTACTTGAATAACAATGGTACAATACATCTTCTAGAATGAAAGGATAACACCCATGCCATAAGTTTGTTTAGCTGTTATCGTATATCTATGGCATTCTATTTGCTAAAACCATGCATAACTTTATATTTTAGTTTCGCATTTTGGCAAGTACAGTGACTCATGGAATTAAAAGATATACCATGAAGTCTTGTGAAACTCTACATTCTTACTGAATTAAGCTGTTACTCCTTCTATAATTACAGTTTGGCCGAGTTGCAAGTGTCTTTCTCCTCGTGGTTGTGTCATGGGAAGTTTCAAGTGAGTGTTGCCGTTCTTAAACTAGTGGGAACATTTTTCCAGCTTCTATCTGCAATGCTGTTTAAGGGTTAGGTCAACGTACTCTTATTTGCTGAGTACGGTTCAGGGAATTGAAGTCTTTGACTCCCCTGAGTGGAGTAAGGAGCGGTTATGCACAGCTGGCGGTTTTGTTTGCAGAGCGCGAAATGACCAGCTATCTTTGAAATGTTTGCTTGTGAAAACTGGAATCCTGGGTTTTGGAATCCGGAGTTCAGTCCGAGGAATCCGGACTCCCGCGAACGGCTACAATCCGGAATCTGCTGACAAGGAATGCGGAATCCACTGTGTGGAATAGAGAATACAAGACTGTCTTCGATCACCTTATGGGGCGACTTCGGACTTGCTGATCAGCTATGACAGAAAGTTTTAGACTGTATTAAGAGATTCATATGGAGACTAATATATTTTCTTTATCTTACAAAGGACTCGTGTCCCTGGGTTCTCGGACTGTAACTTACAGAACATGTCTTCCATTGATGACAGTTGTCTTCACAACCTGCCAAAGAAGGTAAAACAACGAAAGCAAGCTCCGAGTATAAAAACTCGAGTGTAGCTCTTTCCTACGTTGCAAGTGATGATCGTGATCCAGTACTAAACACTTGGAAAACGAGGACATCTGAGTAGGCGATTAGGGTATCAATGAAAATTAAGGTGATGTTCTTCCTTCGATTTTCATTTTTAATAGCTCCGATCTGCCTACGTGCTAGTCCACGAAGGACTTGTAAGGCCTGCAAAATTTTATGACTCATACCCTGTGTGATCACAGTTCAGTAACAACAGTTAGTTAGATGGTGCAATCTGCGCAGTTTCCTTACGATATGTTGAAAATAGAAAAGAATGAGTAAAAAAAGGTCGCAAACAAATAGCCGATTTAAATACGTCACGACCCGTTTTTCTCTAATTAGCGAGGGTTTTAAGTGAAACGGAGCAGACTAATTTTAATCAAGCGAAAGGACCCTTCTAGAAGATTCGCAGTTAAATAACTCTTTAATTGCTAAGCATGGCAGATCAGACCACTAATTGGTCCAGCCCTTTACTTAAGGGCATAAGCACCTGAGTTTGTTAATATTTTTAGGTAGTAAATCCGCGATGCGGAAATGGCATTCCGGAGCCTGGAGAAGAGTGCGACTGCGGTACACCAGAGGTATATTTAACCGGATTTGTTAAAAGCACTGCGCACATGTAATTTTTTGCTTTATTTAATCTTCTAGAGTTGCCAACAGTCGAGTGAGTGATCTAATGCGTGAGCGCCGAAGGTGCGAGAGACGTGATGTCTTAAGTCTTACGCCGATGTTAACTGAAAATAGTTGGGGTGCCCGGATTTTGTGACCCGCCTAAAAATTCCACCAATCACAATCCATATTCCTAGACCTTGGGGTTTATATTTTTCACGGTTGATTGAAAAGTTTTCTTTAATATATGAAAGTTATAGGAGGTGAAATGAGCGTAACAACTAAAGAAATGAAGACAAAAATTTCTGACTAAAATAAGATTAAGCCAGTTTCAACTCGATTTCTTAACAATCCACGATCACTGACGTAAGGTTGTTTTATCGCAGGATTGCAACGTGCGAGATCCCTGTTGTGAGCCAAACGACTGTCGACTAAAGAAGTCCTCCCAGTGCAGTGACTCTATGAGTACATGCTGTCAGAAATGTCAAGTACGAGAAAACTTTACTGCAGTATACAGCTACTTTTAATTCACTAGAACAAATGGCTGCCATGCTCTGTAGGGAAAAGTTAGTGGCAAACGAAAAACGTGACGCCTCAGAGCGAATTATGCGGACAACATTGCGAAATGTTGTAAATTCAGCCCACTTTAGAGTGATAGTTTCAAGCAGAGTCCACTAAGCAAGAGCAGCAGGGCTCAAGATATCACCTTTACTAATTAAGTAAGAGTTGATTGATTTAAGTTCATATCATATCAATTCAGTTTTGTGATGATGATGACGACGATATTGATAAGTCATTCACTTTAACGAATAAAATGACTATAAATGATAATTACTTATGGGTAGTGACGGAGTTGTCGGTCAGTCCGACAGAATTCGTTTAATTGTTGGAATAGGGTTCGTTGGATTATCTTTGAAAGTCTACAGCATTTAAGATTATTTGTGTGGTTTTGCACTGCCTTGAAAGCCACATCTGATTGTAACTGTCACCATTTTCATATCTGGTATGTCATTATGGTCTAAGGCACAGCATCGATCGACCCTCATGATGCTACATGAGGCAATTGTGATAAGGACATCGCTAAGCATCAACACTTCTTTTAAATTGCCTAGGAACCTTTTTTTTTCTTTTCCTTAGTTCTCTCCAGGTGGAACTTTGTGCCGTAAGAGTAGTGGAGAGTGCGATGTTGAAGAAGTTTGTTCTGGAAGGTCTGCGGAGGTAAGACTTAAATGCAGCCCTGAAGTTGGAAAGCGTTTATGGCAAGGAAATTTATCAAATTTTACTTGATGTATAAAAAAATGGCACCGATTGTACTGGTAGATTTAGAGACCCTCCAAGACCAGAGCTTATACAATTACTTGAACTCAGTGTCATTAACACTTTTACTTTGTGGGGAAAACTCCATCCCAGTTAACACAAATTTGGTCTATCGATCGCGAGTTAGTAAAGTCATTTTACCACTCTGACGTTTCGAGCGTTAGCAGGAGCTGATTACTCATGTCCTTTATCTCCCATATAAGCCTTTAGAGTCAACTCTTTCTTGTTGAAATTTCTTTTAGGAAACAGCTTTCGCGGAAATTTTTTCACTCCGTCTTGGTAATATCCAATCAGGTCGGAGCTATGATATACTTGAGCCACATGCAGACGCGCGATTTGAAATCACTGGCATGGTGGTACCCAGCGTGGAAAATTTTTCGGATGATAATCCTCATTTCTGATCTTCTAATCGGGTTAAAAACATCTTCTTAAAGCCTAGTAGCAATAAAAACGTAGATACACTCATGCGAAGTCTTCAAGTTTCGTTGTAATGTTGACAGTCATAGGTTTTACCAAAAACAAGCCGCTCCAGGCCGTCGACAGCGGGTTAAATAGATATTGAAAATCAAGCTCTTTAGTTTCCTTATTGTACTGATTAAATCGCCTCTAAAAAACTTTGGAGCTTTTTACTAAGTCCACAAAGGAGCACGCTGCATTAAGCCACGGTTTATTTTGAAGTCAAAAGTATACTGTTACAGTGCACGGACTGCATCTTTCGCCGGCTCCTGGCGTCAGCCCTTCTTAGTAATGATTCAAGGAATTGGGGGTTTAGGGTAGTTTTTATCTCGAAAAGTGGAGCAGTGCAGCTGTTAGTGGAACTGGTAACAGGAAAAAGAAAATAAATACGTCGAATGAAACGCGTGGTCACACAAAAATGAAAAAAAGCAACTTTTATAAGTCTTTATTCGAACAGACACACTTGTTGTTCCATTCGTGGGCCCATACATTCTCTGTATCATGTTATGCTACAGTTTTGCAAACTAAGGTAAAAGGGTTTCAAAGACTATTGTCAGAGTTGGAAGGGACTGAAGCGTTAAAGTACCAGAGAAGGTTATTCTAAAATAAATGATGTTAACAAAAAAAGTAAAGATGGAAGAGAATTGAAAAGGCTGTGTTACATGAAAGACTATGCCGGTTTATTTTTTTTTTCCAGTGTCCATCAGATGATCATATAAAAGATGGACGGACATGTGAGGGGGACGGGGAGGTATGTATTTAGTATTTGCTTAGTAATGTGCCATTCCAGAACTCAACTTAGCTATAGTTATTGTATTTTTGTTTCCCTTTGATAGATTTTATAAGCTTCTCCAATTTTCGAGTGATATACCAGTGTATGTATTTAGTAAATGACTGAAAAGTAATTAGAACAAGAAATGAAATAATGCATTCTGGTCTTCTGAATGTTAATGACACTTGGAAAATGGATGCCGCTCGGCAAAAACACCGTTATTTATTTGAAACAACAATTTTGAAACAGATGATAAGAAAAAAGGATGGAAAGTACACTACAATAAGGCAAAATTGATTTTACTCATTTATTTTCAGCTATTGTTAGGAAAGTATGTTGGGAATGTGAAAATGACGAAACTTTCTCGGCCAATCACGGCAAGGCACTTGAGAATTAGTCCTCAATATTGGGAGAGAGGCCTGTGTACTAAAATTGACTTACTTGGATGTGGAATAGGATCTTCAGGTAACCGAAAAAGTTAAGTAGCATTTGGTTAAATCTACATTTAACTCTAAAGCATTACTCTCCCGATTATAATCAAATCATTTTTCATTTGTTGGCTTCACACTAGAGAATTCAAGTCTAATCTAAGCGTACTTGGAACCTACTTTGAAGGTGAAGGGGTAAATTGTACTCACACAAACTTTACTTGGTGGCCATGGGAATGTTCGTGGTTCAAAGAAGCCGAAGTTCGCCGCCAAGTATGACCTACACCACACTTGAGCATACACTTGACCAATAGGAAATGGAAGCCATCTAAAAGCAATGTGCACGATGTGAACGTGCAGAGGTTCCAAGATTCCAATGAGCGGACATACAAACATTCCAATCCAGGTCTCGGTTAGCTAAGAGCTTTGCGGACAAGGCCAAGCTCAAGCCTCACGGCTATTTCTTTGCCGAGAAGCGCGCGTTGCGCGTTGTTGAGCCATTCTAGAGAAACACAGAAGACGACTTCGCATATTGTTATTCTTGTTGTTGTTGCTGTTTGGCCGCTGCTACGTACTCTTAAAAAATGAAGTACGCAAGCATGACTTGTAGGGTGAAAACCCTTTGAGTTAGAAGTAACGAAAAAATTAATACGAAAATAATTTAGTGGCGAGCAATCGCTTTTAGTGGGTGGTCTGATTTTACCCACAAAATGATTGGCAGCTTGCACTGCAAGTAATATACTTGAAGTGTTAAGCCATCTTTTAAACAGAGCGACTTAAGATTTTCAAGTGCACTTGAATCAAGTGCCTACTTGAAACTAACTTAGCTTCTGGTGTGGAGCAAACAATTGAATGATTAGTACAGAAACCATTATTTTTGAGTTGTGTTGTTAGTTTTGTATTACGTCATTTGGTGATTGCACCCTTCTATATTTCGAAGAAACTTTTACATGTTACAAAATGACATAAGGTTACCAAGTGAACATGGCTGCTTGGAAATACGAATTTATCATCGATTGCGCTCACTCGTAAGACGAGAACTTTCTTATCTCCAAACGGTCATGCAGTGTTCTTTTTGTTGTATAAAACACCTTTGAAATACTAAAACATCTAACTTTATTTCTTTTCTGCTACAAAAAAGCGCGATTCATGATGTAACTATAGCAACGGCAATCTATTTACGTGTGAAGATAGCATGTTACTATCACGTATGACATATCGCGGGAAAGGTATTTCAATGGTAGTTAAAAAATAAAATGTAATATAATAATAAAAAATAATGATGAAGGAACGAACGAACGAACGAAAAAACGAACAAACGAACGAACGAACGAACGAACAAACGAACGAACGAAAGAACGAACGAACGAACGAACGAACGAACGAACGAACGAATGAGCGAACGAACAAACGAACGAACGAACGAACGAACGAACGAACGAACGAATGAACGAACGAACAAACGAACGAACGAAAGAACGAACGAACGAACGAACGAACGAACGAATGAGCGAACGAACAAACGAACGAACGAACGAACGAACGAATGAATGAATGACTGAGTGAATGAAATAATCAACCCCTATGCTCTAATCCCAGTATCTCCGGCGGCTTCCACATCTATTCAGGGCTATGACAACCTATGCGTTACATCACAGGGTGGATCACCCTGTTCAACCACTAATGGAGCACATCTGGTCTATTCTATGCAAACATCATGCCGAAACACGTCAGCTAAATTTACTTTTTTAAATGGCGTGCTGAAGCAACATTGTAGTGGCAAGAAGATATGCCCTAAGGGAGTTTATTATGGAGCTCCGCTTGTTATAAGTGACAGTTGTGAAGAAAGCCAAGCCAAGTTTGAAAGAACGAAAGGTACATTTACACACTGTACATATACACCGTGTGCATAACATTCATGTGTATACTATTTTAAGTCAATTCCCGTTCGTGTCTATGGATTGAACTGTTTTAATATGATGTAGAATGAGTTTGTTTCAACAAGATAAATTGGAAAATTGAAAGCCCTTTGTAGTCGCGGCGTAGTTCCCACGTCCAGTGACGTCGCTAAGTCACGTGAACTACAGGAACTTCAAATATTATTATTATTTTATTTTATCAGGTAAGGAGCCCACAAGCTCCTCCTCAGATTTATTGGTCTAAATCTCTCTCTTAATAAATAGAAACCAAAAGACCAAAAGGTAAGGTGAGAACGGGACCTGAAGTTCCATGCAGGGCACCTCCCAAGTAAAACAAAAAAATCGCCCTTAAAAAGAAAATCTTATGCAATGCTAATGAGACTATTATTGCCAATGGCCACCATAATTACGTGCTAGACCCCGTGAGCAAGGTTTATCGGGGTCAAAAACATTGGCTAACTCATCATCGTACATTTTAGTTATTATTATTAAATATCAGGTAAATCTCTTCGACATGTGGCCAGCGGATTGTGTGTCCATCCAGAGGGAGGAGTGGCATATGATGGAGTAAGACTTGTTTTGTGGGCCGGATGTGATCAAGACAGACTCACTTTAAACTTTTTAGCGCATGGTAAGGATACATTAAGTGTTGGTAGATATCGCTTACTCAAGCTTGTGTGATAGGATTACTTTTGAATATAACCTGACAGTTTCCATTTTGTGATATCAATATACTACGCGATGTGAGCTCCTATTAATTATTGGATGATAACCAAAACCAATGGGAAAATCGTCTCCTCCCCCTAGTGATTAATTCTCCCCCCTGCAAGCGTTCGCAAGTACTTCAATAGTTGGCCGTCTAAACAGTGCCGAAAGCAACAGCAATAAAATTTTCACCGTCAACTTATTGTGTTAATTTGGGATCGTTGTCGAACCTGCAATTCATCCAAGCGCCGGCGACTGGAGGATATTCAGTCAGTCATGCAGTCTAATATTTCTCAAGAATTTCAAGAATTTTTCGAGACCTGAATTCGTCAGTTCAGTTACTAAAAAGAATGCTGTTGTTAAAACCGCATTTGAACGAGCAGATGCGTCCCTAATTGGCGGGGAAACGCTTGCTGCGCAGGCTATACGCATTGAGTAAAAGCAATTTAAGTGGCACAACTGCATTTATGAAATACACACGAAAACCTTAAAAGCAGTTACACTTGATATTTCCATTATTCATTAGACTGCCTGGCTTCTCTCAACGTGGCTGACCGCAGCGTGATTCCTGATAGTCGCATCTCAGCATCAAGTCATTTGCAAGGCTACCCAGCCAAAGAAGCTAGGTTACACAGCTTAAAGGGTTGGTGTGCAGCAAGAAAAGATAAGAAGCAATTTATCCAGGTTGACTTGGGGCAGGTAAATACACATGTAGTCTCATTTTGAGGACAATCATTTCTTTTAAGCAACCATCTCCTATTAGCCCTCTTAAGCTACGGTAAAACGCGCTAAGCAGGTTTGATTTGTTGACGTTCAAACGATCAATATCGCTATTCAACCCGTTTTGCTGCAATTTTGCAAAACAAATTGCACGTTTTTGTTGCCCGGTAGATCAGTACATCCCCTTCTCCCCCAAACCCCCCCCCCCCCCCTCCCCCGCAAAAAAAAAAACGCCTAAAAAAGTTGGTGTTCTTCAAGAGATCAATTAGCGGATTTTGAAACTGTGGAGACAAAGTTTACCTCTTACTGTTGGCACTAACCGTTATCGATGACCTTTTGTCTTCTTATATTCATCTCCTGCTGTATTCCTTTATTCATCTGTTCAACAGAGCCTGATTTAATTCTGTCTTTATTATAGGCTAAGAAGATATCGGCTGTCATTCTAAGCGGCACTGATCATGGTGACGTAACAGGTTACTATCTACACTACAGTCTGGATGGTCAACAGTGGACGGTGTGGTCAAGCAAGCCTCGTGTCGCTGTAAGGAAAACGCACGTGTATTTTTCAATCAACTTCAGGGATTAAGATGCTTAGTAGTCGTTCTTAAAATTAGTAGATAATGTAACCAACAGTTCTGCATTCTGATCATACATCTATTTTGAGAAATAATTTGGTGTTATCAAATATACAGCATGACCGAGGGTTTGTACTCAGTGAGGTTAAAAAGAATTTACCATTTTGCTAGTAAGTGGATTTAGAGCTGGACTTGAGCAAGGGACTACCCGATTGCGAGTCTCACGGGGCGACCACTCGGCCACGCTGCTCGCGCCGGCCACGCTGTCTCCTGAAGATACGTACATGTCCTGTTAAGGGTTAGGTACATAGGCAAAACCGGCGGGATCTCGTGTGGGTTCAAACCCACGTCTTCTAAGATAACGTCTAGTTAACATCTGAGATACACAGAAACTTATGGTGAATTGAAGAGGCAATTTTGCTACGTTCGTATGCGACACACGTCCTGCTTATTGCTAAGATCAGCAATGTCAAATATCTTGTGGGGTGATAAATAGAGAAAGATGGCAAATGTTGAGCTCGGTGACTAAGGATATTTATCCTCGTAGATACATCTTGTTACTGAGAGTCTTTGAAAGGCCATATTCGTTGATCTTTCAGGCGTTTTGCTATAGGGGGAAGTGTGTTCCTTCTGCAGATACTCAGTGTCGCGATCTGTGGGGACCAGGTATAAAAATCACTGATCAATTTAGGTTTCTTGGAAACTGCCCACCTACCCTCCCCTAAGCCAACATTTTGCCCTAAATGAGAAGTAAGTGTTAACGTTGGGTTGAGAGAGGGGTATGTGGGCAGTTTCCCAGAAACCTAAATTAAACAAACTCACTTTCCTTAACCTGATTTTTTGTTTACTCCATCATCATTTTTTGTCTACTCCAATTGTAAGTTTACTGTTTGAAACTCTCGTGATAAAAATATAAATCGATGGATGAGTAAATTGTTTTGGACTAATAAACGCCCGTGCGACTTAAAAGTCAAGATTTCGGGTGGTTCACCAACTATTTTAAGTTAGTGGAGTCTGGTTTTCTAAATATTCCCTGTATTTTCTCTTCTTTTAGAGGCGTCTTCTGCTCACACAGCTTGTTATCGACATTTTAACGTTAAGGCCCAGGGATTTGGCACTTGCAGTAGCCGGACAAATCTGCCGTGTACAAATGAGTAAGTATAAGACAGTTTAGTATTCAATTGCTCTTCGGCCCAAAGCAATGGCGGAGTAGAACCTTCTCGTTAACATCATTATAATGTAGCTTGTCTTCGGCAATCGTAATTTGTGTCATTTTGTATTTTATTTCTTCTTACAGTCTGTTATCGTTGTAAAACAACTAATCCGGGGCCACCGAAATCTCCTAATTTTAAAGAGATCGAGGCTGTCATTTTGATTGGCTAACGAACTACCGAAGTCAGATGTCTTTGTTAACTAGTGATTAGCCTGGGGAACGACTGCAAAAATTCTACACTGATGATGCGTCACTGAGTATTGCTTCTAATTAGTTACAGCAAATTTTCAGCCAATCAGAACACTATCTAGATCAGGGTAGTGACACGTCATCAGTATGGAATTTCTGCGCTCTTTCCATGTCGGCTGCTTACTCAAACTAACTATAGCTAGTGATTGGCTGATTACTTTTTGGGTATCCACGGTTAAGTTCGCTACATTTTTTAAAATAGTTTTCCTTCATCTCATTTTTATCTTTCTTTTCTTTCCTTTTTGCACATATTTACCTCTCCTTGTCAAGCCCCTTTATTTTTTTTCAATTCCATTCAATAGAAACGCCAAATGCGGACAGCTGCAGTGCTCAAGCTCAAAAGAGAGACCTGTGGTAGATTATGGTAGTTTCTACGAACTAAAAACTCTAACAACAGGAGAAAAGTGCAGGTAATTTTAAAACAGTTAACAGGCCAAAAGCTTACTTCACTCCATAAAACAACAGGTAGGCCCTTGTGAGAGAATCTGGATTTCAGAGTCCGGGAAATTTTTGCTTGTAAAATCAGAAATCCTGGACTTTGGAATCCGGAATACAGCTCAAGAAATCCGGAATCCAAGACTGGAAGACTGGAATCCAGTACCTGGAATCCAGAATTCACGGCCAAGAATCGAGATTCTAAGGCCGTCTAGAATTAACTCGCACGGGGTGAAACAAGAGCAACTGTAGTAGCCTGAGAAAACAGACATTTCGCAACGCCAATAAAACAGTTTCCCCTCGAAATGACGTCTGAAAAACAAGCGCAGAAATCAGGCCATACTGATGACGCATCACTACCCAGATATGTGTAGTGACGCGTCATTAGTATGGAATTTCTGCTATCTTTTCTTAGCCGTCATTTTCTCTGGGAAAACGTCGGTGGCTCGCGAAATGTCGTCTGTTTTCTCAGGCTAAAACTTAAGCAACTGTTTTGCTTGCAGGGCAGCATCTCTAAAGAGAGGTAGTGGGAACGAACTTGTTGGTATGGTGAAGGATGGAACAGTGTGCGCAAATCAAAAGGTACTTCTATACGTATTTGCTTTGCCTTGTCCGCTTTTCAGCACTGAAAAGGTTGATGGATTACTAGTAACAAATAGTTTGGGAAAAGGTAGAGGCTTTTTTGTGTAGCACTAGACGTTTTATGTGTATATATTGTAATAAGAAAGTAATGCAAAGAACTGTGAAAACGACGTGTCCTGATTTTACTTTCAAAAAAGGGAAGTCGTCGTTGAGTTGGTGAAGATCACTTGTTTTGTCACAACAAGCAGGGACGTATTAATTAGGCCCAAGTTCCACTCGCGGAATAAAAGAATCACGTGACTAGGATACAATTCGATCTGTCTTTGCTGTTACTTTTTTAAAAAAGTCCCTTTTTTATGATGTGCCAGTTTAAATCTTGTTCTCATGTTTACGATGAAGAAAGCAATAGTTTTAGCTTTAGTTCATGAAAATGAATCATATGTACAACGAAATTTCGCAGATCTGCGTAGCCAATCAGTGTACTAGTTTGGATCAGCTTTCTTCAAAGCGATGTCCAAGAATCGCCGGAAAAGAGTGTGCAGGAAAAGGGGTAGGTTTTCCACAAATTGCTTTGTTTATTGCTGTTTTTGTTTATTTGTTTGCTTGTTTGCTCACACCTGGCTTTTGGTTTGGTGTAATTAGAACAGAGGGGATAATCTTATTCTCCTATTGAGCTAAAATCACGGATGTGGCACCTGTGTTAGCAGCAGCTGCTTTCTAGGATGACCGACTGACAGAGACAATTTCGAGTTTTTTCTCAAATCCAAATTTCAGCTTTTTCAAAATTACTCCAGAAGGTATTAAACGTTCTTGCGTGCCCTCGTCTGCATGGGGAGTGTGGGGGCTGCTCTGGAGTTCAAGTGAAGGGATGATCGAAGGATTTTTTGAGGTAGGAAAATTTGGCAAGTATTTTGTGGGTGGCTTGATTTAATGAGGGAGTTCTTAGGGGAGGCTGGGTATTCAAAACAATCCGAAGATTCGTGGTGACTTTAGATGATATGATGAATAAACGCGCACTAACATTCAATTTCTAATGTTTTCATTCTTTGAATTATATTATTTAACAACTGCTTTCTCGGTGCGAATTTTAAAGGTTCGGAAAACTTGGCATGGATATTTTGGTCCAGGAATTTTTTCTTTGGGTGCGGGGGGGCGTTTGTTGGAGGCCCCAGGGATTTTTAGGGTTTTGGTTTACGCCCCATTCGATCATCTCCGTCACTTGAAATCTGAAGTTCATGTACCCCTCCCTGGGCCCTCGTCTGACATGAAAACTTGCATGATCATAAGCGCAGTTCATTTGAATTTCCCGAGGGAATATTAAACCAATCTCACTGTGAATAATTACTTTCGCGCAGAAAATAGACTTTTCCCTTGGGGAGCCAATTCTTGCCGTGTGTCGCAAAATAAGCGGCTGAAACTATATAAACTGAAAAAACAATATTAAAGAAGATAAGAAATATATTGGACGAAAAATATTCTTGAGGATAGAAAACCGTCTCACTTACCTCAAACATAAGCCAGGTTAGAACCCACTGGTACAAAGAAGCCAGAGAAACCTCAATCCCATTGAATAAATTAAAATATCTTCGCACGCACCAGACTTTAAACATCCTCCTCAGTTTTTAAGGAATTTTAGCTCCCCTTTCGCTGTCTAACCCGACGTATATTATGAACATTTCCTTAGGTCGGTGTTTTTCACTTCAACTGTCCGTTTTTCCGTCCAGTTATATAATTTTTCCAGGTTCATTCTTTTAAGTCAACAAGGCGTATGCCGCAGAAGTTACTCGCAGATTGGATACGATTAAAGGGATCCGCTTTTCAAAGAAAACTGTCCAAATACGAGGTCACCATTACCACAGCAAAGTGACTGAAGACTCCTGCCAGTTTTCTCCTCCAACTACAATATATCTAAGACTCGTAATTAGCTCAACCGATTCGTGTGAAATTTGTGTCACCTTCTCGCTTCAAAGATGATACTTTTGATCAGCGGCCTTCTTTTAGGGGTAAATACGTTGTGTTTTATATATCATCATGGTCCTCCTGACCTCAATCCTGACACCCATTGTAGCAAAAGCGGTATACACCAAAGAAGGCGATCCTCGAATCCGAAGTAATCTGTGCGCATACGTTAGTACAAGTTTGACCCGCAGAAAAATGCCCGTAAATTCTGGCCATGCAACAATTGCAGCTTGAAGTTTCGAAATTTTTCTTGATCTGGTAATATCACGCAAAAAATCCAACGTGGTCGTCCATCATAGATCTTTGTTCAATTTAACAAAATGAGGTTATTGTATAAAAATGTAAAACTTTGCAGGAGGGTTAGAAAAAGTTCTGTTTTACAGATTTGGGAAAATATACTTAATCAAAAAAAGAGCTTGCTATATCCAAAAGTCTAATAAAACGAGGAAAACAAATTCTAAAATAAACTTGAGAAAAACACAGCTAGTATACACCAAATTCGATGAAGTATGGGCCAAAAAAAATAAATTTATATAAAGGAACAAGGGTCATTACCAGAGCGGAGAACAAAGAACTGACACATACCAAAATCCTAAGGTATATATTAACATATTAACGCTCTCAAAATGATATTAAAAATCCGGTGACTTGCTAAAAGTAGTAGTTTCTAGAACCTGTTAGTATGTCCTGTGTAAACTGAAGGATAATTAATTGGTTACCCATGTACAATAATCTTATTCCTTTAGGTTTGTACAAGCAGTGGGAAGTGTCATTGTCAAGGGAACTTTGATCCAGATACCTTTTGTCGCACTGGTAATAAAAATGACTGAAGGAATATTCATCGCTCAATTCGCACGGAAATTTGAATGATCAGGCGTCTAAATTTTCGCACACTAGTTTTCAACCGGTTGAAAATCCATCCGCTGGGCGAGTGCCGTGGTCGCGCGTTGGAATGTAACCTTAGTCCAGCCTTAAAATGAAAACAAAGCAAGTAAAGAGGACCTTTATCTTCCTCTTCTGTCTTCTTGTCACGATAAGTTCTCCTCTTACGCCAAAATTGCGCTTGTTTCTGACAGTCGGCTGGTTTAAGCAACTATAGAAACATTTTATTTAGTTCTTGATTCATTCTTACTTCCCTTTAGTCGTGAACCTTTTTGTACAGGTAAATGCCATTTACAAACACTCATACTAGAGAGCTTCAGATTCTGACACGAGGACGACCACGAATACCAGATTTTCCCAATACTGAGTATTTCTCACGCGTGAGCTAGCGTCATTTTGGCGGGAAAACGTGATAGCCGTCGTCATTCTACTACGAGTTGCGGCGAGAATGTCGTAGTGCCGGAAAGAAGTTATCAAATTTAAGAAGTTTTATTTCCGAGAAAGCGCTTAACCTCCTTCAGTATAAATACCCGTACTAACGTTTTTGGTAAAAAAAAAAGTAAAATGAAGCTTTCCGGGTGTCTTTTTTTGAGAACATGCGTAAAAACTTTAAGTTAAATCTCGTAGTCGTACTCGTTCTCGTCAGCTCTCTTTTAGTTACAGTTAACCAGAATAGATGCTTTGGCGACTATCATTAGAATCGACCCAATCCGCCACCATCATGGTTCATTGTCCAGTTAACGAATAGAAATTTCAAAGAAGAGAGTACATTTCAGCGTTTCTGCATCTATGGCTCATGAAGTGTTTCATGTAATTCTGATTTATTTATTTGTTTTGGGATTTAAGCGAAACAAGCCCGCTCGGGCGAATGGGGTCAATGGTCTGAATGGACGAACTGTACACGAATTTGTGGACGAGGAACGCGTAAAAGGCATCGCTTTTGTAACAATCCAGCACCATCCAATGGAGGACAAAACTGTGTTGGGAACAGATTAGAGAAAGAGGCCTGTAATGGTGATAAATGTCCAGGTAAACCATAGTGAGAGGTTACATGATCACTTATTATGCATAATAAAATATTCGAGCAGATAACAAATCATGCAGTTTGAGGAAGAACTTCTCGGCTTTCCGTCGAGTAGATTGTCTATTTCGATTGTCTATTTCTTCTTCTTAATCTGGTTTTGTTTATAGCTTTTTACATCTTCTTATAGCAGTAAAAAAAACTTTTAGCTACTCTTTTCAGACACAATCTTGCAAAGAGTTCATATACAAAAGCTTGAGAATACGTATGTCCACTCGCCATGACAAACTTTATCAACAAATACATACGGGCATGCCAAAGCAAAATTATTCAGCTTTTTTTTTTTCCTTTTTTTTTTTGGCTGTCTATATGAAACGTTTTTAATTCTTATTATAATAACTGCTTCAGATTAACGAATCAAACGATAAAGTTTGTCATAACGATTTAAAGGAGAATTCCAGTCTATAATTTCAGTCAATCGATTGTGGTAAATTGTGACCATTAATCTTTCAGGCTTTTCCGTTCGATACTCATTTTAATATTATTTCAGTCCTGGAATATCCTAAGTGTCCCAGTACAGACACAAAGAATAGCTGAAAGAATTTTTATGTTACGATTGCTTTAGAGGTTCATTCTTGTCAGCACCTCTTTTCTCTTGGGAAGCAAACTGGTGTACAGTTTCCAGACGGAGTGTATACGATCAATCCTGACGGGAAAGGAACCGTGGACACTTACTGCGACATGTCACGTGATGGTGGTGGGTGGACACTATTGGTTACAAGTCACACCAACACGTGGACAGCTAGTGACGTCAGGAAAAGGAACCACAATCGACCAACGCTGAACGGAGATTTCTCGATCTTGTATAAGGCAGATGACATCAAGGACAGTGTTAATGTTAAAGGGAATTGGTTCGAGTATCGAATCGAAGCCAACGAAAGAGGTAAATACTGCAACACATCACGTCGACTCGAGAGCTAGGCCATTTTTGGCAAACGGTAAATGACACGGGCTTCTCACATTATATTCTTGGATTCCTGCTAGCATGGTTTTCAAGTTGATCTTGTGCATGTCAAAGAATTGAAAATACATGGTGTGGAGTTAACTAGTAGCGCTTCAAGTCTTCTGTGCGCGGGGATATTAATGAAAAATATTTTTCTCGCATAAAGGTCGTTGGGGTGGAATCTGGCGGGCTCCCAGAGATTATACCTTCCTTGCTAGAAACAACAAGCAGACAAATGTGGATTTGGCGAAGAAATTTGACAGATGGAAATATGACGATTATGGGATAGAAAGGCGCATGCCCTGGATATCGGGTGCCAAACTTACGACGTCACGCAACGCTACTGGAGATCGCCAATGGGGAACTTTGATTGGTAAGTGAATGACGCCGTAGGTATTTTAGTTCAAGATAGGGAAATGACCCCGTCACTACTGATCCGCTACAAACCCGCTTGGCGTTTACAATAAGAAACTTCTGTGGAATATCAAACTTAAGTTCCTTTGGCCTTCCTTTCTTTACAGGCGTAGTGGAGTTTTCGGGGATTGGAAACAATCTTCTATACTCAAAACAACTTGTCATTACTATTGATAATGTTTTCTTTTGATTGATATGCTCATAGCAAACTCCAGAATTTTTTACCCGGCACCTTGGTTAGATGGTAATGATCTTGAGCAACACCCAGTAAACATCTGGTATTGGGTTAGAGAACAATTCAGTCTACCGAGGTCATGCATGGACATTCAGTTAAGAGGAGTACATCCCCCAAAAGGTATGCCAACATCAGGGAATTCTTAGCTGTTAAGATCCTCTCTTTTTGATAAAGAACGCCGATCACGTTGACTGGCGTTGACGTGGAATGCATTATTTCTAGCCTTGTATGGTCAAATACAACGTCCATTTACGTGGGAAATTTATAGCACTTAACAATCGAGGGGAAATTTATTGTAAAACACTTAACAGTCGTGAGACTGGGTGCATAACATTAGCCCGGTGAGTAATGATCATGGTATTTGAATCAACTGATTCTCATAAAATAGTGGAGGCAAGATTACATTTTTAATTTAATTTCTGACCATTTTGGTGAAAGTTACGCACAACCCCATACATTTATTATGTATTCATGTTTAATTTCGGAAACAATAAATAGAGGATATTGCACGGTGGCGCGAAGATATGAATTTTATTTTCGAGTGGCAAAACAATATTTTACGAACGAGCGCAGCGAGTGAGTAAAATATTGTTTTTGCCACGAGAAAATAAAATTCATATCTTCAAGCCCCCGTGTAATGTTCTTTTTATTATATAGACAAAAAGACATCGATAAAATAATACAGGGAAATGACCGAAATTACGTCATCGATAAACTCACGTGTGAGATTATGGAAAATAAACCACTAGGGTCCCGGATCTGCCGGATGTAGTTTTTATGAATTTTACGAGTGGTATATTTTCCAGTAAAACACTCGTGTGTATATAATAATATTAGCTATTTGCTGCATGCATAATAAATATATGGACTTAAACGGAAATCTTGCCACCACTTTTTTTTATGCATTGAACATATTGAGGGGAGTGACCCAAGCCAACATGAAAGCGTTGAGTGCTGGTTCGTATAAGAACTTATTTTTCGTACTTTTTATTTACCTTTGTTCTCTTTTCTGTTAACAGACGGTATCCACATTATATTTCCTCGTAACCAGCGACTGCAGACATTCTGCAAATTTAGTGAACATGGGGGAGCATGGACGCTTGTGTTGACCAGTGCAAGTGATAGCGGATGGACCAGGGAAAATGTGAAGTTCAGAAACACTGAAAGACCATCATTGACCTCTGACTACTCCATATTGGGAGTAGTAGATAAGATAACAAAGATGGAACACTTCCAGGTGAGAGGATGTAACTCATGTCATGGGTCCACAATAAGTTTCTCGGGATTTCCCTTACTTGAAGGCCAGGATTCGGGATTTTAAGGCAAAATAGGGGTGAGATTCGGGATTGAAAGTACAAGCAGGGTACGGGATGCCAAAAATAACCATCGGAATTAAGGGAATTAGCGAAAATTTGTGTGGGGATGAGGGCATTGAACAAGCTTATTGGGAACCCTCTCATATAACTCATTGCTATTACCAGCTAGGTTTTCTTATTTCCGAGTTGGTAAATTATTTCCATCTAGGGAAAAAGACAGAAATACCATTTAAAAGGGAATATGTGTTTTGTTTTCCTTAAAGAAAGAAAGGTGATATTTTCGTCAATTCACGAGCCGTTCGGACAGCGAAAAAAGTCAAGCGACGGAATTCAAAGTGATTACCCTCGGCCTTCCTCGCCCCCCACAAAAATAAAACAGAGACATTGTTCTGATCTTACTTTTCTTCATCATCATAATTGCCCCTTTTTTCTTCTCATGAACGTTGGTCTATTATGATTATCTTTTTTTCTTCATTGCAGTATCGTATTAAAGAAGAAAGTCGAAAACCCTGGGAAGGGGTTTGGACAGCGAAGACTGGCTGTTCGTTTATTTCTAGTCGATTAGGACAGTCGTGCGTGGAGAATGTACACCAGCAAGGAAATTGGAATACAAGCAAGCAGGCTAAATCAAGCAAACGAATTCCGCATTTAACAAATTTGGGAAAGGTAATATTGACAATAGCTGTGGATGATACAGAGTTGAATGGTGCGATTGTAGTGGATTCAGCAAAAGGAGTTAATCGAACAAGAGCTAAAGTGATTACAGTGTGGTTACGTGAAGGGACCTGGTAAGATGTAGATGCGTTTTAAACAACGTTGAACACTTTTGTTGAAATTTTCCTGATAGATCTAGGTACATCTGTATGACTAGGGTCATAATTATCACATAACATTCATCGGTGCTTTAGTAATAGACGAAAATTATTTTTATAAGTTTAATTTCAAAGAAAAGAAGAAAGAATTTGTGAGAGGAGTCCCTGTGTCATGTAGCAACGCGCTGCTAGGAAGCTGAAAGCCAATTGGTTTGCTACCCAAACCGGAAAACAATGGAAAACAATGGTAAAAAAATGAATCACCATTGTTTAAAAGAACGAATCAGGAAAGACCTTACGAGCAGCTCCCACATTGGCGGCCCCTGTTGCCATTCGTTTGGGATTATGAAATTTTCTTTAAATCATCGTTATTTGGATCATTACTAATGGCCTTGTCTCTATCACATTTTTACTATGATTGTCATTATTATCATTTTTTCTTTAATTTCAAATACTAATTAAACACACGAAAGAATACTGCTCCTTGTGTAAAAAAAAGGTTATCTCTCTTAAATCATTAATTCAACAGGAGATCGTGCAACGACATTAAAATGAAAAGAGGAGGGATTAAGGCTCAACTGGAAGATGGAATTTACATGATTCGCAAAAACGCTCACGAGTATTTGCCAGTTTACTGCGATATGACGTCAGAGTCAGGAGGGTACACTTTGTTAGTCACTAGCGCTTCAAGTGGGTGGAGCAAGAACGAGGTCAAATTCAAGAATACAACGAGACCATCAATAACACGAGACTACTCCATATTAGGTTATGCTGACCAAATTAAGGCCTTGAGTGGCGGGAATACATTCAAGTATAGGTTAGAAGCGAACACAAGAGGACACTGGGGCGGGGTTTGGACAGCTCCTATTAAATACAGGTAATTAGACACTTAGGGACTGTTTACATGGAGTTGGGGGTTACCCTGCCTGTCCATATGATCTCCCTTAAGGTAACCTCACCTATCATGTAAACGTGATAAAATTGAAATTATAGATTAAATGAACAGGTTGTTTACCCCACCCAAGCGGGTTGCCTCACCTACCTGGAGCCCCTCCCCCACCACCAAGTAAACTGGCCCTTAGTAAGGTTGTTTTCGCAGCAAGGTTACTTTAAATAAATTAAGTTGTAAGGAGAGTTCATCTTTTCCATTATTCAATTCAACCAACCTACCGAAAAACGTTCAGTTACCCCAGCGTCGTTCCAGAGTCGTTACGTACCCATTATTCCGACTTGTATTTTAGTAATCAGTTGCGAATTACTTGCAACTCGTGTTAAATCAATGAGCATGAGTATCGGTATATCGTAATACGTAACTGAGTACCTTTCTTTCTGATTTTCCTAACTAACAAGAGAAAATAACGGGATAGAGAGGTTTTTAGAGGTTGTAATGTAAACGGAAGCCTAATTCCTAGGCTGTTTGCAAATTTTAATCGGTTGGTTGAAACGTCATTAATTCCGCGCACGACTTCCTCGATGCAAACAATAGCGACACACCAAGAAAACATTGAATAAACGTTTGCGGACATCTCTGGGAACCAACTTTCGATTGATTTTAAGCGTTTAAATGGTCTGAAAATAACTTTGATTAAATTCATATATCCCAATGGCTAGACTGGGCGTTTCCTTCTCTCACCTTTTCAGGGACGGATCTAGGGGAGGGTGCAGGGTGCATGGGGTGTGCATCCCTCACCCCCCTGAGATAACCTGTGGCTTTCTGATACCACTGGTATTGTGTATTAAAATTCATTTACGTCACCAGTCAGTTACGCAATTACTTAGCTGGTGTATCCCCACATAAGAAAAATCCTGGATCCGCCCCTTTTTTTATTATCTCTTGTAATCATTTGGAGCATTGTTTTAATTTGCCTTTTTCTATTAGCTTTGTCAATGAGAACAATCAACAAACAAACGTAACCTTGGTGAAGAAATTTAACGACTGGCGGTATGACTGGCGAGATTCTCTGGAAAAGCGCATGCCCTGGTTGGGTGCGAGGCAGAGCTTATTGACGACATCAACTCACTCGGATTATTCCGATTGGGGATCGATTATTTCCGAGAAAAAGTCGAGCAACCCGGCACCCTGGATCTATGGTTCAATGCCCAGCCCTGGCGTGATCTGGTATTGGATAAACGAGGACGACTGCGATGCAAGTCGAAATCCTGGTACTTGATTAGCAATAACGTCAATTATATAAAAGCTTGAGATGAAGCTTGCTGGGATCCAGCACAGTCACATAATGTTCGACTTTAAACTACTCCGTGTTTAAACGAAAATAAACAATCAATTAATTAAATTCCATAAAAAAAAATTCAAAGTGATTTTGATCGCAAAAATTGAGAACGCAAGCTTTTTTGAAAGTTTCTTTTAGTACATTGCTCTTTTTCCCTGAAACGTAAGCTAGTGCAAAATCGTTCTGAATTAGATTTATATCCTACGCCCGCATATCACACTTTCTTAACGGTACGTTTTGTTTCAATTTTGTTTTGCCTTGGTCTTCTTCTCTTAGCCTTTAGGATCGGATTTCTGTTATTCAGGTTTCTTCATCGGTTTCTGTATTTTCTTTTTCTATTTTCAATTTTTTATTTTATTTTTAAATTTTCCAGATTTCTTTCAGCGATCCGCCTTTAAAACTGATTGCATCGTAGACTTGTAGTCGCCGTTCAATTTTTAGTTGGCGGGTACGGATAGCCATGGAAGAATTGATTCTTGTCTGACTAGCGGTACTCATTAATGCAAAACAGAAGGTTTATTATTTTGCCTCTTTATGCATGTAGTAAATGGTGGATTATCAGAATGGACAACTTGGACAGGCTGTAGTCAGATGTGTGTCCAAGGCCATCAAACACGGCGCAGACTATGCAATAATCCACCACCCAGATGTGGTGGGCATCCCTGTGGTGGGATGGTTGCCAAGGAGGAAAGGCAATGCTTCGTTTGCCCAAGTAAGTTGCTTCTATTAGCACTCTCATAAGAAACACAAGTCTAGAGCAATTAGCAGTTGGCCATGGGACAATATACCAGGTTGGGAGGAGGACAGCGGATCTAAAACTTCCGCCTCCCGCACTTTGCATCTCGGGTTCCCGCCCCTTTTTGGCCTCCTCCCTTTATTTTAGCGTGATTTCTCCCACTTGATACCCTTTTAAATCTTCCACTTCCTGCTGTTTCATTCCCCACACCCCTTATCCTTCGATCCCCCTATTCTCCGTATTCTCCCCTTTACGACTTACTTCTTTTGGCCCTTTTTGAAGAAATCGTAACATTGGCTGGACAAGATGGCTGGACATGGTTGATTCCAAACCCTTTAATTCATTTTGCGAAAGAGTAAAATCTACCTAATTATTAACTTTAATTAATTATGATTATTTCAGTAAATATGCGCCTACTATGCACAATTTTAGCCAAAGTCCGACAGGAAATATATCTTTTAAAATTTTAACTTTTTAGCAGCTCAGTGGCCACATATAGGGTTGCTATATCGCCAACTAATTGCTTGCTGCTAATTTGGAATTAACCTACATTCTGTTATTATTAATTTTTTCTTTTCATTTTCTAGAAAGTCCAATTCTAGCCCATGGTGACCTTTGTCTTCAGCCTGAGAATGGTGAATGCAATCCAATTGACAATACACGACTGGTTTATATCCGAGACACACCTCAATGTTCCAAAAACTATATGGTATTTACTTATCATGACGATGTTCTAACACATCAGTGCAGTGGGAAGAAAGTGTGCCCTCAGGGTATGTACACTTAAGTGTGATCATTTTGCGGTCGAAAACAAAATGCAAAGATAGAAAAAAGACGATTTGACTTTTAAAAATAGTGTTGATGAGTTCATAGCAACTTGCATTTTCCATGTTCGGACTGTCCGTTGTTACACCCAAAAATAGAAGGTCTTCGGGGTTACAAATCTTCGAGACCGGTAGCTGAGGGTCTTTTACCAAGATACTGAGTAGTGAGCTCTATCCAAGCTGAGGGTTACGGTTTCCACTTGATTCTCCATTCCAAGCCTGTCAGTGGAACTTTAATTCCAGATTCCAATCGTTAGCAGGATTCTGGATTCCTTGAGTTGATAAATTACGGATTCCAAAGCCCAGGATTCCGGATCTCACAAGCAAAATTTTCCCGGATTCTGGGGCGAAAAGGGTTTATAGGACATTGGTTTTCAACAACAATAAAAAGTTATAATCATAATTTATATTTTTTTTCTTTATAGGAACAGGCACGTGGCAAACACCGTTGGTCATTTCCAGCGCTTGCCAGATTGAAGAGTCCAAGTTCCAGTGGTATGAATTTTAAAATTTACTTATCAATGTCAGACGGACACAAAGGGAAGGGTTATATGCAAGCATAAATATGATAAATAATTTGTTTATGATAGCTAACGAAACGGTTTTAATTATTCAGTTAACCCATTTTTTTTTTTTTTTTTTTTGGGTGTGTGTGTGTGATTCTCGAAGATTTACGTTTCTTTATCTGACTTAGTCATACAGCTCCTTGTTGTAGAACGTGGTGAGTTTTACCGTTGTTGTTCAATTTACCCCCAGGACTTCTTATAAAACCTTAAAACACAAATCGTCCGGGTTCTGTGTGCATCCTTTATCCGGGACACCAAAGAGCGGAACTTCCGCCATTCTGTGGCAGGATGATTGTAATGAAGATAGACTCCAGCTGGATCTATTCAAGTTGCCAGGTTGGTGCAAGAATATGGATATTATCTTGTTTTATTGCAAATGTAAACACCAATACAATATCAGGTGTGCTTTCGTACGGAAACATGACCTTAAAACACGCGATAGAACATGTTAAAAGGGTTGGTATTTCATTAGTGTTTATGAAGAGCCCCTGAGATATGGGATATTACATGGTCTGAGGCAGATACCGGAAATTAAGGAGTATCTTCACCTGGCTGCAGACATTTTGTAAAATGATAAGGAGATGGATGAAAGGATAGGGAATCTGTCATTCGGGTATGTGAAGCTGAGTCAAAAGTGGCATATATAGTGGTAAGGGGTTGGAACTCTGAGCGAAACCTTGCCCTGTAAAACTGTTGTGTACCTACCTTATGGAGAATCTTGGAGGTGTTGGTTGGATGTTACCTTCTTACGTTTTTTGACCGATTGAGGAAAAGGCGATATTATTTGCGTCATACTGATCTTCTACAAAAGTTAAATTTTTGGTATAATGGACTGCATCATACATCATCATTCCCAGAGGCCAAGAAACAACGTTACAATGTCTTCAGTCAGAGAAACAACCTAGAATTCTGAGAATTTCCCTTGTGTCATGATTAATCCTTTCTTTGCAGTATTTCAAAGTCCAATACAAGCTTTTAATGGCTTCTGTCTCCAACCTGCAAGCTCAAACTGTGATCCAGCAGATAACACTCGACTTGTTTATCACAAAGCAGCTCGATGCAAGAACAACTACATGTTTTTCACTTACAAGAACGAAGTTCTAATCCATACTTGCAGTGGCAAGAGAGTTTGTCCACAGGGTAAGTACGCCTTTCAAGACTGCTCGCAGTCTTGAAAGGGCGGTATGAGATATGGTAGAATGCGAGCACACGCGAGTGGCAAACGGCGAAGCCGCGAGAAACAAGGGCTGAGCCCTAGCGAAGAAAATCTCTCCTCCTTTTTGCTGCCACGCGAGCGAGCCTGAAGCGAGTGGGCAAGGCAGCAGACCTAATCTGTACAAGGACAAATATTTTTGATTTCTACCTACGATGCATCTGCATGGATTTTTAACCACAATGCACAGGATTTTTACCACAATCCCAAAGCACGCCCACTGCCGACCTCGGCTGGCGTTTTGTTGCATGAAGTTCTCTTTTAATGTGTCGGTAATGAATTTCTCTTTCATGGCATATATTAGCCAAGATTTCTTCACACAGCCCGGCCGGTGTTTACCTTCACGTGTGTTTGCGTTCTTTGAACATCGTGATATTTTAAAAAGTCCTTTTGATTATCTTCTACACCCGTGGTTTTCTTAAACCATCGTTTCTAGTTTCTAGAAGATAATTTTCGAATAAACCAGAGTAAAACCTCTAACGACTTGGGTAACAAATTGCGTCACAAACGCTACACATTAAGTATTCTATGTGCGCTAGGATGAACGCGAGATTAATGCAAACGTAATTTGAAGATAAAATTGAAACCAGGGAACACTCTTTCACCTATTAGGTACTCTGGTTACCACCGTTAGTTTTCGATATTTTACTTTAAGGAAAAAAGGGCGATCGCTCGAGGTTTAATTGCTAACAATAAGGCAGTTTTTTGTCGTACACCCCTACTCGACTGTTTATTGTATTATGTAACGTCCCGCAAACACGCATAGGTACCGAAATCTGGGAAATCCAGAACAGAACACCTATGATGACATATAGAGCCTAGTTTTCATCTTGGCCATATTTTTTTTGTGTGTATTTCCAAAGGTCAACGTCACTATGTTATCTTGCCCCTCCCCCATGAGTCTAAGCCGAACAGATGCTGTCGAAAATTTTGGGAAAAACTTCTTCGTTTTTTCCCTTGCTGTTGATAAAAAGAGTGTTTGATATTTTGATTACAATATAGTTTCTATCTATTATGTGAGGAAATCAGACAGAATAAAACGTCAACAAAACATTTCGAAGACTGGTAAAATGACTTCAATAACTGAAATGCTTTTCTTTCTTTCAGATGCAACGCCAACTTGGGAAACGCCCCTGGTTATTTCCAGTAGATGTTCAACCGATGCGTCCAAGTTTCAAAGGTGACACTAAATTAAAATTTGAAATAAATGTTCGCGAGGGAAACAGATAATTTGGTTTTCATTCAGTGTTGATACAAGTTCAACAAAAATGAAAGAATAGTTTAAAATATTTTTAAAAATTTGAAACTTTTGGCTGGAAATTGTCAGACGCCACATGACGTTAAAAATGGGCGCTTGGCGAAAAATCCTGTCATCTCAAACAAAAATGAGGATGTTTCGTTCCTTCTACACTTTAGAGTATGCTGCTGTTTGAACAGCTTTGATTTGCCGTTGGTAACAGCTATTTTATCCACTAAAGACATCAGTTTTGCATGTTGCTGGATCAGAAGAGACTTTTGGCAGGAAATTGTAAGACGCCATGTGACGACAAGCTAGCCAATGAAAATGCGCGCTTGGCGAAAAATCCTGTTATCTTAAAAAAAAAACAATGGAAAATTTTTCGTTCCCTTTTTCCGTGGTTGTTTCACGCTGATGAGTCGTCTGTCCATACCTGCCGTTGCCCAGGTGATATTGCTGTGCGCATGCGTAAACTTTTGGCCAAGACGGGCATTGCTTTTCTTCCATGTCACTTCCGTTAACCCTTTAAGCCGCAATATGCGCATCCACGCTTATGTCTTGTGCTTTGAATGATCTCTGTCCTTTAGAACTTTCCACAAGACCTTAATACACACAGTATCAGGATTCTGTGTGCATCCATACGGTGGACCACCTAAGGAAGGAATTCACGCCATCTTGTGGAAAGATAACTGTAACGAAAAGAGGCTTCAGCTGGATCTCTCCATGTTGCGAGGTCAGTAGAAAGTTATGTCAGTGGTTTTTTCTTGTATTTTATTGTGGTACATGAAGTTAACTTCGTTCGATCAAAGAGAACGCAATCCTAATCTAATAGCTGGTTTGCCTATTGTCACAGCTAAAGAACCAGAATAGACTGCCCCTCTCCAAGGCTAATTAACTCGCCTGTTATTTCCTTTTTCAGGTCCTGGGTAGTGAGGGGATAAGAATTAACCAAAGAAACACTTAGTAATAATAGCAAAGGTGAAATAAAGAGAAATGGAAGGTTTATTCACTCATTGAGATCTCATTTTGTTGTTGTTGTTGTTGTTGTTGTTGTTGTTGGATAGCAATTTCATGCCATTTTGTAATCGGCAATGAACGGCACTGCCAATAGCTCGTTTCGAAACGCTATTTCTATTCTGGTTATAGGCCTTCTCAAATATAAGCCCCTATATAAGCCCTATTATAACCCCTTACGAAAATGTGTAAGCCCCGGGGCTTATAACATGTGGTAGTTTACGGTATATCATTAAAGTATTGAGCACGGAAGCTAAAATTGTGAACACCCTAAGGTTGATCTCTGAATCAACCAAGAATTCTTTTCAGCATACGATCGAACATTACCTTCAAACTGCTTTTACGCAATTGAAGTGGCTTTCACTTATGCAACTTCTTGGATTTCTTTGGCACTGACTTTGTATCCACATGCAAAAGCAACACCCTTAACTACATGTACAACTTACAGCAACACTGATCTAGAAAGAAAAATGTAACGTGCTTGATGGATCATTATTTTTAAAAAGAAGAGCCAAGCTTCAGTTAAAAAGATCATTTGAGAAACTCATTGTCGAATTCAATTTTCTACCTCACAAACAAAAGGAAGTTTGTTTTTGCAAGAAGTGCCTTTCCAGCTTCCACCATCAATCGCCATTGCCGCACACTTCTGGTTATCGTCCCCGTTGTCCGGCTGGCCGGAAGCCCACTTGGTGTAGCTCACAGGGCTACCATCAGACCAAACGCGCATGCTCTCATTCAAACCGATCCACGCAATATTCACGGTTGGACCTAAACATGGTATAATTAAAAAGAATGAAACCCTATTTAACTCCTACTCAAGTAATTGTGGCAAAGTAAGTGTTCAGGTAAGTGCTCTTAAAACCAAAGAATCGCTATCAATATCGTGCATTTATAGGTGAATCCTTGTTTACATTTGTTTCCTCATTAGTATAGGCTTTTCATTATCTGATGAAGCTAATAAAATGAAATTTCTGAATATTGAAAGAGCATAACAATTTCATTTATCTCTGAAAATTTGAGCCCGATTTACAAAATAGTTTCGGATCGATAAATTCTCTTTGAAAAACCCCATAATTTACAAAGAATGTATTTCAAGCTCATTGACGTTTTGCCACCCAGTAATTTTTCAGTCTTCCATCGCTGCTACTTTCTTTGTTACTGATTGCATAGAGCTGAAACTTGCACAAAGGCTAACTCCATAAATTAAGTAGCTCTTTTAATTTTTTAACCCAATTGGTATAAAAGGCTACATTCTATGGATTAACTCATATGCTAATGAGCAAAAATGTAAACAATGACGTCACGATGAATCCGCCTATACTATTGCAACCAAATTTGTATTGCCCTCGAGGGACAAAAGAAAATTTGTCGTCAATCATAGTTGGTAGTTGCAGAAAATGGGCATTAATAAAAGCCAGCGAATCCAGCCGTTTCTCCTCGCTCCTCGACGCTAGGGACGTTTCACCTGGGGAGGAACGTCTGCGACTAAGCGACAGACATTCCATACTGATGACGTAAATCAATGTTTACATCCGGTAGTCATGGGGTTCCAAATGTAAATTTGCTTGATTTTATGTTTCTCATGGTCGGTAAAGTTTTGTGATCTTTTACAAACGAGCTCCAGCAAAATTCGGAGTTTTTTTTCTAAACAAGAATATGTTCTAGGAATATTGACTGTTTTGTAATCACGTTTACATTTGACGTTCGTGGATTTTGTCTATCAGTCGTAAACAATAGGTAAAACAATAATATAGAGATTTAGCCAGGGCTAGAAAGAGAAGCTCTCGATAATTTTTATAGTTTGCCAAAACAAAATATAAAATCGTGTAATGCTAAGCGGCGAAGGAAACGAGAACGGTGAAAAAAACAACAATAGGTCTAGTTGGCAAAAAAAAACTTTGCACTTGCAGCACACTTGTTTTGTTCATTTCTTTGCAGTCGTTTTGCACGACTACAAAGTGAAACTTCCAGAAACATCCTGATTACACGTTTTATGGAGGAAATGTCGTACGTTTTCTTTTTCAATTTTTTTTTTTTCACTGCCGCATTTTTTCACCTTGGTGGCCGTTAACATTTCTTATTTTCCTATAATAATTATAATTTATTCATTTACAGTGCGCTTTTTAACATGCTAGGTGATCAAAAGCGCAAAAAAATTTCACAAAAATTTTCATGTTGCTCTTCCGACAAAAAAATGTCCCTTTTGTCTTTTATCTCTCGCTCTAGATCTCTGTCGCTCTTTTTTCTTGTTGAGCTTCGTTGGCCTGTCGCCTATTTTCTCTTTTTCTTTGTCTCTGTCTTTCTCTGTATTCCAAAATTGTGGACATGACAGTTAATCTAAGTTTACTTTAGACAACACGGATACAGAAACAATTTCCGCTTTCCCTTTTCGTCTTAATGACTCTTTAGTTGTCTCTGTTTCACAAGACTCGGGTGGCTATGTGATTTCCCGCCAAAAGTCGCCATACCTGTATGTTGATTGAGTTACTTTACATTGGTATGCCTGTGGTGCGGACGGACGGTCGGTCGGACGGGAGAGTGTACGGTCACGTGACTACCAAAATTTCTCGGATGCATTAAGGTTACCAAATTTTCTTACCCATGGTGCCCGCTGGGCGCGCGAGAGAGATCCGCTATAACTTCTGCCTCGACCAATCAGAGCTCAGTATGGAATTTCTGTGGCTGACTCGCAGACGTTCCTCCAGGTGAAACGTCCTTAGCGGCGAGGAGCAAGGAGAAACGGCTGTATTCGCAGGCTACATTAATGGGAGCTTGACTGTATTTTCACCGTTAATTTCCAACTTTTCTTTTACCTGGCCTAAGTTTTTCAGGGTGGTATCCACTCAAAGACACACATAACGGAAAACACAAGTTTATTAACACCTGCCCTAACAGTTAAAAATAGAATATCCTGCGGGTAAATATTTTCGTTCACTATTGGCATACTTAGATACTATTGCCCTTATTTTCACCTGTTAGCCGTAGTTTTTTCAACTCTTCAGCAGTGAGTGCCTCTCCGATAATCACAAGATCTCTTAAATGCCCTTTAAAAGTCTGCCAGGTGTCCCTTTTCAGTCCGATATCGTACACCGTATGATCGTTAGCCCTGATGTACGAGCCATTTACCAGATCTTGATGTGAAACTAAGAAGCCGTCAAGGAATATTCCAGCCTCGTTTGCATTTTTGTCCCAATAAGCTGCCATATGAAACCAATTGTCAACTGTAGGGCCCCTGAAAGACCACAAATCAGAAAGTTATGCTCACACTCAACCGCGGATAGAAATGCGTGTAAGTCAACCATCACTAGGTTTCACTAAATTAGCATGTGTACTCAAATGATGACTGGTGAAATTAAGGAATAATTTCACGCGCGTTTTGTCCAAATCCTAATAAGCACGCTAATTGCGTAGAAGTGAATTCATGGCAATTTAAAATACATATTTTCCAGTTTCTTACCATCCTGATGATATCCATGGAAGGTAATTACCAAAGTTGTTTATACATCCAAATAGCATCTTTCCCCCACTGTACGCTTGGATTAAAAATTTCAGCGGAGTTGACCAGTCTGAGAAAACTGGTGACGGATCACTGGCAGGGCTCTGCAGTTTGACCCAGCAGGCGATAGTAAAACTTGAACGTCCAAAGTCCACGGCAGGCACCGTGGCATATGCACCTGAACAATTGAGGTACAGAGATTGAAAACCATCTTCTTCTCTGTAAGTTGCTCCATTTTCTAGACTGACACATGAGGATTAACATCACAGATTTGCTTTGATGATTTGCAGATTTGCTCTGATGCAATAGTACCATAATTTTCATCAGTTTTCCAATTGTAACAATTTCAATTTCTCCACCCGGATGTCTTTGCTGGAAAGAGTCCGACATTTCCAACCATTAAGCCAATCAATATTTATACCTTCAAAATATGGGGATGTTGATCGCAAGAAAGACCAAGACCGTATCTGAATCATCTTAGTAAAAAAACTACAATCGCTTTTATAAGGCGTTGATTAGGCGCCACCGTGTAAGCTGGCGCGTTCTGACAGGAGCGTAAATTTGAGATCCGTCAGTACAACGGGTGGTACGCGAAACTCATAGGTCTTACAGGAGATCATAAACAGAATATGACAGCTGAGCGTCCTGCTGCTAAGATCAGATATATAAACGCACATTTTATGACATTGTCTGACGAAAAGAGTGGAACACTGCTATTGAAAGGCCTTCAAAACGGGTTTTCTGGCAAAATAAAGGACAATCAGGTCCTGTTCTTAGTTATCAGTAAGACCCAAGGCAAATGTCAGTTGTCAGTAAAAAATTAGGCGATTTATCAGTTGTCAGTTAACCCCATCCAGACATTCCTACTAAAAGTGGCTTTTAGTGGAGGGAGGGGGGCAAGGTTTGAAATGTCAAATAAAGTATAAACGATTTCAGTTTTTACGGAGTAGCTGCAAAATGGCTTGAGAAACTGTAACCTTGAAAGCCAAAAATGATTCTTATCAGTCTAACTTGCCCCATACCATATTATCAATAATTTTGAATGTTCAATTTTGTTATCAAACTTTATACAAAAAGTAGAACTCTTTCCAATGACGTCATCTCTCGGAACAGCATCAGATCACTAAAAATTGTACGCTAATTGAACACGTTGATTTCAGCAAAACAAAAAGTGCACAACTTTTGCTTTTTTTGCTTTCCAGTGAGGAGTTTCCTTTTTTGCTATAGCTTCCGGCAGTAGAGATTCGTTATTTGTAACTTACTTATCGCAATTGCACCATCACAATAGAGTGTTTTCACTCACGTGGCTAGCATATATGCAAATTTATTGGAACAAAAGAAAGCGTTTGCATAAGAAAAGAGTTCAACTCCCACAGGACCCGTTTGGGACACCAACATGGCCGCCGTTTCATTGTTTTGGGGCACCAATATGGCCGCCGTGAAGTCATGTGAAAACACTCTATAAAACACCTAATTTTAGACTTATTTTACCCACTTATTTTAGGTACCCCGTTTTTGTGAAACTAATTTATCTAAATTCAGAATGTTGGATTTAGCTCATATAAAAGTTCTTTCAAAAACGGTATAAAAATAAGCTAAAATAAGGAGATTCAAGTTTAAAATTTACTCATGGATGACGTCGTCAAATGTGGCGTCATCCTGAGCTTAACATTTGGTGTCATGATATATGCCACTTTTATTGGCTTGGTCCGGTGTTTCATGTTTTCGGGCCAAGTTTAGTTAAGAAAGAGTTAAGGTGATGTTACACGAGCCGATTTGCAACAATGATTTTTAGCGCAACACAGCGTCGACATTGTCTGGAATAGTTACAACATTGTTCCAACATTGCAACGCTGTGTTGCGCTAAAAATCGTCGTTGCGAATCGTACCGTGTAACATCACCTTTACAGCCAAAAAAATTATTGTTAACTAACCAATAATGCCACCTTTGATGACAGACTGCCATTATACTTGTTTCAGCATTTAGACCCTGTTTACATGGAGTGGGGGGCCCCGGTCTAGTGGGGTAGGTTTCTTTTGTTTTGTGTCCGCCAGAGCGTGAAAACAAAAGAAACCTACCCCACTAGACCGGGGTCCCCCACTCCATGTAAAGAGGCCCTTAGTCAAGTTTTTGATAGGCCATTTTCACGTACGATGACGGCATTTGACTACAACTAAGAATTCATTTTTTCGTTTTTGCTGTCTTATTCAAATTTATCAATCCCGCTGGGGCTTAAAAAACAGTAGACCTAATTTGCACAAGACAACAACCCCTGAAGGATTCTGGTAGTTGTAGTAAAAGTTCGTCATCGTGCAATTTTGTCCTATTCAGTACAACACAACAGAAATACATTATAGGTAATTAATTATGAATTATTCACTGTACATTTACTTACTTCACCTCTGAGTCAGTTCCGTCCAAAGACCAGTGCGCTAGAAGTGTTTTTGGTTGATTACCTAATTTTGCTTAACATAAATGAAAAAAAAAAATTGGTATTAACTTTAAATTCAGGCAAAATATGGTAAATAACACGCAAACAAAAAGTTGGTCTAACCCGGACTTACATTTATAGACTAGAGGTAATCGTTTATTACGGATCCGCGTTCGTCACTTGAGGAAAAATTACGGAAACGAAATCGAGTCAAAAGGAGTCCAGTTTCCCCGCCGAGGTGCCCCTGGTAAAATTAATAGGGGCGACTAATTTGCAGTCGCCCGTGATGGCTCGAAAATTTCTGCCTTAGTGCCACAGGAACGCCAAATTAGGATGCGTTCTGACGAACGCGATCAAGGACATTGGGCCAAATATTTAAACGTAGTATAGCCAGTGTTTAACAAAACCGAGTTCAAAGTCATTTTCAATTTGCCCAACGATTTTATCTAAACATTTATTGTGAACAGTTTTATGAAAGCATATGGAGATCTGGAGGATCAAAGATTCGTTAAACCGCGCCTAAAGTTAGACTTCGTTTAAATATTTGGCCCATTTACTTTTGCAAAAAAGGCATCATTTCTGATGATGCATGCTCAGTTGGCAATATTCCCACAGGAGTCCCGGGTACTAGAGGGAATCCAGATACGTGTCAGAAACGTGAGGACAGGCCAATTCGATTTGAATATGGATACCTTTGGACATGGAAATTTTTGACTCCAGAAAGAAAGAGTTGAGGATTCAAAAATATCCGGATATGTGGACGGGTCCTAAGGCTACAAGGGCTAGCGCGATCTTCGCGCGAAGATGGTCCTGAATGGTGGATGAAACCTTAATTATGAAAGCATTAAATGTTTACTACGAGATATCTCAGCTAAATCACTGAGCTTTTATCAGTCGAAATTGAGCAGTCACGTGACCTCAGGATGGCGGTCACATGACAGAGGAATTGTAGATGTTTGGTAGCCCGAACCTATTTATAGATGGTTTTCATGCAATCTCGGGAGACACAAATAACAATGGTGAAATGAACAAATGCTGGTGGACAAACAAAGCGAGCTAATAAGCGATCTTTGTTTACCGTCCACCAGCATGGCGGCAATGACGTAACGTGAAAACCACCTATATGCGTGTTGGTTGTGTTTTTAAATCGTGTCTTTCTGCAGGATAGATTTAACGTTCTAGATATCGGCATTTATCGTATTTAAAACCGCATTTTTACGAGTACAAAAAAATGTAAAAAAAAAAACTTTAAACTCTACGCCAGATTTTTCTCTAACTTCAGCAAAAAAGCCTCAGAGCTTTCTAGTTTTATTATGGGAAAGTTAAAAGTCAACCGTGACCATACAACTTGCTGTACAAAATGCTGATCAAATTTAATCTTAAAATGCACAAATAGAGGAAGAGTGCCGACGGACTATCTGCAATATGCAAGGATATCCTTACCCAAAGCTTTATCGCAAGAGACTGAGTAATCAGAAACCTACGGTGAATACAGTTCGCACTAAAGGCTACAAGAAGAACGACTTCATGCTCAGTGCGGGGTGCGATTAAAGAACTTCTATTTATCAAAGTTTCTGTGTGCCCTTTTCTTTTCGAAACAAACCTCAACAAAGCAAAATATAGCATCTACGGAAATCTCCTACCAGTTCATTGGACCGAAGGTTCACGTCTTTGAGGAGAAATAGAGCCACTAACTCCAGTACTTCAACAATCCATTTTTCAGCTGCAACAAAAACCCTTGTATTTGTTAATTTATTCAAGCTTGTTAGATTTGCCATCACATTAGCACGGGCAATTTGCCATCGGGGATAATGAGAAAAATAAGAAGATTGTCATATTTTTCTTTATCTTTATTCCCAAGTGGCAACCTTCCCGTGCCAATGTGATGGCAAGTCCAAAAGCCTTGAATTAGTTAGCAAGGACAAGAGTTTTCATTGCAGCTGAAAAACGAATGGCTGGAACTACTGGAGTTAGTGGCTTTATTTCTCCTTAAAACAGAAACTTGCGACGCTAAATACTGTTGAGAGTTTTTCGTAGATGCTAAATTAATTTTCTTTGCTTTGTTAATATTTGTCTCGAAAAGAGAGGGAGAAATACAAAGTAAGTTTAGTGGATGGAATTTCTTTGATCTCACCCCACATTCAGCATAAAGTTGTTCTTCTTGTAGAGCGAACTGTATTCGCCGTAGTTTTCTGACTACTCAGTTTCTTGCGATGGGTCAGAATACCCTTGCAGATAGAATATAGTACGTCGGCACTCTTCCCCTATATGTGCGTCAACTTTCACAAAAGTGTTAGCCTAGCATTTTAAGGTTAAATTTGACCAGAATTTTGTCAAGTGAGTTGTATGGTCACAAAACTTGTACATATAAAACTTGACTGGAGCTCTGAGGCTTATTTGCCGCATATCTAAGACGCAATTCCCCTGTCACGTGACTTTTCTCAGGTCATGTGATTGCTATGTAACTTGCGATTAATGAAAGTTAAGCGATGTAGCTGAAATATCTCGTAGAAAATATTTTATAGTTTCCAGTCCATTAATTTCTCCTTGTTGATCTCAACGGAACGTGATCAGGAGATGAGAACTGTTTCGCTTCTAACCAGCCTGTTGTAAGATTTTAAGTAAATTTACCAAGCAAATGAGTGATGAACTCATTCTTGACCTCACTGTTAATTGACACTAAGGCTCCTCCAATCGACTGGCAGTAGGCCATTGCGCTAGTCCAGTTCCGTTTTTCGGCAAAAATCTTAAGCTTTTTGGAACCGTATATGAACCAGTCACCGGGAAGAACTATAGAAAATAATCATAATAGGTCACGTAATTAATTGATTTATTTAAGTTAGCATTTTCACAGAGTTTAAAGCTGGTTTCTTTCAAGTCAATGTATATGGCATCTTACCGTCTTTGTAGATACATTGATCCATAGTGCAATGTAACACTTCCTGCCGGAGAAAAAATATGTTCAGGCAAACATTATGGAGCGAAAACACAAACAAACAAACAAAACCAGGCTTTTTAGCACCTTTTCAAAGCACACTTTCGGTTATCCATAAAACTTATTTTAAGACTCGATTGGGTGTCCATTGACATCGAATCACAAACAAAACAAAGAAGCGTTCTATTTTTCTCTTAGCTTAAGATTTAGTGCGCTTGTTATACATCAAAACTCAAGACATCAGGTTAGAGTGGCTATTGGAATTATTTCTTTTAAATCGATAGGATAGTTATTTAAAAATAGGATTGTTATTTATTTTCATACAACTTACCGCCATTTGACGGTATTGATATCCATCATTCGGTACTAAGTCCTTCGGATCAGCAGTTTTGCTTGAATCATTTAAGTCACACGTGATCTGTCCTGATGACCCCTGATGCGGATGCACGTTGACAGAAAAACAGAGTGGTATGTTCAAGCATTCCTCTTGACACTTGATTGGATGATCGACTGTCACAGTCTTTATCACGTGATTTCGCAGAACGACATTTTCCTCTTTTAAAAATCGAGTCATTCTGCAGCCTTTGCATGCAATGACTGGTACCAATAAAAGCAGAGTTACCCAGGCCATTATCCTGAAAAGAGACAAATAATACTTTCTAAAACTCTGGCTGCGATACTTAGATCAGAAGTGATGAAATGGTAGTTAAATCTCTTGGGGTAACACATCTACAATGAAACGACGAGCCCAGTTTCTTCAATGAACCTACCCGTTTTTACTGAAGGACTTGATCCAAAGGAATGGTATTGATCATGAATAAATATATCTGCTCCTTAACGAATTAGATTCCTATAAAAAAAACTTCAATACAGATCGAAAAAAAAAACAAACAAACAAACAAACAAACAGGCAAACAGATAATCAAGACATGCGCCATTTTTTTTTTGAAACGTTGAGTTGGAATTAAGGGTTAATAATCCACCGGATAAAATCATCGTCGTACGAGGGAATGAGTGTTAGGGAACTAATAGTGTTGTCTACTGGATAGCCCTATCCACCTTTTCAACATGGTCAACTGAAACCAAAATCCCGAAATTAGATATATAACAATAGCGGTGGATTCTATGAAAATATTTACGGTGATTTTAAGTGATTCCTGCGACGGTCTGCCGTAATTGTGCAGATAAAAAATCTAATTTTATGGATCAGATCGCCTTGGTTCTTTAGCACACTTTCGCCAGCAAGGTTTATTCTATAATTCTCCTGTTCTTCCCCTCGTTTTGGATTCTTAAACTTTTAAGAAACATGACCCCCTTTCAAATTTTTAATTTCTTATTACCAAATCATAGCCTGATTGATCACATACCTTCAGCTTGCTAAAGACTAACTTCTTCTCAGGCAGGTTTTAGGCATTAATCCGATTTGTCAAAGTGCAATAAGTAAAATACGTTCCTGAAAGCAAGTTCAAGGTGAATTGGTATGTCTTGGCATTTGGTCACCCGTAGAAAGCGCGTTAAAAGATTAGCAATTGTAATTTTAAGTTGTTTAGAATACCCTCAATGTACTTAGAAGTTCTTATTAATTACTCGCTTAAACGAGTACGTGCTTTCGTTCCAGATCTACTCTAATTTCGAAAGTGTTGGTTTTTTGAGGCTTTACGAGAGGAAAACGAGAAGGGAGTTTGTTTTGTGTATGATTACATCACTGCAGAATATTATTTGCTTGTATGTTTGGCTTTTCCAGTATATGACCAAAAGGTGTGGTTTTGGCATATTGATTAACAATAACATCTGTTGAGGTGTAGGCATTTTTTTTTTTCACTAATAAAATACTTAACGTGATATCATTTTTGTAGTTTAATACATAGTTAGACAGGGCAATTTGAAATGATGAGATTCTTTGAGATGTTTAGCAAACGAGTCGTTAAAATAGCAGGAAAATGCGGCCCCATTTAAAGAATTAAAGCAAATCAATTGGAGAGAATTGGAGAGCTAGTTCCACGTGTATCGCTCAAAATCCAAAAAAAAATTAACTTCTTGTCTTGCAAGTCAAATGGAGAGAGGAAACTTTTATCAAACCAACGCAACAACAACAACGACATTATTAAGCTTTATTTGCACGGCTATATATGTAGTTACAGTATTGCAAAAGCTTTAAGGTTAAGTTACAATTTATACTAACGATAATACAATGCAATGGCTACAATGGTCAATCAAGTGTCATCAGTAAGATTTGATAACAAATTATTACTTAAATCATTTCATAATGAAACAAATTTCAACAAATGTGAATTTACAGAAAGATTCCTTGAATTCGTCAATATAATTATTAATTCTGTGCAAGATAGCTTATTAAAATCGACAAAATTATGTTGGATTTGATTGTAAAATTTTTCCCTTGGGTGTGAGTACTTTGGACAATGCGAGAGAAAAAGAAGAATTCGTCTTCAATTATCCGACCAGAGTTACAAACAGGGGAGAATCTATCGTTGTTAGGAGTTTGATTATATCTTCCAGTTTCAATCATGATCATGAAGTTTGTGGTGAATTTTCACTAACTCTTTCTGGGCTAGTGCTGTAACTGGCCGGATTCCTGAGGGTTGCAAGTGACCTTTGGCAAATACCGGAATTTCAAAGTGAAAAAAAGAAAAAAAAGAGAGGGAGAGATCCAGCAACAAGGTTTGACCGAGTTTTGTCTTGCATGAGGTTCACTGCATTCAAAAACCTTTTTCAGTACTCAAATTCAAGTCTATTCGTTAATATAGCAGTATGCAGATTCAATACAATCATTCGAACGGCGAAGTGGCTTGTATCCAAGTACATGTTTTTGTTGTTTAATTAAAGCCGATCGATATTGATGTTGTTTTAGCTGCTGCATTTTGTAAATGTTATTTACATTTTTACACTCTGTTCGAACTCTGTGTTCTTTTGGTGGTTAGGTTTTGGCAGGTCATCATCATCAGATAACTCTGATGTGTAAAAATCCGCAATTAAAACTGACAAAAAACGAAGCCACGATAGAAAGAATTTCAACAAAAAATGTCATGAGAAAGGTAAAAAAAGCATTTTTTTTTTCTTCCCAGTTTAATTTGTTTTGGCCGGCAAATGGCAGACACTGTATCAGTTTTCTTTACCTGTTTTTATTACTCTCCCGCATTCAAATGGATTATTTCAGCTGCATCAATGACGATTAGAATTAAATATTAAACTCTTTGAGATAAACAGAGTGAAGAGTTAACAGCGTTTAACCAGTATTTGGCAAAGCCAGGTTCTGAACCATTTTCAGTCAGCTCCTGAGGCTTCTTGCTAAACACAGTTGTTTATAGATGAGTGAACCGTTCCATGAAAACATATAGTTATGTAGTGCTTGAAAAACATTTATCTTTTTAATAATAAGTTGGACAACTGCGGTCGCGTAGTTTGTACGTAATAGCTGCAAATCAGTAACTATTATAGTGGTGTTCTATTTTCTCTATTTCATTACTAAAGTATATGGTTTGAAGTTTCCTTCAACGTCCAGAATATTCTGTATGGTGCAAAAACTGATGGCCAAAAATAATATGACGACATTAAGCTCCTAAAGAAAAAATATTCGACATAAACATAAAAAATCAATAAATAATGACTTCATGATAGCAAATATATTCACGGGTTATTCGTGCACCGCTCGTTACTGCGCTTTTCACATACAAGCGACCTTTAAAATTCAAAAGCCGCCTTCACAATTGGGTTTTTCGCTGCCGTCAATCATAATTACGATCAAAAGCAATGAACCTTAAAACACAGAAACACACAAAACGGATCGAGATCCACTAATCACAGATCACAAAGCTCGACCTTCGGAACCCGTTTAAGCAAAGTTCTGTTTCCTAAGAGGTCCGTTAAGATGATTGACGGAACCGAAAAACAGATACGTCAGTTGATTTTTGAACTTCAGAGTTCGCGTGTTTATGAAAAGCGCAGTAATCAATTGGAACTTTAGAAATGTTGGTTTTGAGAAGAGGGGATCAATCAAGTGATTTTACTTTCTGTTTTAATTTTGTGACATTAGTGAAAAACATCAAATTTAAGCTTTTCACATTAAAGACTAACGGGCTTGATGATAAACAAAATTTCAATTATAACAAATCAAACTGCAAACACTTCAATTCCATAGTAACTAAATAAGAAAATTGCTGGACGGTGAGTTAAGAATATGTGTGCATGTCCCTTTTTTCATACAACGAAATGCTATCTATTTAATTCCAGGCCATTGACAGAGGATTTTTTTTTTTTTCCCAAAGAAACTCTCAGCTAAGCAATGGAAGGCTTTGGAAAAAGTAATTGAAAAATGGAAAAGGTAATACAATTAGTTGAGGAATCTGATTTAGAAGCCTCTCACTAAACGACATATTGCCATATTTAGAGTGCGTGGAAGATTGTGATCACAGCGAAATTTGCTGAAAAAAGACAGAAAGGGACTAAAAGTCTGCTGCCCTTTACACTCTTGGATAGGGCCACCATGCAGCTCTCTAAAGCCTCACGGGATTGGTTGAGAAGGCAATAAACGAACAAAGTTAACAATAAAACCTAGTCCGAAAACAAAAATCTAGCTGCGACACATAGTCAGGTCCAATTAAATAAGAGATTCTGAGTCCTTAATGGTAAATGTTAAAGTAAGCGGCTTTGGAGTTAGGTGGGGGCGGGGTTGGGATTTTGACTGGGAGGTAACGTAGAAATTCGCTCTCCCTATCTAATTTTCTTTCTGACAAATAAAAGGTCGTTTCATTGTGCAAATTGTGTCGTCCCAGTGTCCGCCATCAACCGCCATTTCCGTGCACTTTGGGAAATCGTTTTGGTTATCCGGCTGCCTGGTAGCCCACTTGGTATAGACCACGTGACTACCATCAGACCAAACTTGAAATGTGTCGTTCAGACCGATCCACGCTCCACCATGGGATTTTCTGACTGGACCTGCAACACACAACGCTTACGATTAACCTAATATGATCTTCTGTCCTTCAATTTATACCTTATTTCTTTTCACTATTTTCGATTTTTTTTACTTTCACCAAAAGCAAGAAGTAAGCGGAAAAAATTACCTGAGCCTGCGATCATTTAAAAACCACTAACTAGTCTTCGGACAACTTTAAAAGAACACGTCACCTCAATGAAGAGTTCACTTGAGCCCGCAGTAAACTGTCATGTAGCACTGGTCAGCGAAAACCCTATTTTGACAGCTGTCAATTGATCATAACATGGATGTCCAAAATCAAGTTAAACACAGACTATATAATGCCCTGGACCCCAAGCTGGTAATTGCGACATTTCACATCCGCTAACATGAAGGGGCGGACGTAAGGAGGAACGATTTTTCCCGAACCAGAATCCAATTGAGGAATTACAATTATTTTTCAAATAACGCATGCTGTAAAACCTGTACCCAACGACCATCTTGGTAAGGAGAGGTAAGGGGTTAAACGGGATGGGACGTGTAATGGGGTGTAACCAAGAGAGAACGAGGTATGAGAGCGAATCTCTCATACATGGCCCTCTTCATATTAAGAATACTTTATGTCTATTCTAGGTTATGTGTCCTACTCCACGGTTATTTTAAGGATGACACCTTATTGGTCGGCTAAAATGGGGTCAGTGTCATTTTAAACATTTCTACTTCTATCTTTAGCTTGGTTGGTAAGTCATTTCACTACCGATCACACAGTGAGCAACATGACGTGTAAACTTGGTATCACTTTTGTCAATGAGTCAAAAGATCTCTACGTGAAAAAAATCTGGTAAGAATAACTGCCGACAGGCAAAATGATCCTGGCTTGCAGCAAAGAATGCGAGTCAGGAATTATGGGTAATTGTGGTTTTCTCTAAATCATTATATGTAATGAAATAAACAACCTCAAGAGGAATGGGTCGTTACTAAGCGAATTCAGTCAATCGATTGTAAACGACAAGCTTTCTTCCAGCGACAACTACACAAACTAGGAAGTTCCTGTAGCATCGTTTGCATCTAAACGTGGACACGTAACGAGAAAATTTGTTCTAATAAGCCATTTCCGATGACCCTGGGGCCTCTGTATGAAAACAAGGTTAAGTGGTCAGCCTTTGATATGGAAATGATTTTTCATTCTCATGCAAACAAAACTCATTTTCACAAGAAAGGTTGTGCACTTGGTCTCATTTTGAAAGTGAGGGTTTTTGGAACTCAGAAGTGGCCTGTTAGGTGCAAAACATGTTCAGAACAAACGCCGTTAACAAAAAAGAAAAAAAAAACCTCAGTAAAAGGCACAGTATGAAATTGAATGCATTGGTTGTTAAACAGCCTCTGTACTCTGGAAAGGTTATCTTGTCAGTTGGGAAGCACTTAAGTGGTCGTTGCTAACGTGAAAAGACAACCGTTTAAGACAAGCCGTAAACGTATCGGCTCTTTGCCCCAGAAAAAAATAAAATAAGAAAACTAGCCGTTAATCACAGCTTGTCGATCGCACAGTAGATAGGTGGGCTCTAAATAATTCTAAATGATAGGAATGTGAGTGTTTCTAATTTTTCTCTTGCTTGGCCCACGTTTTTCAGAATGATATGTATTCTCAAACAATCCATGGTCAAAAATACTTACTAACACTTCTCCTAACAGTTTAAAATATTCTGAGTAAAATTTTTCGTTAACTTTTGGCATACTAAGTTGATAAAATCGATGATACAGCCCTAATGTCATTACTGTCGTTATTCTGATCCACCTGTTAGTATACTGTTCAAATCTTCAGCAGTGAGTGCCTCTCCAATAATCATAAGGTCTCTCAAATGTCCTTTAAACGTCTTCCCGTCGTCCCTTTTAAGGCCAATATCGTATACTTTGTGATCATTGCCTCTGAGGTATGAGCCATTTACCTGAGCTTGATATGAAACTAACAGACCGTCACGAAAAAATCCAGCTTCATTTGCATTTCTATCCCAATAAGCTGCCATATGAAACCACTTGTCAATTGGGGCACTCCTGAAAGGCATCAAATCAGTTTTGCTCACACTCGGAAGAAATGCGCACAAGTTAATCGTCAGTTTCATTAAAAAATAACACCGGTTATAAAATTTCTCCCTTTCTCATTGGCTAAAACCTAGCGGCTAATCCTTCCTTAACAAGCTAGTGTTAACCAAGATGTTAATTTGTGATATTCGATAAAATGATCGGTGGTGCAGCACAACAGGATAAAAAGGCATGGCAACCGTTAAGCCTTGGGCACAACAGGTATGTCGCGTTCTCTCAATTTCGTTCCAAGGCTCTCCCTCCTACCAGTTCCTACGGAGCCAGAGAGAGAGAACCTGGGAACGAGTAGAGTGAGCGAGAGAGCACGGAAAACGAGGTTCGCGGTCTCTCAGCTGTGTTTGGAGTGCTTGAGAAAATGACGAAAATGGCGCAGAATGTTTACACGTTTTACGAAGAAATTAGGAAGAAGAACTAGCCGAACTACTGTCCACGTCTAGTAGCAGATTATAAGCGTGAAAGTGAAAACATGGTAATTTAACAAGTACTTTTCCGAGTCTTACCCTCCTATGAACCATGGAAGGAAATTACCAAAGTTGTTAACACAACCAAAAAACAGGTTTCCCCCAGCGTCATACGCTACGATTTGAAATTTCAGCGGGTTTGTCCAATCTGAGAAAACTGGTAATGTAGCAGTGGCAGGGCTCTGAATCTTCACCCAACAGGCGATAGTAAAACTTGAACGTCCAAAGTCCACGGCAGGCACTGTTGCATGACCTGAACCATTGAGGTACAGAGATTGAAAACCGCCTTTTTCTCTAAAAGTTGCTTCATTCTCTAGACTGTAAAGGATTTATATGATTTGTTGTTGATTAATGTTTTAAGATAACCTTAAAAGTGGTTAATTTGAATTGAAGATTTCTTATGCAACTCAAAAAGGAGACCTCTATTACGATAATTGATTTTTCAGAAGGGTTTCTAAAAGACACAAAATGTGTAAAAAACACTAGCATATAATTACGAACTACGATGAAAACATATAAACTAGCCTAAAACAAGTCACATAAAACTTTTTTTAAAATTCCGTTTACAAATCACGTCAGGCATAGGTCTTTTTTTTATTCATTCGACAGGAAGGCCCAATCATTTAAAGTTCAAAGTCTAGAGAAATAAAATACGTAGTACTCTTTTGAACGATGAAAGTTATACAGAACAGCTTCATATCACACTTCACTACAATTTTAATGTAATTGCAAATGAAGTACAAAGATGATGCAATGGGAAAATGGCTTGTGTTAGTGAGTCTCTTGCGTGTATTATGAATAGGCTATTTCCGAGTGCCAGAAACACTCACTTTCAAAACGACGATTAGTGCGAAACCTTTCTTGTGAAAATGAGATTATTTGCATGAGAATAAAAAACTAACTTTTTTTCATATCAAGAGCTTCGCAGACAGCCTTGCTTTGAAACAGAGACTTGAACAACTGGCAAAAGGCCTATTGTGCTCGTCCCATTAATTCCCTGTTTAGAGTTTTTATGTAATATATCAAGCATGAGACGCAGTGTTGAAAGAGTTGAAAATACGACGCGCAGCGGAGTATTTTTGATGAACTTCGAGGTGTTTCATCTGGTGATGAAACGATGTGTCGAATGCTTGATATTACTTCTCAAACAAAATGACTTTAGAAGGAGAAATTAAGGATGCAAAAATAGCAGTTTTTCATCTGATTTCCAAACACTCATTAAACATTAATTTCCTTTGTATTTCATTTATGAATTATCAGTGAGTTTGAGAAGTTTGTATAATTTTTTCTTGATTCTGAATAATCCAGTTTTTGTCCTCCCCACAACCATAGGAAAGACATTACTAAGGATAATGAATCCGTTGGACATGACTTTTAGAACCCTCAAGTTCATATGCGACCCACAGTTCCTATATCCCTTCAATGAAAACGAATGTGTACAAGGTGGTGGATAACTTCCACTTCACCGCGTCACATTTTGTATTTACTTACGTGACGTCTGGGTCAGTTCCGTCCAGATGCCAGCGTGCAAGTGTTCGTGGATGGTCCTCTGAATATAAAAAATCAGTAAAACCAACATATCAGCATTCACTTTGGGTAAAAATAAGTAGATAAAAATATTAAAATATAAAACTTTTCAAGGCATAGCTTCGATCGCTTTGACCATTCATGTTGGTCATATTCTTTCATTGATATAACGAAAAAAGAAACTAACTGATTCGTAAAGGGTATAAAAGATATACGAGATTGAGTAAATATAAATGTCAATTAACAACGAAAATTTGCCCCCTGAACTGTGAAGACAAATCCCCTTAGTTCAAGTTCGTTTAAAAGACCCTGTTTGCCGTATTTTCTTGAATAAATGCCCACGCTCTAATAAGAGCACTCCCCCGCATAAGCGCACACCCCAAGGCCAAAATTTGAAACAAGCGCCCCCCCCTTCCTCCTCCTAGAATAACCTCCCATCATTTCTTAATATAAATAGAAGGGATAGAAGGAAAAACTGTTTCGTAAACTTCAACTTTGATACTGATACGACAGTGGGTATAAACTGGATTATGGGATTATGGGAGTATGGGACCACGGTACGCTTGATTACCAAAAGGAGAACTTAATAAGGTCCCCCTCCTCGATTAGTGACCTCCTTCCAACAAGTGCCCCTCTTTTAAGCCGAAATTTTAAATAAGCGCCCAGGCGCTTATTCGACGAAATGTAAAATGCAAGAATAACATCTAACCTGCTGTCACATTTGTTATATAACGGCCTAGCAAATGAGTAATGAACTCGTTTTTGTCCTCACTGTTGATTGACACTAAATCTCCACCAATCGACTGACAGTAAGTCCTTGCGCTTTCCCAGGTCCGTTTTTCAGAGAAAATCTTAAGCTTATGACTGCCGTATATAAACCAGCTGTCGGAAAGAGCTACGGAGAGAATGGACACAGAACTGTTATAATTGTCAAGTTTGTTTTATCTGTACATATGCAGGGCTATATTTAAATTAGTGAAGAAAACTTTCTCTCACCACTCAAGGAATCTTACCGTCTTTGTAGATACATTGATCTACAGTGCAATGTGACACTTCTGAAAGAAACAGAAGAAAAAGGAAAGAAACAAATCTAACCATCTATAAATCAAAAACATAATTGTAACCTGTCTAACCTTGCGTATATGTTATGAGCATCTATCAAGGAAGAATATAATGACAGACAGACAGGGATATGTAAATACCACAAAAGTTCTTTTTCGACCGATTAAACGCTTGAAAGTAATCGGAACTCAGTTTCCGGAGAGGTCCGCGAATTTTTATTCGGTGTTTTCAAGTGAGAACTATGGGATATTTTAAAATGGCAGCCACAATGTTTAATGACGTCATTTATCGTCATGGTCCTTGACGTAACTAGATTTCAAACCTGGAAAGATTAACTTAAAAAATGCAAAAACCATTGCTTCCTAAACCCTTAAACCTTTTTTACATCACCTACCGCCATCGGAAGGTACTGATACCCTCTCTTCGGTACTAAATCCTGTGGGTCAGCGGTTTTGCTAGAGTTATTTAAGTCACACGTGACCCAGCCTGATGAGAGCTTTTGTGCATGTACGTTGACAGAGAAGCAAGATGGTGTATCTAGACAGTCTTCTCGGCATTTGATTGGGCGATCCGCCTTGACAATTTTTATCAAGTGATTCTCTAGAGCGACATTTTCCTCTTTGGTAAATCTGGACATTCTGCAGGCGGTGATGAGTGGTACAAAAACCAGATACGTAAAGAGGACCATGAAATTTATAACCGACTGGTTTACTCTGATCTAGGGAGGGGATAATGGCTAAATTCGTAAGCCTGGTTTTCATAAGCATAAGCATAAGGACATATGCACGCGCAGAATGGCATATTTGACTCAATTCTCGATAACCTGACGCGTCCGCCATATTGCTTTTGATATGTTCGCATGAGGTCTGGGTCAAAGTGACCTATGATTGGCCCACAGCCTTAATTGTGCTTATGCTTATGTCGACTCCGTTTTCACCAGTCAAGGCTACGACATAAGCATAAGCACAAGCATAAGAACAACGAACTTGTCCCTGTGATTATGCTTCACGTCGACCCAGTTTTCACCTGCTTAGATGTATGCGCAAGATCTTGTGAGGAAAAATATTTAATCCTTACTGTATTTTTGAAGAGTTCTCCGTCGCTGCAGTTTTTTAAAGACTCTAAGACCCGAGGACGGCGACGACGGCAAAAACTTGGCTTAAAATAATACGTGAATTCTCCATTATGCGAATCACTTACCTTATTTGACAACTCCAGAAAATACCATAACATGCCATAATGCTCTTTGTTTGTCACCCCAAAATTTTGCATAAGCATTGTTTTCAGTTTCTCATGGGGCCATTTTAACTCCCAAGAGAAACTGAAAACAATGCTTATGCAAAATTTTGGGGTGACAAACAGAGAGCATTATGGTATATTATTGTATTTTCTGGAGTGGTCAATTGTTGGTGAACTCTCCCGGAACTGAATTTCTAAGAGTCTTATATCCAAGTTCAGTAAGAGAAAGAAAAATTTCCTCCTCACTTGCTTACCTAATTCATCTAGCAATAGGAAGCTTAAAGTTAAATTTAGTTCAAATTATAATGCAGATTTAAACGTTTATCGTGGTACAGGACTAGCTGGCTGGGAACAAACCGGGCCGAAATATCAATGATGTTTTTTTTTGGGAATTGGATCCTTCTTTTAAACAGCTCTTCTTGCTTGGCTTTTACGAGCTCATCAGTTTACACAAATCCACACGTAACACATAAGCCCTTTACTATACACCACCAACGTTAACTACAAACTACGTGATACTGATATTCCAGACAGCAAAGAGAGAGATTACTCATCGGATACCGGTTGTTGGAGCTCCCATGTAGTAACACTGTTTGAGCTGAGAAGGTGGTTCCTTGTAATGAGGCAAAGCCACCTAACAATGTCATTGTACTGAATATTGACAGTAAATCAGCACTCGGGAAAAAAACTTAAATTATAGCTTGTCCTTTGGGCAAAGAGCATCACATTTTGCTTGCCGGGGGTAACTTCCTGCCTGTCCTCGTTTAACCCTTTAAGTCTCAATAGTGATCAACATCAATTTTCTCCTAACAATATCCATACATTGACAAGAGATAAGGCTGTGAGAATTAATAAAATGATCACCTAAGAGAAAATGCCTAGCTCTTTTATGAAATTCTCTCGACTATTTCTTAAAGGAAATGTATTCAATGTACTGAAGGATTTGTATGTGGATATTGGGGCTTAAAGCTAGAGTTAATAATTTTGTTAGAGGATGACTTGCCTGGAGACTTGCCAGGATTGGGCAAGTAAGCTTTAGAAATTACTTGCCCAGCAAGACAATCTACTTGTCCCTGACAACCGAGAGGGACTTTTTTTTTTTCGAGCCATGTAAATTCAACTCCTGGGTATTTAGGGTTAATCTTTCCTTCTTACGTGAAAACGCATCCATACAGTTGAACGACGAACCACTCTTACCTTCAAGTCACAAGTTAAAGCTGCTTACTTGCCTGTTACTTTTCCAGATAATTTCTCCGGACGAGTGGCAAGCCGGAGTGCAGGTGGCGTATTTAAATTACGGCCCCGTTACGCTTAAGCTTATTGCGCAATTACTTTATCTAAAGCTAAATCCTAGGTATTAGAATGGTCACCCGTAGATAATCATGAGGAACGGGTATTCGGCCTCTCCAGTCAGAAAAAAATAGTTCCCTTTCCGTGTTGTGGACGTCCGTGCGATCACCAAATGACGTTATACAAAAGTCACTGAATAATATCCACACCAAAACGAAAGATAACTAACAAACGTTTCTGCAACACCAAGAAACACCATCCTTGTCCAATTTTACTTTGCATAATTATGACTACACCACTATGTGCATACCAATTATATTTTTGCGGCAGCGTGTTTTAATTTCTTGTTGTTGCATTCACGCTCACCATTTCTTTCTTCTGTATAATAGCATGACGTTCGCTTGCCTAACCTGGGTGCCAGAGACTTTTCTTGCGCGGTAAGATGTGTCGGCTTTCGACCGACACCGATTCCAGCCGCAAGCGAGAAAAAGAAAACCTCTGGTACCAAAGTTATTACTTTCTGGTCAGTTTAAAATACAGGACATAATAAGATAAACAGTTTGTGCACTAGGCTAAAACTCCTGCGCATTTTTTTTGGAACTCAGGATGGCCTATGTTTCATAGGAGACATCCCTGTTTACAAACATTGCTTTTATTATTCATATCTGTAACGAGTGAAACAAAAGAATCTTTTGTTTCAATAACCAATACGCTTCTGGTTGGCACATTGATACCAACGGGTGAAGTCAGCGTGAGTATCGCTATATTCTAGAGTAAATAGTATAAGTAGGTATGCTCTAATCCCCGAATAAGTGCTTCTCTCCAATTCAAGAAACATATTCCTTGAAGTCTTTCTAGACCTTTGAACTAACTGACTTCTCTGCTATATACCATTAATAAACTACCAGGTTCTGTTAAATGGCAGCAGGTGGATTAGCACTTATAACCCGAGTAAAATCCAAGAGCAATTTTATGTGCATGTCATTTTCACAAAAGAGGAATGGAATTATTTGAAAGTGTTAAGATACCCCAGTAAAATGTTCGATCCACCTTAACTTACCCGGTGGTCCTTTAAAACAAATGTACATGCCTTTATAGATCTGTTATCTATATACAATAACCGCATGGGTGCATTTCGGTTAATACATTAGGGTATGCATTCACACTATAGCACAAGCTACTAAAAACCAATTAGTTATTTCTTATTTAGGTGCTTGAAGTCTCATTTGAAATGAAATCAAGTCTATCAACTTGAAATTGGAGACCCATGCATATTGTGAATAATAAAAAAAGGATTATATACCCCTCAGTGAATATCTACCTTTTAAAATTCCGTTCGACTCAGCTTCATTATATTCGTTTCTCATCTTTTGCCGGTGTCCCTCTCTACCGCTTTAAAAGCGGTACATGTATGGACGGAAAAATGAATTTGCACAATTTTGCTCATGGCCGAATATGTCGCAAAAATACGCAAGATGAGGAGTAAATGTGAGGAAATGATAGTAAACGCCACATTTGCTTACTAATTAACAACCCGTGTAAAGTGGTATGCAAGTGTGGCATACACTATCTTTGCCAATCAGTTTGCACATTTTTGCGACATATTTGCCATGATAAAAATCGTGCAAATCCATTTTTTTCGTCCGTTACTAAGAATTTGAAGTAAAATCTTTATTGTGTTCAAAGTTCGTCAAATTTTTAAAAGTGTTTTTTGAAGCCAACCTCAAATTTGACCAAGTTGTATCAGGAAAACAAATGGTGGCTTAAGCAACAACGACGGCGACGGCTAAGAAAACGTCACCTAAAAAGCGAATTCGCGCTGCTTCCAAATTTATCGCGCTTTTTCCATCTGCTTCATGTCGTCAAATGTTGGCAATTTTTTTGAAAATGAATTCTTAAAGATTGTAACGAAGTTAAGGAAAAGAAAATGAGAGCCGTTGTCCTGCCCTCATGTCCTCCACCAAACTTCAATTTAGGCACTTTCACGTCGTAGTCGTGCAATAGGCAGCTTAAGCGACGACGACGACGACGACGACGACGACGACGACGACGACGACGACGGCGACGCCAACGAGAACGGCATCACGCACGTGCATCACGCTTTTTGTACATTACATTGCACGACCACGACGTGAAACTGTCTAATTATACGTTTTCTGGAGGACGTGAACACCAGGAAACGATTTTCTGATTATTATTATTATTTTTAATTAGTTACAGTCCTTAAGAAATCATCACCAGAAAAACCCACCAACATTTGACAAATTAAACGACATGGAATAACAGCGATGAATTTTAAACGAGCGTAAATTTTCTTTTTAAGAGACGTTTTAAGCTCCCTAACGGTTTTAAAATTCCTGTCGTCGAACATCCTTCTGACAAATAAATGGAAGTTGTCTTCCACAACTTGTGTCCATCCAGTTGCCTCCGTGAACCACCATTTCTACACAGTTCTGGTAACTGTTTTTGTTGTCTGGTTGGCCGGTAGCCCACTTGGAGTAGGTCAATTGACTTCCATCAGACCAATGGAAAGATCCTTCCGTGACAACATCATTTAACCCGATCCAAACACCACCGTATGGTTCGTTATTTGGATCTGCCGAAGTAAATAAAACATTATGAAGACCAACGCGTTTGAGCTGACTTCTTCATTTGTTCGGAGGTATCATGATTGGTGAAAGTGGTGGCGGGGGAAGAGGCAATTAAGGGGTGGTTTTCCGATTGTGTAAAGAAAGTTTTTGAACCAAAAACGTAACTTGTCGTAAACGTACAACTTTATTCTCGGCTAGAATTTGGCAAAACATGTGCGGTCATGCGCCATGGATCGCATCTCTCGTAATTTCACCACTGGCAAAAAAAAAAATGGAGTATTTATCAAGTGAACACGTGCACAAAAATTTTAAGATGAATATGATGTTCCTTTTTCTGATTGAAGTACATATATCTTCCATATGTGACAGCGACGTTCTCTACGACGTTTTTAAGTTCTACCTGACCGAGCAAGCGTTTATTTGATGAGAGCAACGTCCCAAGCTACAGAAAGGCGAGTGAAGATGGAGTTTCCGTAATAGATGGAGAATGATCGAACGGTAGTCCAAAGGATGTGAGCGCCGGTTCTTAATAACAAATGGGCTATTATAAAATTCGTAAGAAAACACAGACAAAGTTGGTAACCTATATTTTAGCAAAGAAACTGTGAAGCTGGATATATATCTATCCAAAATGAGTTTTTATTGTAAAGGACCGCACAAATTCAGTTAGACAATTACTCTCGCAGAGGGTAGACTACGAGCAGTCTCTCTTTTTTGTGTAGTCCGTCGAGCTAGTAGGGAAAGTTGAATCTGCAAGGGAGGGGACGTGGAATCCAAGACATTAGAGACCTTTAGCATCACGTTTTTATAGAGAGATTAAGATTCACGTTTACGGCATACGGCAAACGGCAAACGTCAGTTGCGCGTCTAAAAACAGTCCGGCTTCTTATGGATAAAGCTGGCGTAAAACTACTTATTTCCCTAAACAGTAAACGCCCTTGGCATTTGCGTTTGTCACTAAATCTGAAGAAAAAGAGAGACTGCTCGCAGTCTACGCAGAGGGTGACTAAATGTAACGCCCAATGCTATGCATTAACTTCTTTTTGCAAAATTACACCGGAGCCTCCATTGCTATAGAAAAACGGAAAGTTATAGATGCAAGGAAATTTGGTTATGACGTCAGCACAAGCCCGCGTACGTACGATCTAGTAGGGAGGGTCTAAGTTGAATCTGCAAGGGAGGGGACGTGGAATCCAAGACATTTAGCTTCCGCTTGTCTTGACGAAACGTCAAACAGTGCACCTTGGCGCAGCCAATTGGAATTTTCAATTTAAGATCTTGAATTTCGTTTGTTTGACTGACGACAAAAAAACTTTAAAAAAATAAATTAAGGATGTGCTTTTAGCTTGGTAAAGTTTTTCGTCACGCTTCATCTAGTCTCCGATTGGTCAAAATTTTGACAGGTGAATTCATATACGTAAAAACTTATGCAGCTTCAACTTTGTTTCCCGACAACTGAAACGTCGTGTACTTTTAAGTTTTAAACTTTTTGTGTTGTTTCAATGTTGCCACAACATGAAATGTAGCCGCTATCAAGATTGTTTTGTTGTTCAACGTTGGTTTGATGGTTTGTTAATTTATTTGCGGATGAAAAAAGGGTCGCATAAACGGGCGGATCTATATTAGCTGATACATTAGATGGCAGCGTTTATGAAAGCTCCTGATCTGCTAATTTCTGTGACTTCCCTCTGGGAGGGGTCCCTCGTGAAGGTAGCTACTAAAGGATGTATTAGAATTACCTGTTATATTAGCAATTTCCTCGACAGTAACAGCTCTTCCGATAATCATAAGATCCCTGATATATCCCCTCATGTACGTGGGACCGTCCCTCTTCAAGCCAATGTCGTAGGATGAATGGGAATTGTCTCTCAAGTGCGTACCCGCTGTTTGAGGTTCAACTCCAATTTTTGAACCGTTTAGCAGGATATAAGCTTCGTTTACTGTTTGGTCCCAGGCTACCGCCAAGTGGAACCATTTATCTACAGGGGGTGACCTGCAATATCAAAAGTTCTTACTGTCCTTATCCGTATGCAACGACTTTCGTTTGACTTTGAAATGATTGCACACAAACAAAACTTAAACAGAAATAAACGAGAATATAATAATTTGATAACACTAGCGAAAACAATCAAATACGCCCAGCTTTTGTTTGGTTAAGCGACTGTCAAGATTTTGCTCTGGTGTCATAGCGGACAATATGAGAGACATCACTGTTTACCGAAACATTGTTTTTGTTATTCAAATTTGCAACAAGTAAAACAATAAGTTCTTTTGTTTAAAGAGCCAATGTGCTCCTGGTTGGCACATTAACAATACGTGACTTCAGCGTGAGTACATGGTTACGTTACAGTCCCAAAACGTAAAAGCACAGTAGAATTTGGATCCTTCATATGATTGTTTTCATCTTCTATTCATTTATTCCTTTTCTTTTTTTCTCCCTTTCTTTTCCTTCTCTCAAAATAACTCCAGGTGGTTGTTTAATCCTTACCCTGCTAACAGATCAGGATCGTATTTCTTAAGATTATCATAACCGAGAAAGCCCACTTTGCCGTATCGGAGAGCATAGAAGAGAAATTTAATGTCTCCATGCCAATCGGAGAAAAGCGGCGAAGGATCACTAACAGGGCTTGGCATTTTGACCCAGCTGGCGATGGTGAAACTTGAAATTCCAAAGTTCACCGCAGGGGTTGTTGCATATTCACCCGATCCACTGAGGTACATCGATGGGAAACCGTCTTCTTCTTTATATATTGATCCGTTCTTGAGACTGTTTTAACAAAAGGTGGAAACCAACAGGGTGAGACGAGCATTTACTCCAAATAATGGAAAAAATAATTTAGAGTTTTTTAAATAAACTTGATTAATTTACAGAAATATAGTTACATTCCATTTTGGTTGTGTACCAAACTTCAGATCATTTTATATAAACTGGTGTATGTAGCAACGGCGTAGAAACATTTCCCTGAATTCGCCTTTTGTGAAACTTGGTGTTTCATTCCTTCAGTTGTTTATTTCAGGTGTTACATATCACGTCAATGTTTTCTGTTGATGGTGAAAAGGTTAAAAATAAACATTCCACTCACTTCACGTCAGAATCAGTTCCATCCAGTGTCCAGTGTGCTATAATGTCACTTGAATTAAAGCCTTTAGTAGAAAAATTAAAAAAGTGCATTTTATACTTTTTGCATTTTACCAAAGGTTATTAGCCACCGGGAAGTGCAGTTTTAAACTTGATTTACCTTAATTTTATTCGAGTTTTTGAACAGAGTAAACTTGCTTAATTTCTTTGCAAAACAAAGAAACAACCACACAAACAAAAAGCAACTTTAACAATAACAACAAGCATAACGGCTGGCTGTGCTAGAGAGCAAGATTTCCGCGTTTTAATGACCAGTTTACGTTTTATACCCATTCCGCAGTCTGACTGTTTCAAGCTGGCTGGTATTTGAGGTCATTTAATCGATCAAGAAAATGCTAATGGCGGGGGCAGATAAATTATTTTATCGACAAAATCGAAGCGATTTGGAGTATTAACCGTTCTCCCCCGAAATAGTAGGTAAAGTGGGCGTCGGTTAATCGTTTTTATGCACACGGAAGCTCCTTAATTTGAGCCTACCTTCGTCTTATTCATTTAAATAAATAAATAAATAATTAATTAATTAAACAAGCTTGGTCAGTAATGCAAACTAACGTCGATCCAAACCGCTCTGATATGATTTGATAAAGTAAACTGTTAACCCTTTAAGCCCTAAGAGTGATCAGCATTAAATTTCTCCTTGTAATATCAACGCTTTCTAAAACAGAGTGGTCATGAGAATTACGGACATGATCACACAAGATAAATCTGATGATTTTTTTTTCAACTTCTCCCCACTACTTATGTAGGAAATGAATAGAGGCAACAAAGGAGAATTCTCATTTTGATCTTAGGGTTTAAAGGGTTAAGCCTTAAATCTAACCTGCAGACGCATTTGGTAACAGCTTTTCAATCAATAACGAGACAAACTCATTCTTTTCCACGTCGTTAATTGACAAGAGGTCTCCGCCAATAGACTGACAGTATTTTCTTGCTCTTCCCCAGGTCTTCCTCTCCAGAAAAATCTTCAGTTTTTTGGAATCAAAGAGGAACCAACCATCTGGAAAGGCTGAAAATTTTTATTAACAATTTGCAGCCTGACATTTTGCTAAAATTAACCAACTTAATGTCTTACCATCTTTGTAAATGCATCGATCTGCCGTACAGTGCTCAACTTCCTACGGTTAAAGCCAAAAGAAGCAATAAGTAATTCTTTTAATCGCCTATCAAGTGCATTTTCTTAAAACGTGCGGAACACCATGAATGTTATGACGCTTTTGTTGATATTTAAGATCATGATAATGATGATGATGTCGATGTCGATGGCAAAATAGGGAGTTATTAAGCCAAAAAAAAAACACGACGACCATGAGATCGTCAAAAAATGTTTCAATCAGCAAAACGTGAACTTTGAAAGTGCATCTCACTTTTTGTATACCCGTGAAGCCCTGTGAAACTTCGTAATGGAATGCTTTATGAAATCGTAATATTATAAATTAAAGCAAATTTTCTTTTTCTTTCTAAACCTCGTTTCCCCCTATAGGATTCAACTTCCGAAAAACTCGCCTAAGTTTGACAAATTGAAAAAAAATATGAAAAAAAAACAATAGGAAATTTGAAGGAAGGCGAATACACGTTTAAAATTGTTGCTACTTTTGCCCCGGTTGTTGAAAGGTGGATAGCACTATTCACTGGATAAATCTCTATGGTCAATAACCCAATCATGGGGCTGTCCAACCCATATGTATCGTAATGACACTTACCGTCATCTGATGGTACCAGTACCCTGCCCGCTGTACTAAATTCTCCGGGTTAGCGGCTCGTGTAGAATTGTTTAGATCACACTTGACCCAACCTGATGGTAGAGTTTGCGCATGCACGTTGATGGAGAAACAGAGTGGCGTATCCAGGCAATCCTGTTTACACTTGACAGGGTGATCGGCAGTCACTACTGATATAACATGATTCTCTAAGGCTATACCTTCCTGCTTGACGAATTTACCCATTCTGCAGCCAGCGACCAACGATATACACATTAAAGTTGGCCAGAACATTCTGTAAAAGGACATTTTAGTCGAGGGCTTACAATTGAGGACAAAGGAACTTGGGAAATTGTGAAAAACCCTTCCAAAAACTCTTCTCTGCTCCTCCTTTGGATTCATTCCTTCCTCTCCCTACTACCTCTAAGCATAGTCGCACCCGCAAAAAGGACTAATTTACACTGACCATTTTGCTCAAAATTCAACATGGTTTGGGGTGGGAGGTCGCTACTCTTTCTAATATCACTAGAATGGTCACAACACTTTTTTCACCTCCATTGTAGGTCAAGCAACTAGTTTTAGGCAGTTTTATAGTTATAGCATTTGATGATAAAACGGAAGAACATAATGACCAAATGTTAGCCTACTTTTCCTGAAAGCTGTTTTCAGTTCGAATAAGCAATAAATAGTTGTAGAGTAGAGATAAAATGAAACATCCTTTCTTCTTTATTTTTTTTCAATTTTCCTATTCATTTATTTATCCATTTACTTTGCTATTATTATAACCTAACATGAAAACCAACGCTGCTATAAAAAAGCAAAAGTTGTTCATTGTCGTTAAAACCAAAATGTAAATATTGGTATCTAGTGGGCTTTCAGGCCATTCTCCCCGCAGTTCAGTAATACTGCATTTTTTTATTCAACATTTTTACATTGCCCATGATACACAAACAAAGAAACATGAAATTTCTTTTTATTCAAATTTCAGAGTAGCCTCAAAGGCTAATATCTCCGGGAACCAACCAAAATTCCCCAAAATACCCCAAAATTTTCTATAACCATAATGTCTTCAATTTCTCTTGGGGTGACCGTAGTACCCAGGAAAAATTGGAAAGAATGGCTATCACAGCAAAGGGCAATGAGAAAATAGAGGTTTCGATGAAGTCGATTGATCAAATTAAAAAAAAACCCTCAATAGTTGCATTCTCTTCACCACTTTTAAACCACTTTCTGACATTGGTTGACTGAACTTGCGCAGGTGCAGTGTGTCTACGTTTTTCGCTTGAGACGATATTTTTATAATATATCTGTTTATGTATTCATGTTTGTACAGGTAAACGATTACTCCCTAGCGTACCGTCAAAAAGGAGAGTTGGATTCAGAGGGGTGGAAATGGATTGATTCTGTGATGATCGTTCCGTCTTTACCGACATGAAAGATTTATTAGCTAGTAGTATGATCAAAGCCGTCGGATCAAAATTATGGCTGGTCGTTCACCAACCAAGACGTGAATATTAGCTAGTCGTTCATAACGACTAGGCAAGACATTAAATATTCGCGTGAACCAACGTTTTTGCACCAAGCCGTCCTCTACTCACAAGGAATGTTTAAACAAGTTATCAAATGTTAGAAGTTTTATCATTTTCAACAGTTCTACCACTTGAAAAGTAAAATAAGCTTTCAAGGAGTCTATATTTTGAGAATTTGAACCATGAATAGTTGAATGGCTTTAAATTAACCAGAAAGGCTCTTATACAACAACTCACTTAAAGGATAAACTTAAGAAACTTTAAATTAAAAAAATTTGAAACTAAATATAAAATTGCCAAAGAAACTCTCGAGAATATAAACCAAAACATACATGGCTAAAGAAGAGTGTTTGTCTACAGAAAAAAATAATAGATCAAATCGGTATTTTAACATCTTTGGAAAAAATTGAAGTATTGCATAGACATAAAGACGATAAAACGTTTGAAATTAAACTTACGTTTTATGTTGCCAAGTGTCTCCTCGCTGTTTCTTTAGAAAACGAGTATCTAAATCTACTAATAATCAATTTGACAATAAAAACCAGCCAAATTTAATTAAAGGTTGCCATTATTTGCTGGATAACTTGACCGTGGTGTGGAAAGATCTGTTGCCAAGCAGATTTAACAAAATGAATCGGGAGTGGAAGCGGAATATTTTGTTTCTAGTATCCAATATTCAAACTGTAAATATTCAGTATTCAGACATCAATATTTAAACCTCAATATTTAATTTTCAAAACTCAATATTCAATATTCAGACTTCCATATTTATCTTATTTTCATTATTTAAACAATTATGACCCCCCTCATAACTCATTGTTTTTCTATAAGAACCACGTCCGTTATTGCAGGCTACCAAGACACAATGTATTCCTTTGCTATGAGTACTACTTAATCGCAGAGGTCGTTCAGAAAATAACAAATTATAAACAAGACATGCTCCTAGTTACATTGAAATAGACTATTATCTGTTGGTAAACGTTGGCAGAAAAAGGCTTGACCTGGTTACAAGCATTGGCCCAGTCCCCGGGGAGGGGGGGTACTCCCTTATATAAGCGAAATAGGTATGTACCGCCCCATCAGGTCGGGTTTTTGTGCCGTTTTGGTCTGAAAACGTGAAATAGGGTGTGGATTAGGAGAACCGGGTGGCACACCCCACCAAGAATTCCCAGGATACCCCCCTCCCCCCTCCCGGGGGCAGTCTGATGGCGCTAATCCCCAACTGATTTTCAAAGTGGATCGATACCTGGGCTTCTCTCTTGACTTGCTTTTCCCCATAGATACTTCCCTACTATCGTGTCTTCTATCAAGAAGACAAGAGTTCAACGAGACTCGAGCGCAAATGGTGTTGTCCTGAAGAGTCACACAAGAAGTGACAAGAGGGTTGTAATGTGACAAGTCTCGTATTACTGCGTGGTCATGACAACTGTCAGTGAGGAGTACTGTACTAATGAATCACATAACAAAGTCGACTGTGTGAGCCCACGTTCCTTGACTTACCATAGCCAAGGAACGCAAGCTCATTGGCTGGACCGGCCCGACAAAACATCAGTCGAACATAATGAAACATAATAAATGAGTGAATTTTCTAGAAAAATAAAGATTCATTATTCAAGTACATTTATTCATATTCAAACTAAATTTTCAAATAATAAAACTAAATTTTTAAATATTCAAACTAATCTAAACTCAATATTCAATATTCCGCTCCACCCCCGAAAATGAAAAAAAGTTCAGTCGGATTGGAGAATTTGAATCTGGGCGTATTTGGTTTGGAAAGATCTCATTCGCCGTGACTCATCTTCCTACATCAGAGGAAAATTATCTTAAACCATTTACTTGTAATCGAACCAGTAATAATTCACAGTGGCTCATAAACATCGGTAAAATAATCCCAAAATATGTTAACTTGAGGCGCAGGTGAATTATTAATTCAAACTGGTTGTATTCCATAGACAAACCAAGAAGACGTGGGGTTGCACTCTCTTCAAACAACTTGGAACGACAATGTTTATATTATTTTCTCCTGACCATGGCACATAACTTAGGAGTTATGATTTATCCAGCCCCCGGGTTGTTGGCGCTGAGTCGGAATTTATCACGAATCGAAATGTAAAAGTAGAAAACTAAACAAAATACGTTCTATTTTTATGGACAATTAACGGTTATCTTCGCCAAAATAAGGCTTTGATAGATGTTGCTAGCATCATTTGTGGCATAATTTGTCATAACGAACATAATTTTAATTTTTTTTTTCCGAGAAAAGCACTGCTAGCATAATTTGCACCGTGCTTGGCTAGTTTTGCAGCACAAACTTGTCATTTATTTGCAAACAATTTTTTAAACCCGCGATCAGTGTCACTGGCAAATGTAAGAAACAAATTCACTTTTTTTGGCTTGCTTGTCTTATCCATAGGACCTTGGTTTTAAAGGAAGTGCTCAGGATTTTCTCCACAGGACTAAACACATGCGCATAACTAGCTGGCTAGCTAGCGTGCTGGTTGTAAATTCTTTGGGTTTTCAGGGTGCAAAGAAAGTCATTTTTACAGCTTGCCATACGGGCAAGCTGAATTCGAAGCTAACATTTACTAGACCAAACATCATTTCAACTAGCCCCAAAAACGTTTTGATGAGCAGATTGATTCCACAGTTCTTCTGTAATTTGAATTCCACAAAAAACTTCACTTGCCCGTCGGGCAAGTTAATAACAGAATTCACTAGCCCGCTAGCAAAATCCACTAGCCCCGGGCTATTAGACACTACTTTCTTTGCACGCTGGTTTTAATAGTTGTCAGACAATGGATAATGCACTCTTACAGTTTCTAGATATAAATAGGATAAATATGTATGCGGTTGCCGGGGAAAAATTAAACTTCAGATTATCTTAGGGAATTTATTAGATAACCTTCGAAAATTGTACATGAGAGGAACGGTCCTCCAGAAATTTTTAGCCTTCCTCGATCGAGCTATAGAAAATTCTATGCAATTTCTGCTTCCGCTGACAGATATTTTACAGAAAACATTCATTGGGTGCCCCTGATTTACTTCAACTACAAAGTAGTGAAATACTTTCTCTTTTCATATACGTCAAGCCTGAAAAAGGTACCCCTTTCAGGCGGAGCCTCCCCGTATAGACTATTACAGGGGCTCTCATTACGTTGGCAAATGTTTGAATCACCTAATTGTCTTCACCAACAGCATTCTCGCCAAAAATGATACTACCTAACAAAAGAGCCTGGAAAGCAAACACGTAGGTAACAATTTCTGTCTCTGAATACTATTTGCATCAAAAACTCAATTTTCTTCTTATCGTCTACGTCACTTGAGGTACCCTACAAAAAGATAATTGTTTCCAGGGTACTTGAGCTAAACGGTTGAAATAACAGTGGCCTCCGAAGAGGTCAGTTTCCCGAGAAAATTAAATTTGTGAAAACATTCAAGAAGAAAGGAGCTGCTGGACGAAGAACGCATTTTAACATGTTGGGTAACGTTTGATTCAGTTCGAAGATAACGAAAATTAAAAATGAAATGTAAACAGGAAGGAAACAAAACAAAACAAAAATAATATAATAAAACAAAACATAAAACCCTAGATTAATCACTTGAAGACAACATTGCAGGACACAAAGGTTTGTTTCCATCTCTTGTAGATATCTCAACGTGACGGAGACTCAACGGGACCAAGCTGACTGGTTTTCCATTTGATATGTTATTGAGATTTTGCACGGAATTTCTCTTTTTTGTCGTTCGTTCTTTTTTTACTTTTATTTATTAACTGCTTTTCTTTTTTTCGTTCAATGAAGGATACTAGCGGTAAATGACAACGGAAAGTAACCCTTCTACAAAAATGCCCCCATTTTAATTAATATGACTTACTAGGTCAAACAATTTCCTTTTCAATAACGACCATTGATAAACGACTAAAAAAATATATTAATTGGGACTGGCGAATATTAAAGTTTGTATCTTAAGATCCCCAGGGAGATATGTTTTTCCAAAGACTGTCTGTATGTCAGTACGTTGTTATCAACATGATTTTGAAAAATCGTCGCCGACTGTGATGTTATAATGGCTTGGGAAGCAAGTTGTTGATTTAAAACCATCAGTTAGATAAAACAGTTCAATTTGGTCTGTTTTGGCTTTTGCATTCAAGCAACAACCGGAGGTGAAAGGTTCGTGATTGAATATCACTAATTATAATCAGAAAGGGCTTCGGCTTCGTATATTATTTATTTTTATTTCAACGGTATTTGTCCCCTTTAGGAATTAGAGCGGTCTTTTTAGTAAGTAAAAACTAGTTAGTTATTTAAAACTAAAACCAAATGATATTAAAGCTTTTGAATTTAAAAATTTTCCTTCATTTTCCAGTAGGTTGTTTTGGTGTCACCGAAAGGAAAGCTCATTAAGATGAAACTTCATTTCTTCTTTTATATTTCCTTGGTGCAGTCCTGTGGCAGGTTTGTCTTTATAGGCGAGAAACACATTGCCTTATTTGGACACGTGATCCAAATCATGACAACACCTCACCAAGAATTGTGCTTTTATAAATGTTTGGAAACCTCCCAGTGCATGTCAGTTAACAAGTACGAAAACGAGTCTGGAGTGTTTTACTGTGAGCTTAACAAATCAGGCAAGGAAGCAAGTCCAAATGACCTAAAACCGAGGCCAGGATTTGTTTACCTGCAAACAGTGGTAAGTTTATGGGCATGTTACCCTATCTCTGTGATTAACACTTTTCTTTTTTAGCTTGTCAGTAATGAATTTGAAAATGCGTCTAACGTTTTACCTGTTAATGTTTCTTGGCTCGATTGTTGTCAATAAGAGAGTTGCCGCCCAATGTAAGGGAATTGGGATTCCGGAATCCGCCAAAATTATGCTTGAGAATCCGCAATCCTGGGCTTTGGAATCCGGAATACAGCTCAATGAATCCAAATCCCACGAACAACTGCAATCCAGATTCCAAGTTCCACTGACAGAGACTGGAATCCAGTACCTGGAATCCGGAATCCACGGTGTGGAATCCAGAATCCAAGACTGTCTTGGATTCCCTTACATGGAGTGAGAGTTGCATCGAAAGTGTAAGAGTAAGTAGCGTCACGTGACATTTGGAGCACGCGTAACATTCGGTACATCGGTGGTAATGACTAATTTCTGAAAAAGAGTTGTGTACTTCCGCCCCCACCTCACCCCTAAAAAAATAGGGAAAAGGGACGTCTGTGTCGTGCCATCGCGACAACAATATTAAGGGGTTTAAGCAACGACGTTTTTGAGCGATGCACGTCAATCGGAAGTGGACTTTTTACCATCTTGGGCCGTGGTTTTGAACAAATTTTCTAGCGGATTGTCTCTATCAGAGTAAAGACACGTAGCAATACAAATTTGGTAGCATAAAGGCATATTAAACGGGAAAAGGACTCACTTCCAGATGACGTGCGTCGCTCAAAAACACCTTTGCTTAAACTCCCTTTTTGTTTGAGGAGAGGGGGCGACTACACACAGAAAAAGTCAACGTTAGAATCAACGTGAATGGTGTATAACCAGTTCGTAGCATGACGCCAGAAAAAGTGAATTAATATGTAACTTTGTGCCGAAATGTTAATACAATTATTTTCAGGAAGTGGAACACTGTACCGATGACAGTCTTTGCCATCACAAAAGAGGTATTAAGAGTAAATAGGTACTATTAGCACCATTAGTTCTTGGCTTACTGTAAAGAAACCGCTGTAAGGAACTCTGTTTAGTTCGGTTCTGATTTGCTTTGATAATTTTTTTTCTGATGTCTGTGTGACATTTTGGACATTTTTTTAAAGAAAAAAAAAATTAAAAAGGGGTCAATTAGAGGCTGTTTGCAATGGGTTGGTACTTTTAGACTGGGCATAGCATCATTAGACGTAATATATCAAGAGAGTTGAAAATACCACGCGCAGCGAAGTATTTTTGACGAACTTCGGGGTGTTTCATCTGGTGATAAATCACTGTGTCGAATGCTTGATATTAATTCGTAAATAAAATGATTTTACAAGGAGAAATTAAGGACGCAAAAAGGAGCAGTTTTTCATCGGATTTCCAAACACCCATTAAACATCAATTTTCCTTCGTATCTTCTTTATGAATTATTAATGAGTTTCAGCAATTTCCATCCAGCATTGTTATCAACTTCGCTTAGCAAGGTCATCGATAAGTCCGGGGATATTCAATCGACCAAAAGTAAAAAAAAAGAGTGCACTACAGAAAATAGACGAGAAATTGACATCTTACATCTCGAAGTTCCTTCAACTCAGACACACCTTTACACGATTACATTCCCAATAAGTAACAACTAATTTTCACTTGTCTTGCTTCCGACCAATTTCCTATCAATCCACTGGTTAGACTTCAGGGCCAAGTTTTTCAAAAGGTGGATAAGGTTATCCACCTGGCCCCCGATGTTCAAACGTTGGATAGTGCTATCCACCGCATAAATCACTAGACAGCAGATAAATATTAGGGAAACCGATTACGTTTTCCATTGGATAGAGATTTATCCAGTGAATAGCTATAGCGTTATCCACCTTTCGAACAACGGGAGCCTGGCCTCGGTTGTTCAAAGGCTGCATAGTGCAATTAGTTTCCCCTAGATCATTCTCTCTTGGTTTCCCCAACACTTATCCACTGGATAGTGATTTATACGATAGATAGCGCTATCCAACTTTTGAACAACGTTTGGATAAATCTATCCAGTGGATAGTGCAAGTGGTTTCCATAATACGTATCCACTGGATAGTGATTTATCCGGTGAATAGTGCTAGCCAGCTTTTGAGCAACTGGGACCTGTCTCATACTTGTATCTCGCCTTGAACTGCATTATTTGTGTGTTTTTTTATCTTGGTTGCCTTTTGATTAGCCCTCCCAAATGAATGGTTCCAATTCGGTTCCAAAGTATACAAGTTCTTTCATGAGAGGAAGAATTGGACAAACGCAGAACAGGTTTGCCAAGCAGAGGGTGGAAATCTAGTGAGTTTTACGAGCGAACTTGAGAACAAATTCGTTTTCGATATGTTCGCAAGGAATACCACTAACGATACCGCTGCAGGTGAGAATTTTTATAATTAAAATGCGCTGAACGCTGGGTGTGATGTAATTGGTCCTTTGCTTGAGTATATAATCTGGAATCCGGAAAAACTTTGCCTGTGGAATCTGGACTCTGGGAATTTTTTTCCGGGGAATCCGGAATCCTGGGCTTTGTAAACCGTAATCCACCTCAGGGAATCCTGAATCCCTCTGACGATTGAATCCAGAATCCAAGTTCCTCTCACAAAGAATCCGGAATCCACAGCGTGGAATCAAGAATACAAGACTGTCTTGGATTCCCTTACCTTGGGGAGATATCTTAAAAGAGACACACGAATGACGTCACAGGGAAACTTTTTTTTTTGGTTTTGAGGTCGTTTCAAATTGAGCCTAGTAAAGGCATCGAATACAATCAAGCTTAAGGGGAGCTATTTACAAGTAAGAAAAAAGAAATAGCTCCTATGCTGACCAATACAAATCTATTTCTTGAATTGTGCTTAATTCACAGTTTCGATCATTTACCAAGCTTTGAAAAAAAAAAACAAAAGCTTTGGAAATATTTTTCTGGAACATTTATTATTTTCCCTTCAGAAAAAAAGTGTTATTTTTATCTTAATTGTCACCACCACTAACAGAGTCTCTTCATTTGCAGAGACGTATAATTAGATCGCTCACTGGAAACTTGATGGCACTGACAATGATATCTCGTATGATGTCTTTCTTATTCCTAATTATAAGTTACCGCAAAATTCCGAAAATAAGCCCTTCCATGTATAAGCCCCTTCAAATATAAGCCCCCCAAACCGGTAGCGCAAAAAATCCTCCGTTAACTCGCCCCTCCAAATATAAGCCCCCCGGGGGCCTGTACTTGGAAAATTGTCCTCAAATACAAAGTAAAACAAAGCAAAAACTTTAAATTTACTTCCAACTATAAGGCTAGCCCTATCGATTTTGAAACGCAAATTTCCCTCGGTACATAAGCCCCTCCGAATATAAGCCCCTCAAAAAGGGTCTTTGAACAATATAAGCCCCGGGGCTTATTTTCGGAGTGGGACATTCAATGGCACGCATATACTGCACAATACCTTTTTGGTCTATGAGCTTATCTCTTAAAAACACAACCTTGGTTAAAACTTTATGTTCTCTGAGGAAATCTAATGTTACATTCAAAAAAAATTCCTTCCATTTCTCCACTTGGCTATGTATTGTTATTGATCAAATCCAGAACAAACAAGTTGCAAACAAGCCGTAGTCGAGTGGTACACATATGTGTTTACGCACACTGCATTACTATCGAGTCAAAATCGAATCTAAGAGTCTTATGTAATCTTTGGGTCCTGTTATCATGATTACTATTCAGGTTATTATTATCATTATTATTATTATTATTATTATTGTTATTTTAAAACAGCTTAGAAAATGGTGCAAAATACCTGAATGAAACAAGAGGGACGTACTTGTATCTTAATGGAGCAGGAGCATATGCCACGACACCAGCAAGAAATTTTCGCGAAGGAAGCTTTACGATTGCCTGCTGGGTGAAACTCCTCAATCCTGTGACCAGTGAATCAGCAATATATTCCATATGGCCGAAGTCTGAAAAGCAGTTTCTGTTTGAGGCGTCGATGTGTGGAAAAGTGGGATTTGCAGCTATTAATAGTGACCACGCCTTTAAGCCCCTCTTTAGTGCCGGGTAAATTTCCTACAAATCAATAGGCCATTTGCCGAGTTGCCGCCCCACGCCTTTTATTCTCATGAAAAATAAAATAATATTTAAAGTTTTACATTAAGCCTCGTTCATTTACCTCAGCAAACTTAATAAATACTGTACAAGAAGTTGAGGTTTTAATTTGTTTTTCGTGAGGAGAACCCAACTAGCCATCGGGCTTATGGGAGAGTTCAATGGCAAAACTTGATGGCTTGATGGCGGATTGTACGTGTTTTGTAAACTAATTTTCTAGTATTGTTGATCGCATAAAGCACACAATTATAAAATTAGAAGAAGCATTCATGGGTGATATAGCAGGGTCAATACTTTAGTGCCAAATGTGTTTTGAGAGCAATGTTTGCTTGTCGTTTAGTGGTTAACAAAACAATTACTAGTTATTACATCGAACCTTGTCGCCGTTTCTAAATAGATCCCGACCAGCTAATTGTTTCAAACGAAAACGACTCGTTTCGGAAAAGTTCCCGAAAGAGGAGTACTAAGTAAGATGGAAGGCAAGAAGGAGGGTTTTCGGAAATGCACTGTTTCTTGCATGTGCCGGCCAAGATTAAATGCTCAAAAATGAAGATAAAAGACGAGAGTATTGATAACAGACCTTCAAAAATAACCTGGAAACGAGAGGTGTAATCAGTCTGAAGGCGTTTTCGATCTCTAGAACTAACGAAAAGGAGGGTCGAAAACTACGCCAAAACGCTAGTGAGAACCTGGGCATTTCGTTGCGTGTCTGTGTGTACCTGTTTTGTTGTTGTTAACAAGAAAACTAGGGTGCTCGAAAGCAACTAATTGTTTCAAACGAAAGCGACGAGTTTTCGAACAGTTCCCGAAAGAGGAGTACTAAGTAAGATGGAAGTCTTATCGTTTCAGTGTGAATAGGCAAGAAGGAGGGTTTTGGGAAATGCACAGTTTCTTGCATGTGCCGGCCATGATTAAATGCTCGAAAATGAAGAGAAAAGACGAGAGTAATGATAACACACCTTCAAAAATAACCTGGAAACGGGAGGTGTCATCAGTCTGGAGCGTTTTCGATCTCTAGAACTAACGAAAAGGAGGGTCGAAAACTACACCAAAACGCTAGTAAGAACCTGAGCATTTCGTTGCGTGTCTGTGTGTGTGTTTTGTTGTTGCTGTTGTTGTTAACAAGAAAACTAGGGTGCTCGAAAACACTTAAGTCAGTATAGGCAGCATCTGAAAACGCCAGGTAATCACCGCTTCACATTTACTTAGTGATATAAATCGCTATAAATCGACTTTTTTTACGTCAAATAGAGACATAACCGCTGATAACCGGTTAAACGTATCTTTACAGCAAGCCTCCAATTGGTGCATGGTTTCACGCAGCTGTAGTATGGGATCGAGCAACCAATGAGGTCAATCTTTACATAAATGGCACGAAGGTGGGAACAAGTGTTGTGCAAGAACACTGGTACCTAATTGACAGATCTCATTTGGTCCATCACATTGGTCTCAAGGCGGATACGGACGAAACACTCCACGGATACCTGGGAGATCTTATGGTGTTGGGCAAAGCTCTTAATGAAACTGGCATCAAGAGGATATCAGGTGCGTAACGCTTAACATGGGAATGCAAATACGTCGTAAGTATGTGTGACTGGTATGAACCAAATGTAACAAAAATAACTTGATTTACCTGTGTTAATTGCTCAGTTGGAGAGCTATTAAAAATAATGAATTTTAAGTAAATTCCAGATGGCGGGCATTTCCAATGACTTCTTAGTTTCCATGATATTTACATTACCGTTTTGTAGAGCACCGAGAG